AGACCCTCAGACGCACCCTCGCCACCCGCCTTTTCCCTGTCACTGATTGGCAGAGCAGTGGTACATGCATGAGACATGCATGTACCACTGCTCTGCTTTCAGCAACCATTCTAGCCAGTACATTAAGTATGGGCTAGATGGTTTCAAAGCAGTCAACGACTTCCCACTACACTTGAAGCATGCCCCGCTGCCGCTTCGAGCAGATCAAGTTGCTGAAGTTAGACGCACAAACGCACGTAGAGCAGGAACTTTTTCGGCATAGTGCCGCCTGGCCGGCTCAAGCCACATAAATTTACAGGAACCGTGAAGACGAGCGACGATGGTTGAGAACTGGCCTTGGTCGTCTGCTGTACCGATGCATCGCGCGCCGCACAACTCCGCACCGTGATGCATGTAGATGTAGATCTGTACAGTAACACACATTCGACCTGTCCGAGTGTAAAATAAAAAGAGATGAGTAGGTATGTAGGTGGTTTAGCAGCTCGCTCCGACGACACGGCAGCGAGTATGTGCCCTTAGAGAGCGGGGCCACCGTACCGCCAAAGCTCGCCGCTTGATGCGTTGTCTGTAGATGCGTTGTCTGTGCGTAGATGAGAAGACTGCGGTGAGGTAACTCTGTGAATGAACGTTTGAAGTTGAACTGAAAGCTTGGTCATTTACCATCTTCTTCGTACTTATCTGCGTTCGATGACCAGAGAGTCAACCCGTAATTATTTAGTTTTTTCTAGATTTGTATTGTTTTTATTATTAAAGAAAGCACTACCAGTCCAACCCTCTAGTTGTGTTTTGCAATGGTTTTGCCGACCATTTTAGACACTAAATATGGCACAGCCTGCTCCTGATTATGTGTGAAAAAAGATTCACGACCTGCTAAACTTATGCATAAATCCACCTCCTCATATATATATCGACTTGGGTGGGCCTGTCAGCAGCCATGCATTGACCCAGTTCTACACAGTGATGATCCCCAGCATATCCACCCTCTTGTGCATAATTGTCGTGTGTGTAGGTGCTTGTGGATAAAACCCGACAGAATTGCAGCTGCACAGCCACAATTGCACTTTCAAAAGTGCACTTGTGGCGCTTTTAGCGAAATTCTAGGCCTCCACCGATTTATGCACCTCGATTTATCGTAAATCTAGCAGGTGGTCGCTATAAATACAGCAAATCTCGCCTCATATTGCCAAAATCATCGCAAAGCACAATAATGGATACTTTGTATAAATTTCACTAGAATATTGTACTTTTGAGAACATGTATCACAGGTTTACTATGGTTAATACTGTAAAAGCCCACTCTCAATTACAGTAGTACCCCACCTTTCATTTTGATTACCTTGGATGGGGTTTTACCTCACCCACGTAATCGTACCCCACTCTTCACGACACTTCTAGTATCTGTGCAACACGGAGTACAGCGATACATGGTGATTTGCTAGTTACTATGCACTTTATTCAGTAGTGTAGATGTATAGAATAGAAACTAGGGCTACGGCTGGCATAGGCTGGGATATCAATTTTACGGGAGAAACCAGGGTTTTCGACACAAAATAGTAGGCTCTACTTGGAGGGGTACGCTAGCACTGCAGACCGATCAAATTGTTGACAACTATCCATGTGCAGTGCAGGAAAGTTCCCACAAATGCACCAAAGTACAGAACTCCCCTGCTTGCCCTCGCCTGCATAAAGTCTGGTACCTCGCACAGATAGTACAAATCACTGTTGTCAGCATCCATGCACATCCGTGCATAAATTCACCATATACTGATTTAACTGAAAATGGGAGGGAAAGTGTCGAGTGCGGGAAGCTTACACAATAGCTATGCGCCGCAATGTTGTAATAAATCAGTATGTTTAGCCTCCTTTTCAATTCTCTTAACCTTGCAAGATTTATTGGTCCCACCTTTTTGGCTAAGGCGGGGAGTTCTGTACACGTACTTTAGTGCACTGCACTAAACAGACGCCAGGGGCATATCACGACAATTGAAGGGGAATTCGGTCTACCTCAATCACTGGAAGTTTAACTAACCACCGCCTATTTTACCTAGCAAGTGATAAGAAGCGCTATGAGTCCAGGCGAGGGCTATGCATGTACTACATTGAGTGTCGCATATCTTGTAGCTGCTTTAACCCCTCTAGCCCCATATTCTGTATCCTACAGAATAAGCATTTCGACAGGATTTAATACCAGCAAACTTGGTTTCTGCGAAAAACTTCGCACATTGTTTTTTTATAGTGAGTAATCAGCCGATCATTCCTGTTGGATCTGTGATGGGTAGATAGACGGGGATTCTTCTGCGGCTATACAAGGACGAGTATAAATCCCCAACAGGTTGGAAAATTGGGGTGTAAGGCCATAGTGACCGTTTGGCAGCCACTCGCGGTGCCTTTCACTTCGGAACGAGAAACCGCCCTGACCAGACGTACCTCGAGCTCTGCAATCCCGGTAAGAACGTGCTAGTGCTGCTGCGTAGGCGAGGGCCAGGCGCTACTGGGAGCTCGAGGTCGCCATAACAGTCTACTCGTGGTAGTGATGCTAAAGGTAAGCAAGTCTATTTACAGTCTGTTCGATATATGGTCTAAGGTCAGTCTGGAATTGTATTCAAGCGCGCGCGAGCCCATAGTGCGCCGTGCGAGGCGGTGCTGCCGGCTACCACTAAGTATCGAGACGCGCGTTCGTCACTCCTGGACCAACCACCTCCATGAATGCATCCGCAGCGGTAGCAACGGCTTCAACTAGCGCTCCTCAGCAGCGCATGCGTCGTTCAGGCGCTAACCAGGTAGGGGATAAACGGCAGATGGAGGCGATGCGATAGAGGGGCTAGATGGAAGCTGCAGACCAACGTGTATTGACTGAATATATTGTGATGGTACCTACAGAATAGACCAGTCCGGCAGCGATGGATATGACGGATGCTACAGAGCAAACCAGACCAATCAAGTGGATACAGCGGAAGGTACAGAACAAGGCTTTGTGTGATTTGAATACGACGGATGCTACAGGGTAAGGCGGCCGTGGAACGGAGTCTACTAAACAAGGACTTCTAGCAAACGCTTCGACGTACACGGCGCGAAGCCTGGGGTGACCACCGAGAGCGTTTGGCCTGCATGCTACTGTATATTTAGGATGTAGCAGAGCTTATCGATAATACATTCGTATATTACATCTTATGGATACTGTGCGTGCGACGGACATGAGCGAACGCCACAGCGCGATAAAGTGATCACCAGCGCTAGTTAGCAAGACGATGGCGATGATTCGTAAGGAGCGAATAGATGCATACACGAAGTCTATCGGAGGAAATAATTGCCCAGTTCCTCCTCACTCCGTTAGTTAGGAACTGGGCAATTTTTTCCTCAGCGCCTGGGCCTCACCCGCGGCGTGGCATGAAGGACGGATGGCTGGTGCTGTTAACGCTCCTCGGTTCGGACTCATACCGAGCGTGACAGGTTTTGCAGTTCTATAGGTATTAACGTGTGTGTTACGTTTGTTTCGCCCAATGAGCACACACCATTTTTATCAGATGGTGGATACATTGTTCATCTTTTGTCCACTTTCGCAGCTATTTTGTGCTGGAAGTGCACGATTGCTGTACCGTCATCCTGTAAAGGGTTGCAATAGCATACCTCCAGCAGTTTTGACGTATACTTTAATCAAGTCATCTTATCTGTATAATCACTACAGAATAAGGTTGGGGCTAGAAGGGTTGAATAGATAGGTTTCGAAGCGTTCCTCACCCTCACTTTACCTTCACAGCCGTCTAAGTTCGCACTCGTTGCACTTTTGCACACAGATCAGTGTGCAATCAGTGGGCAAAATCCCTACATTTTGCAAAGCCATCAGAATTCGATCCTCAGATGCACCTGTACGAATTCATTAAGTTCAAACATATACAGGTAGACTGTACAACTGTATGCGCACCTATCTAGAGCAGCTTCCAGTACTCTGGTCCCGATTTTGCTCATTTTGCTCTGAGGGTGAACGTGCGGGTGAAGCGAATTTCAAAACCTATCTAATGTATTTAATACTTTTCAGTAAAAAAAGAAAAAAAATTGTCTGCACAGTAGACTTATTAGTTTCGCACCTGGAAAAGTTCAGATATTGGCAAGGAGGCAGGGCCGAAGCTACTCTAGTTTTTAGCGTCGTAGTCAATCTTCCTTGATGTGTAGGTACTGCGGCAATCGTTGTAGCTCGCGAGGCAGGGCAGGCGGGTGGGTAGGTAGGTACGACTTTGACCAATAGGTGCAGAAGTCGTGTTCTGTTCATCACGATTGATGTTTAGCTCGACTAGACAGAAAGTAATATCGCCTCAGTTACCGGCTTCAGTACCGGGTCAATCTAAAGACAGACTGCGAAACAGGATCATGGATACCGGCCTCAGTTTCCGAGATGCCAATTAACCATTTGAGCTGCCTAGCAGCATGACCTATCGACCACTGCTATTCCAGTATAAATTCGTTTGTTTTCTAGCGGAAATGTCACCAAGATCAGTCTCCAGGGTATTTGGGGTTGAGACCAAACTTCACCACATGAACATGAAAGGCGGTTCCCAATCTCTATACGCTAAAAATCCGAATACAATTGAAAGAGCGAGCGAATGATTGAATCTGCTGCTTTTTCTTTTTCTTTCGTCACCTCACACATGAAGCCGTGGCTATTTTTTTCTCCGTCTCGCTCGCGAGCTACGTGCGCGTCACCGCTCCTGTCCGCGGCGCGCATTACCATTGTTCATGATGCCTTACTCGGCCATCGCATCTAATTTTGCCTCCATCCGCGCCATCGCCGTCGCCAACTTGTCGATGTCAGCAGTGTGTTGACCTAGTGTGTGGAACATCGCTCCCTGCTGTGTTGCTAACTGCTGCTGGGTCTCCGTCGTACGGCAGAGCAGATCCATCAGCATCGTCTCCATCTTCGGGCCTGCCGTAACTTGACCATCGCCAGCATTGGCCGCCACAAGATCTTGCGACGCGCCAGCAACGGGCTGAGCCACCACCTGGTTCGCAATTCCAATTCCTGATCCCCGGAGCGGCTCGGCAGGGCGCTTGGGGGCCTCAGTCTGCTGCTCGTCGCTCTCGACAACCTCCACGGCTGCACCATTATCAAGCGGCGCGGCCACGGCGTTCTTGCGGTCCTCCAGGTTCTTCATCGCCACATTGGACAGCTTCTCCAGCGTCGCGATATCGCACGAGTTGCGCGGCTGGGTGTCAAACACAAACACCGTACCAAGAAGGTGGCCCGACGGCGTGCAGATCGGCGCGCCGGCGTAGAACCGGATCTTGGCCGCTCCCGTCACAAGCGGGTTCTTGGCGAATCGCTTGTCCAGCAGCGTGTCCATGACGACCATCGGCTCCTTGGACATGATGGCGTGCGCGCAGAAGGACACGGAGCGCGGCACCTCGTTCTGCGCCAGACCCACACTAGCCTTGAACCACTCGCGGTCCTCGTCCAGCAGGCTCACAGCCGCGATGGGGCTCTTCAGAGCGTTGCTGGCCAGGTCGCAGATAATATCGAACACGTCCTCGGTCGGGGTGTCCATGATGTCGAAGCCGCGCAGGATCTCGAGGCGCTCCGACTCGCCAGGAACGATCGGAGGCTTGGGCCACGGGTGGTCCCAGCTGAAGTCCAGCGGGTAGTCGAACTCGGGCTGCTGGAAGTCGCGCGTGAAGTGCGACAGGTCTCCCTCCGAGTTGCCCGTGGGCGAGTGGAAGTTCTGCGCCTCCCAGTGCTCCTCGCGCGGGGGCGGCGAGGACGCCGTGGTGGTGCCGGTCGTGGGGGCCGCCGGCGGCGCCTGCGGGTTGGCCTGGCCGTTGGCGTGCGACAGGATGCACGACATGCACACGCGCACCAGCGAGCGGCCGATCACGGGCAGCTCCGCCTCCTTCTTGAGCGTGCAGTTGCCGCAGACCACCTCACCACACTGCACAGACAGAGACAGAGACAGAGAGATAGAAGGTCAGTTAGCTGCGACCCCTCCACACGCAGCAAGATGGACGACGCGCGTACCTTGCGGCAGTGGTGCTTTCGCCGGAAGCGCGTGAAGTTCCGCGTGCACACGTGGCATCTGTATCGCTCCGTGTCGAGCACCCAGTCGTCCTGGTGGCGCAGCTGGTCGATGGTCAGCACGTCGTTGCCGCCGATGGTGCTGCTGCCCTTGAGTCCCTTGCGCGACATGGCGTCTGTCTGTCTGTCTGACTGACTGTCAACCTGTGAGCAGAGCGGGGGGAAAGCAAAGGAGGAGAAGAAGAGGGGGGAGGAGAGAGAGAGAGAGGAGAAGGAGGAGGGGGGGGCGGCGATTAGCACTCGGGCGTACGCATATACACACAGGCAGGCAGGCCGAGGAGACTTACGGCGTCGAGAGTGCTGTTCTGTGCGGGGGGAGGGGAGGCTCGACGGACTGTCTTGACTCGAGTGGGGTGCGCTCTCTCTTGCTCGCGCGCGCTGCCTTCCGTCCACGCGTGTGCACGAGTCGGCCGCCAAACTGTTGAGCAAGTGGCGCCCTGGTCTGCGGAGAGAGCGCATACAAAAGGCGAGAGAACCAGAAAAGGGCCAGTTTCGCCCCGTCGTCGAACGCGAGGGGGCGACGTGTGCCGCATTTGTGGTACCAGGGCCCTCCAGGCGTAGAAGCCCTCCACATTGCTCTTATGACGGCCGAGGTAGGGCTGCCCAAGTAAGCTCCTACCTAACCTGCTGTCTGCTGCTGCCTGCTCCGGGCGCGCCCGCGTGGCGGTAACTCGGGCCTCCACCACTCGGAGCAAAACTTCTTAGCCCCGGGCTGTGACGTCCATCTCCGCCCAAAATAAGGCGGGGATAGGCGCCGCAAGCTCCTCTCACGTGCAGAAGGAGCCCAAAGGGGGTCATCCCCTGCGAGCGCGAACACTGCGCGCCCGGCAGACCACCAAGATCCGGGGCGGGGCGACGCCGGTGGCGGGTTGATCGCCGCTCTTCACTCGGGCTTTCTATCGTTTGACGATGGCACGACTTGCCGACGAAGTTTGTCTGGCGCTGGGTATGCCGCCGCAGTGTACAAAGCCCCCAGAGCGAGGTGTCTCAAGTGGAGCTGCCTCGGCCTCGGCAGCGGGGGGCACTCAGAGAAGGGCCACAAAGGCAACACCAAGCTGAAGTTGCCGCCCCGCTGGCCTCGACCTTGACCGACGCGAAATGCCACGGCCGCGAGGGCCCTGCCCTAGCAGGGAGTGGCAAGCTTCGACTGCGTTCGCAGCGGAGACCGAGCGCCTGGCTTGAAACTCGAGGCTGTTTACTCAGCGACGTTCCACCCCGGCCGCCCCCATCTCGGTGCAGGCCTCCCGCAGCGTTGCTGTAACGGGGTGCAGGTGCCCGAGCCAGAGCCGCTTTCGCTAGGCTGGCGCCGGCAACACATCACATCATCGCGCCGAGTTGAGCGCTCTCAGCGCCGCCGAGCATCGCAGGAGCTGTAGATCGGCGCTCGTTCCTAACAAACTGCACGCCCCGCAATCTGGACTCGCCGAGCGTGCCTAGAATTACTGCGTGGGTGGCTTCCTCGGTCTTCGAATTGATCGGTGGACCTCATCGCGGTCGCCGCGTTGTGGAGCGAGCCGCTTCGATTCAGAGCCCTGAAATGGCTTCGCAGGCGGGAAATCCACCGACAACGCCACGCCGGCAGCACAAGCGACGGAGACCGGAGGCGGGCTCCGCATCCACCAGCAGCGCGACCAACGTGTGGCAAGCCACTGCAACTACAACTTGGGCCGCGATGGCAGCATCGTCTCGCAAATGACTTAAACAGTAGAATCAGTGTATCGGCGAAGGTGTCATACAGAACTAATCTATTTCAGTGGAGTTTTGGGGAGAAGTACTATATTACGTTAAGGTCCACAAATAAAGCTGTGTTGTGTCAGCTTCAACTACGGCACACTGTACCAGTCTTTGCATTCGCCCACTTTCTTCTCGTCGCCACAGTCGAACCCCAGCCCATACTAACCGCCATGGCGAGCCGCCTGAAGGAGTACCGCTACTACCTCAGCAGCGGCGTGAGCACGGGCATCTCCGTCAAGGTCTCGCTCGTGGAGCTGGCACCGGCGCTCGGATGCTCCGTGAGCAGCGAGACGCCGCGCCGCGAGGCGTCCGAGGCGCGGCTGGAGCAGCTGGCGGGCTCGTCCTCCGAGGTGCGCAACTCGCCCGTGAGCGAGATCTTCCTCACGGCGCAGGTCTTCTCCGACGGGCTGCCGCTGCACCCCATGGTCATAAGGTGCGTCTCCGCTCTCTGCGCGTTCGTTTGCCGTGGCCTGCAGCCTCGTAGCCGCCCTGGAAGCTGAGAAACCGTGTCATCTCTTGTGTGTCTGCAGCTCCAAGAGCCCCACCAAGTGCAGCAACTCGACCATCTACTGGAACGAGTGGATCTCCTTCCCCGTGCGCTACCGCGACCTCTCGCGCAACTCGCTGCTGGCCATCACGATCTGGGGCGTGGGCTGGGTGCCCATCGGCGGCTCCACCATCTCCTTCTTCACCAAGCAGGGCGTGCTGCGCGACGGCGTGCAGTGTCTGCGCATCTGGGAGGGCCGCGAGGCCGACTCGTCCCCCAACACGTCCACGCCCTCGGAGATCGACGAGGAGTGGGTGCGCCAGGAGTGCTTCCGCCTCGACAAGCTGCGCGAGAAGTACGAGCGCAAGGAGATCGCGCGCAACGAGTGGATGGACAGCGTCACGGACCGCCGCATCGCGCGCATCCGGCGCGGCAGCGAGCCGCCCACGAGGAGGGACGCGCTGGGCCCCTTCTGCTCCTACCGGGAGGACGCGCTGCTGTGGCTCGAGATGCCTTACTTCGGCGACGTCGTCGTGTACGAGGAGGAGCCCTACTCGCAGCGCAACCTCACGTCCTCGTACACGGCAGACATGGGCCCCAGGCGGATGAACTACGAGGGCAGCAGCACTCCGTCGTCGGCGCAGGCGTACGACTCGCACACACTCAGTGGGTCGTACGATCTGGCCACGACGCCGGCGTCCTCCGGCTCCCGAGAGCTGCCCAGCCTCGTGACGGTGTGGGATCCTGATCTCAACGAAGACAACCCCGCCGAGCGCAAGTACCGTCGCCTTGCGCGTGATATCCTGCGTGGTTCCATCGATCCCAACCTCAAGCCCAGTCGTGACGAAAAGGCTCGTATTGAGCAGTTGCTGGCAACGCCGACGGACAACCTCAAGAATGAGGACAAGGACTTGCTGTGGAAGTTCCGCTACACGTTGACCGACAACAAGAAGGCGGTGGTGAAGTTCCTGCTGTCTGTCGATTGGAAGGATGAGCTGGAGGTGAAGCAAGCGACCGACCTGCTGTCCCAGTGGTGCGAGATCGACATCGCTGATGCGTTGAAGCTACTCGGTCGCGAGAAGGAGTTCAAGCACGAAATCGTGCGTCACTTCGCTGTGTCTACCCTTGCAACGGCGAAGAACGAAGATCTGCTCGACTTTTTGCTGCAGCTGGTGCAGGCTCTGCGCTATGAGAAGCCAGGTGCCTCCATGACATCTTCTCGCGGGCCCATGAATGGAGACGAAGCGTGCAGTACCGATGGGTCGATTTCTGGTGACAACCTCGGCCCACTAGCTCGGTTCCTCATTGCTCGCTCAAGCACAAACTTCCAAATGGCCAACTACTTCTACTGGTACTTGAAGGTGGAAGCAGGCGAGCAAGGAAACGACTCGGAGATCTTCCACACCGTGCTAAACCAGATGCTGACTGAGATGAAGCGGGACGAGGAGAAGAAATCTATCTATGATATGCTGATGGCCCAACGCGATTTCATGAGCCACATCTTGGCCATTCACAACAAGGCACGCGAAGAAAAGGGAAGAAAGGATCAAAAGGAGGAGAAGTTGCGGCAATTCCTCAAGCAGTTCCCGTGGCCCAGGGGCACAGTCATCTCGTTGCCTCTCGATCCTACAGTTCATCTGAGTGGAGTCGTCCCATCCTCCGCCAAAATGTTCAAGAGTGCCATGTACCCCGCTGTGATCCAGTTCCAGACAGTGATCCCCCCAGCGGATCAGCACCACCACGCCATCACAGCCGAGGGCGACAGCCATCATCCCCCGAACTTGGCAAACTTGGGCCAATCGATGTTTGGTGGAAGTGACTCTAGCATTATGCGTGAATCTCTGCCAACTCGAATGATCAGCTACTTGCACCGTGAAAAGGAAGGACCGATGTACAAGTTTATGGTGAAGAACGGTGACGATCTGCGTCAAGATCAGCTGATCATGCAGATGTTCATCCTGATGGACCGACTGCTGAAAAAGGTGAATCTCGACCTGAAGTTGACCCCGTACCGCATTTTGGCCACGGGCGCGAACGACGGCCTGATGGAATTCGTGCAGGATTCGTATCCTGTATCATACGTGGTATCCCATTTTGAATCGCCCCAGATTGTTGGATTCCTGCGGAAGCACAACCCAGACCCAACTGCAGAGTTTGGAATCGCCCCCGAGGCTCTGAGCACGTACGTGAAGTCTGTGGCCGGCTATTGCGTGCTGACGTATCTGCTGGGAATCGGTGATCGCCACTTGGACAACTTGATGATGAAGGCCGAGGGACACCTTTTCCACATTGATTTCGGTTTTGTCTTCGGAGCTGACCCGAAGCCATACCCGCCTCCATTCAAGCTAACGAAGGAAATGGTGGAAGGTATGGGCGGCCCCACAAGCGAGCACTACCAGAAATTCACAACGTACTGCTGTCAAGCATACAACTGGCTGCGCAAGAGTGCTGATCTGATTCTGAACTTGCTAAGCCTGATGGCGGACTCTGGCATTGAAGAGTTGTCAGCGAACCCGGCTACAACTCTGCTGAAGGTGGAGGAGAAGTTCCGATTGGATCTGACTGACGAGCAGGCAGAGCAGTTTTTCCTCGGTCTCATCAACGATAGTGTGTCGGCCCTGTTCCCGCTGCTTGTGGACTGGATCCACAAGGTTGCAACGAAGTTGAAGTAGGCGTTCTCCACCTCGAATCTAATATGTTGTCTCGCGTTTAGCTCTTCAATTGATAGATAATATACAATACTTCCTTATTAGGCGGCTTCTCTCTCACTACCAAACGCTAGTTGCGAGCTCAAGAGAACATCGTTTGCCTTCCGGAAATCCTTTAGCACAGCCAACTTCTCCATTCGTCGTTGGGGGTGCACGAAACTTCCCGTTGCCTCCGCTATTGCGATCGCTGCTTCCTGCTGCTGGACGTGCTCCTGGAAATGCAAGTTGAGCATCTGGTTCATGCGAAGATGCTGCTTCGAGTTGGAGATAGAGGCGGATGCTGCTCGACTCGGGGAGTACGGAGGCAGCACCGTGCGGCCCGGTGTCGTCGCCCCCATGGAATTGTGAGAACCACTACTGTCTGGCCTGGGCGACGATATCGTTGGCAGGGAGACGTGAGGGGCCTTGAGGGGAAGCTGTCCGGACCCCAGTGGAAAATGCCGTCCTAGCTGCTTGGAGACCTCGATGACAGCACATACGTACGTCAACTCCCGCTCGTATGCTGCATCATGGAGTTTCTCGACTGCTTCGTTAACATTCCCGACGCTTTCAGCCAAAGCGCAAAAGGCAACATCATCCGTTACCAGTGGCAAGCGGCCTCGAATTCGCGCGATACTTGCGTACAAAGCTTGTCGAGTCTCGAAGAGGTCAAGTGCAAGGGCGAGTAACTTCTCCCAAAACTCAATCCACGGCATCGTCGACGAAACATAACCAAGCTGCTCAGAAGAAACAACAAGTTAGACCAACAAGTTACTACACAGTAGCAAGCAACGCCAATGTACCTGACGATAAGTCTCCATTGACTGCTTCCGGCGCACATCCAAGCGGTCCTTTTCGGGGGACAACAAGCCACTGCGCATTTGTGTTCCAGCTTTCAAGCGTACATTGGGCGGCGAAGGCGTTTCTCGGCCCCGGTATTGAGGGTTTGTGAGCAACTGCGCCATCTCTTCCAGTGCTGCTTGCTTCTTCGCAAGAAAATCCTCATGACGCCGCTCCGCAATTTCCAGAGCGCTATCTTCACTTTTGCCCACGACTTGGTTGTCATCAACAGCAACAGTTTTTGACGGCACATGTTCTTCCTCGAGGGCAGCGGATTCATCGGCGGCGTCCTCAATTTTGACGAGAGCTGGCGGATTTCGTGCCGCTGCGATGCTTAGTCTTCGCTTGGACAAGGTGGGCATCTTAGTTTGGGGACTTGCGGAACTTTCGCTGTCGAGGTTGATGTTCAGGTTTCGGCGGCTCTTACGGAACACGCGCTGGAGACGCCGAACTGCTCTACCGTACAACTCGGCTCGTACCTCTTCAATTGTCTGAACGACGGTCTTCTGCAGCAACTGCGCAAAGCGTTCGTCGTACGGCGTGGTGAGCTCAGTGAGTGAAACCAAGGGGGGAACGTGACGGTTGGCAGTGCGTGCACGTTTGTACTCCGTCACGCACTTGTTGTCTTCTCCTAAAGACTGGAAGCAAAGCCCGAGGTTGTAGTGGATGGCAGCCAGCACCTGGGACTGCTTTGCGAAGTTCAGGGCGATCACATAGTAGTCCAGTGCGAGCGTGTAGTCCTCGTGGTGGAAACATTTTTCCGCCAGGGAGTACCACAAATCAAAGTACTGCTCGTCTCGTAACGTGGTGTCTTGCTGTATACCTTTGAGCTTCAATACTGACGTTAGACTTTGAGCTGCTGCCACGTAGTCTCCACTGGCCTGTTGGCTCTGCATCAGCATTAATCGATAGTCTCCCTCGTTATATACGGCAGAGTGTGTCATTGCTGAGGCAGTCAGAATGGGGACCTCGACGGGCGTTGGCTGATGCGTGCTAACTTCATGCAGGGCAATGACCTTGTTCATACACTCGATAGCTTCCACATAAAGCTTTAGACGATGACACACTTGAAACTGAAGAAACAACAGGTTGGGGCGGTCCTTATCGCAAAAGCTCACAAACTGCGAAAAGAGCTCGAGGAAAATATCGCGCGTCTTCTCTAAATTGTCATCGCCTTTATGCCAGAAGAGGCCGATGGCGTAGCGAAGCAGCAGCATCGGATCAGCCAGACTCCCAATGTACGCAAAAGCGCTCGTAAAAGCTCGAAGGCTCTTGCTTAGATGAAAGCGGGCAACAGGTAAATACTTCCGATGGCGCATGAAGATGTCCAAGTGCGCCGAACCGAGCCAAAACCAGTATTCCTGCGTACCAGTTGCGTTCTTGTGCAACAACGCTGCGTGTTCCAATAGCAAAATGGCCGACATACTCGTGCCGGACCAGCGAGCATAGCGGAGACCAAGTTTAAGTAAGTTCTCTTCATTCCGCGGATCCACCATGACAAGTTCTTCCAGTTGGAGACAGCCGACCTTCTCGATGATATTGCGACCTGCCAGCCACTTGCCCCACTTCTTGTGGTAGTTTGTCACGTTCTGGGCGATCCCTGAGTGTTGAGATGAGTGCCGCTTTGATGGTACCTGCAGTTTGTCATGCGGACGAAGGGCTGGGCCCGAACGTTTCTCAGCTGGCCTTGTTACCACAGCCTTCGTCTTTACAGCATTAGCTCGAGCCAGATCCGGTAATACGTCAATGCTTTCAATGGTACTCATTCGTCGCGCACGATTCCTCCTCTTGACGTCTTCTGCTGTATGTCTTCGCTCGAGTTTGGGCGTCGGCTCGGCGATTACCTGTTCATTGGGAACTTGTGCCACGGTGATCCTTCTGGAAACCTTCGACCTTGCCTTCGCTTTTTCTATCGGGCTTGCAGTCCCATTCTTCTTGCTTGGAGTTAGTGACTTTTTCCTGGCGGTTAGCTTGGGTTTCTCCGCCGATGACGTTTCCTCTGGGAACACCGTTTGTGAGGTAGTACTATCTACCTCGAATGTGCTCGGATTTGGTATGATTTCGACCGTGTTTGGGTGTTTCATTTCATCTTCAGCCACTGCCTGTAGCTGGTCCGAGGGAGAAGAGATGCGTATTACATTAGTGTCTTGTCGTTGCTGCTTGTCGTTCAGATCATGGTCATCTATCGAGTCGATCTTTTCTTCCTGGCCACGATTTGAACTCGTACATTCTTCATCACCTAGAAGATGCTTGGCAGACTCAACTACACTCTCACTTGGACCGCTCAGTACTGGTGAACCTTCACTTCGCGTCAGCTGATCGAGTTCTGCAATACTAAAAGACGTAAAAACAGTCTCCTTAATCCTGTCATCTACCGCCAACGCGGTCACGTGTTGCTGATGGACGACACATGCAATGGTGTCGGTGTCAGCGCAGACCACATTTCCCTCCAGCTTTAACCCCAGTTCATCTGCGTCGTTTGCCACTATACTACCACTTGTTTTCTTATGACCAAAGTCTGGAGGACTCTCGACATCTCTCGATTCGTTGGCGTTGCGGGTACAAGCAAGATTTAGATCTCCGTTCGAGGCCGTATCATTACTCCGAGACTCTGCATCATTTTCGTCTTCAAAGGGTTCGCCTAACGCGTTGCTGCTGACACGGTCACTATTTTCCACATCGACATCGCCACTTTGTTGATCGTTTTCACTGAATTGGACCGGAACGGCAGTGCCAGCGTCTTCGACGCTCTCTTTTAGTCTGCTTGACGGGTTGTCGAGATCTTCCTCGTCGTTGTTTTTCTCCTCTAAGGGCAAGTCGTGCACTTCGTTTGCCGGACTTCGGTGCACTTCGCTGTCGTTATTCTCAAGCGTTCCTTCCTCGGGACTCGTTGTATCACTGGACACCTCTTCAGTCTCTTCCGGTGGTATGGCAGGCGAAGTAATCGAGACTTTCTGCTCTTCCCAACAAGCTTGCGGCGGTGGTGACGGAGGCACCAACTCTCCCTCACTAAGTAGAGCAGGCTGGTGGGGTGAACTTGATTCATATACCTCTGCTTCTTCACTTTCTGTCGTAATAGCTCCAATAACAGGCAAGAAAGAGTTATCGCTCACTTGGATCTCTTTCTTGACGTCCTCAAAACTGGGCACAGCGGTTTGGAGCATCTCGAGTTCTCTCCGCCCGCTCGTTTCCACAGCAACTTCCTCATTCCCCTCGGGCATCAAATTATCGGAAGGGAAAATCAAAAGTTCAGGGTCGACGAGAGGAACGATGGCCTCCTGCACTTGTTCAACTTCACTTTCAGGAATCGCAGTAGCAGCAACGGTTGCTTCTGCCTCTGGCGGAGTCAGGAATTCTTGGACGGGTGGCTTGGTTACATCCGATAACGGAGCTAGGCGCCGCACGACCCCTTTAGAACCCACCGAGTTCGACCGCTGTCTCAATCTGTCTTGCGATTCAGCACGGTTCTCCATGGACATCGACGGTGGTAGGTTCTGCCGGGGAGATTGTTCATGAACAGGTGCCTCATTAAGTAGTTGGCTGTCAGAAGGCTCCGGTTTGTCGGTAGTGGGGCTAATCGATTCCGAATCCGTTCGGTCAACCTTGCCTGTAGTTTTTGCTAGTGGTTGATCACAATTTCCTTGCTCTCCAGGTTTATCATGATCCGGGAGTGGTTGCTTTTCGGTCTCAGTGTGGGAAGCAATCTCTGGGTTCGCCACTTCAGAACAAATGGGTTTCTCGGGCTTTGGACTTTGCAAAGTAGGAGCCGAATGTGACGGACCTAGAGCATGAAGCTTCAGAGCTGGTGAAGTGGCGGTTCTGCTGTGCCCAAAAACCGCCTTCAAGTTTCCAGTGCTCCGCTGCATCGATGCTCCCATGGAAGTTACCATCAGAACACGTCTTGTTGTGCCCAGCAGCTCATCCAGCCGGGATGGGGGCGTTTCTAAAGCGGGGCGTTCGGCTGTGATCTCAATACTCATGCCGATGTCATCCTGCCAGTGATCCTTCTTCAGCACACTTCTGTGCACCTCCGACGGTCTTCGTCGTAAAAATTGTTCAGGCTCAGGCGTGTCGCTGGGCAAGTTTTTCAGGGCGTACGCATTGCCGACAACTACACTCGACCGAGGTGCAGATGAAGCCCTGGGCTGGGGTGCAAGCTTCTCGGTACTGCTGACAGCCATCATTGAGGAGCGTCTCGAGCCTTCTCCAGATAAATCCTGCTCCGTTTCCTCGACAACGTAAGAGTTCTGCACTTGAAGTGAACTCGGAGTACGTGGTGAGATATCTTGGGCAGCCTGCACTCGAATGCGCTGTTGGCGCCCCTTTTGGCGACGGTCTTCAAGGTCCTTGTGCTTCGTCTTTCGCTCTGGGAGAGCCCTCTTGACGGGTGATAACCCTGGGGCCAAAGTGTATGGTTGAACCCTGTAGGCGTTGATGTCCTTGTCGTCTTCTTCATACAAGGGCAGGGCATGCTCAGTCTCTTCGTAGTTTGTTTCAAGTTTGGACTTCCACACCGTCTTGGAGTCGGCGACTGCCATGCGATGTAGAATGCTCCCCTCGCTACTTTTCCGATCCATTTTTCCCGACTCAGCTTCACTCCCAGCACTTTCATCGTCTCCACTCGCGTCCTGCTCGTGTCGTCGCATTGCCTTTGCGACCGCCTCCATCGTACGCTTTGAGGTCTTCTGCACTCGAACGGCGCGTTGATCCTGACGCTTGGAGGGCAAGTGCGGGTTCCGCTGCTTTTCAGGCGGCGTGGTGGCTGGTAACACGCGCGTCTTCTTCTCGACGTGAGGCTCCGGTTCTCGGCATACCAACCTCCCAACGTCTCGCTGTCGGTTGCCGATGATGTTTAAATGACCGAGGATCCCATTTGCCATCGCCTCCAGGCTGATCACCTCGGTGGCTGCAGCTTCGACTGGGTACGCGGCTCGATACAAATACTCTGCTTTCTGTCGGGTAACAAACAGCGAGTACTCGTTTTCGACGTCATCTCGAGCTGCAACTCGGAACCCGGCGGTCCGTGACGGAGTTAGAGGCGTTGAAGGCAGCGGCGTCGATCGGAGTGAAGACGACGGCGTGCCCGTAGTTCGGGAGGTTGCGGCGTTCTGAACTTCATAAATCTCGATGGAGAGCAGCCTTCCGGATAGAGCCACGTTTTCAACCTGGAGCACGAGTTGGTCTCTTGGCTGGGAGGAAGGCTGTAGCGTCTCCCGAGCGCTTGAGTTGACAGCACTCATGCTTCACTGGAATGCTTGGGGTGCACTCGGAGTGCTAGTCAGGTTAAACCAAAGCTCAACTCAATTTAGCCAAAGCGAACTGAGTATAATTAGGAGGTGCTGGTGGTTGCCATTGTATCGTAGGACGTTTCCACACGACGTATCTATCCTGATACGTCTGAAGTTCATCGTTGCTTCATGAGGCGTACACCCTTCCCAGCTTTGCGGGCTCAAAGATTTGCGATCGGATGGCGGCTGTCTACAATGTTGAGTCAACGGCGTAAAGTACACAGCAATCTCTGGTGTCGAAACAGCCACGGATCGGTACCATCACGGCTTCACTCTTTGCTGTTCGATTGAAAGGGCTGCACCTTCCAAAGGACTAGTACAGCAACCGAAAGCATATGCATTACGCGTACCACTTGCGGCTCCGGACGCTTCACTTTTCATTTGTACACCAGCGACATTTTTGGTTGGGGTTGGGGTGACGCCCTCCCCCGGAACACGTGGCCAGCATGATGCTAGCTACGCGCTTCCGGCAGGTGCTCTCGTACGTCCCTAGCGGGTCGTTCCTTCGCCCCCAAGCCGACAGCACTAGCGACAACTACAACTCCCACCCTCTTATCGCGCTCTCCTCGCCGCGCGCATCAAACTAACCGTTTTAGGATAGGTTCGTTTAATGTCCAGTCGTTAGGTTCGACCCGCAAGCAGCAGGACACGCTCCCCCAGGACCTCCGGCGCTACCGCATCGACGTTCTCGGCATCCAAGAAACACGCATCTGCACCCTCGACAAGAAACGTATCGGAGACTACACGCTACTCACACTACCAGCCGTACAGGAGTGCCACGGGATCGGCTTTGCCATCTCCCCCCGCATCCGCCCCTACTTATACTGCTATTGGGCACACTGCGATCGAATCGGCGTCGTTCAGCTCTTACTCCCCCACGCAGGCCCCGTGAACATCGTCACGGCGTATGCTCCCCACAGCGGTCGGCCTCTCGCCGAAGTAGATCGATTGTACGCTGATCTCAGCGACACACTTGACCAACTACCAAGGCGCAACATCGCGTTCGTGACCGGCGACTTCAACGCCAAGCTCGGACAACAGATCAACGGAGAGGCATTCATGGGACCACATGCACGAGGCATACGCAACCGAAACGGCCACGCATTAGCTGACTTCTGTTCTACTCACCTTATCTTTGCCACTAACAAGGTTTCAAAAGCGAGCCCGCCACAAAACAACATGGAGTCAGCGCCGGACGAATCGCTGTATTTACAACCAGATCGACAATATCCTATGCCCTCAGAACTGCCGACGGTTCTGCATGGACGCACGATCCTGGGGTGGAACGTTGACGGCGTCGGACCACAAGCTCGTCACCGCCGACTTCATCCTAAACGCGGCCACTCACCGACTCCGCTACAGCGCGGTCAAGCCAGATCCAGCACTCAAGTTAGCACGAGATCATCTCATCTACGACGACACAGCACGAGACGACTACACGAACGCGCTCCAGGCAGCGCTCTCACAGCCAACAGCACAAGGCAGCACCGTTCTCCAGCGCTGGACAGACACGCTCGATTGAATCCGAGAAGCAGCCGAGGGGACTATAGGATTCGCAGGTCCTAACCACCGCCACGTACGACATCACGACGATGAACTTCAGCTGCTCTCTGAGGCCCAGCAGGTGCTTCAGCTTCGAATCTACAACGACTGCGCCGCTAACACGATCGAGCTCCGAGCCGCCCGCAACAAGATCCTCCATCAAATCCGAGCGCGATGCCGAGCCATCGCATCTCGCAAACTGGACGAGCGGATTACACGCATTGAAATCTGAGCGACTCGGCACGAATGTATGCAGCAGTTCGAGACATTAGCCCCCATCGACCCCAACCGCTGTTACTCCACGACCAAGAAGGTAAGTATATCCTGCGGCAACAAACTACTAACAAGGTGATCACAGATCACTTCCGAACGCTGTTTTATGACCCGGGGCGGCCACATCCTGTTCCGGATCGTGAACCGCGATCTCTAACCCGTCCTGTTACAGCAACAGAAGTCGAAGCAGCCTTTCGGCGCCTCAACAACGGACGCGCCGCTGGGCCAGATGAGCTCCCAGCAGAACTTCTTAAGTACGGGGCTTCAGTCCTCGCGCCTCTTCGCAGACCTCGTCAACTGCAGCTTCGAGCAAGGCACCCCCCTCGCACTCGGTGAAGGAACACTCGTGTGCCTGCCCAAGCCCAACAAGCCCCGAGGTGTATGTTCCAGTCTCCGCCCCATCGTGCTGTTAAGCAGCATTCGCAAGGCCTTATCTCTCGTCGTACTCGCACGGATATCCGCTGCGGTGGACACATTCCTGTCCCCCAATCAAAGCGGATTCCGCAAACACAGAAGCACTGCTGACGCCGTGTGGGCGCACAAATGGCTCTGTGCCCGCGTGCAACGCTATCGTGAAACCATACATGTCCTCGGCATCGACCTCTCGCGCGCGTTCGACACAATCGACCGCGTAAAGCTTGTAGAAGTACTCCAGACATTCTTACACGACGACGAGGTCCGATTGATCAAGGTTTTGCTCGCCGACACAAAGCTCTCTCTGCGCTCCGGGTCCAAGGCACAACACAGCTTCGATAGCAACATTGGAACGCCGCAGGGCGATGCGCTTTCACCGGTCCTGTTCGTCATCTACCTGGAAGCTGCGTTACGCGACCTCGCATCCCACCTCGGAGTAAATCGAACCCTACTCGACCAAATGATCGTCTATGCTGATGATGCAGACTTTGTCTGCCGCGATACCGAGCTGGTCCAGCGCATCCAAGCCGAAGCACCAGCAGTGTTCGCACGCTGGTCCCTCCCGATGAATGCAACTAAGCCAGAACAAACCATGATTCAGCGATGTACAGGCTCGTCGGGCTACTCCCGACACGCTCGGGCGACAGAAGAGGCGTGGCGCTCCACACAGAAGCTTGGCAGTCTACTCGGCGACTTAGAAGATCTGACACGACGCAAAATACTCGCAGCAGGCGCGCTACGTCGGCTCTGGACAATATGGATCCGGCCCCAGTACGTCAGTGACGCCACCAGAGTCCGGCTGTATAACTGCTATGTGCTTCCTGTTCTGCTGTACAACAGCGGAACGTGGGCACTGACGCCGTCCGAGCTGAGCGGACTCGAAAGCTTCCACCGCCGACAACTACGTAGCGTACTAAACATTCGCTACCCTCAGCGAATCTCTAACGCCACGCTCTACGAAATCTGTCAGGAACGCCCGCTCCGCCCCAGAATCACAGCAGCACGATGGCGTCTGTTCGGCCACATCCTGCGCCGGCCCGAGATCCCAGCGTACACCCCGTTGGCCGCCTACTTCGACTCGTCGTCCAAGGGAACCTGGCGTGGACGCCCACGCACGACACTACCGACTGTGCTCGATGCGGACCTTATCTCGAGCGGATACGCCTATCGCCTCGAGACCCGCCGTGACCTGGACCAACTTCGGCTGCTTGCACAAGAGAAACCTAAATGGAAAGCCCTCGAGAGGGCAATTGTCGCCGCACTGCCGGCGAAGAAGGACCCGACGTATGCGGACACCACCTTATGCCGTCGACTAGCAAAGCTGAGCCTAGCGACAGCATAGTGTGGCAACGCGAAAACGTAATACATTACATTTACACCAGCGACAACACCAATCCGGCAAACAGTGCGATGGTCTCCACTCAAGCGATCGTTCTCGGGTATGCCGCCCTCGCCGGTCTCTCTAATGACGGCGCTGGTAGCCACATCTCCGCCGAAGTAGGGCTGTCCGCCCAACAGCAGCAGCAGCAATACGCCCCGACAGCTGCCTCCACGCAGCTCAAGATCATGACCTTCAACGTGCGTACGTCCCTCGCCAACGACAAGTGCCCGAGCGGGTGCTGGGAGCAGCGCCGGTGGCGTGCGAAGCAGCTCGTGGACAAGTACGAGCCCGACCTCATCGGCACGCAGGAGGGCGCGCCCGACCAGATCAAGTTCTTCACGTCGAACCTGTCGTACGCGAGTCTGGGCGAGTGCGCGGGTGAGTGCAAGTGGAACGAGCGAGACAGCATTTTCTACAAGCCGGAGCGCTGGGAGGTGCTGGGCAACTCGACGTTCGCGCTGGTAAGCCACTTCAAATGGCTTCGCCATAGTATGCGTGAACGCAGTGACTAACCCGTCTTGTATTTTAGAGTGACACGCCTGAGGTGCTTGGCTCGAACACGTGGAACCTCGAGTATCTGCGTGCAGCGGTGATCGCTCGTCTTCGGGACCGTGTCACGAGCCAAGTCGTGTGTATCCTCAACACTCACTACGACATCACTCGTGGGCAGAACCAGTCGTCGGTGTTGGTGGCTCAGCGTATGAGCGAATATTGCCAGGACGGAGACGCGGTGTTTATGACCGGCGACTTGAACGCGATCCCGACATCACCTGCCGTGAAGTACCTTGCGGGTGATATTCCTTTCAATGGCTCGTATACTCCAATTCCCCTGTATGACTCGCTGATGGCTGCGGGTGCTGGCAACGCGACGTGGATCGGGTCTGGATTCGGCAATCATTCGTGGGAACCGTACAATTTCGACTACATTTTCACTCGTGACGACAAGGAGAAGTGTCTTCAGAACGCGTCGGTGCTGGTTGATCTGTTCGACGGATACTCGAGTTCGGATCATGCGGTTCCAATCTCGGAGTTCTGTTTGGGGCCTGAGTGCTCCAACTGCATTGGCCAACTGGATGCGAAACAGGGTGTGCAAATTCAACTTGGTGCACAAGTATCGCTTTAGACTTGCCTTATGCAGAAACATATACTTTGGACCAACAGCACGTGTGGTGATAACTCTAGCTTTTGCGACAGTATCATAAAGCAACGCGTACAACTTCCATTTTGGTCAAGAAAGATAGAGCAATCACACTTACTTGTTAAAGCTGCTGAGAAGTTTTGAGTGGAAGCGCAGCTTCGGGGCGTAGTAAGTAGCGGCTGAACTTCCATGTCATTCTTTGCTGCACGGAACGATACCACTGAAGTGTACGCACCAAGCATCGCGACATTACATAGTAACCAATTAATCAGTAGTTGATCCTGTGGGTCCGTCTTGGTCGCGCCGATGTGCCACGCAATGGCAGCGCTGATTGCTTGAGCGCCCTTGTATATCCCCGCGAAGTAGCCACACACAGTTGCGTTTCGGTCAGCAAGCGAGCCCATGTACCAGTACACCCAGGTATTGGATAATGCACCCCGAAAACGCCCCAAATCCCAAAGTTTTTCCCAAATGATTTAAGACCATGGGAACGTTTTGGTGCATATTTAGGACAGAATAACCTTCAGTATGAAAGAGCAGCACAGGGCGGACACTCGCGCGTTGGCTCTCGTCTGCGGACTTAGCGACGGGTCTGCGTGGGGGCCGCCCCTCTCTCGCTTCGCTCGGGGGGCGCCGCTGCGCGGCCTGCCCCACCCCCTTGTCCCTTACGCTAAGTTCCTCGTCTCGGCCAGGCGCGGTGTCTAGAAAAAAAAAATATCGGGTTGCAGTACTCGCGTTCGCTCGCTCGCACAGACACGCCCCCGCCTAATCGGCGGGTGTTGGCGATTAGTGAATGCATCGAGTGAGGCTCGCGCTCGCGTCCACTCGCCCTCGCCCATAGACTATAGACCATAATCAGTCAACTCCGTTTTGGTACATATTTGGGATAGTTTTACGAGAAGGCAGTCATATACTTGGCCCCAAATATGTACCTAAATGTTACAGAGACAATTCATTATTTGGGACATTTGGGGCGATTTGGGCACATATTTGGGATGCATTATCAGCTTCCTACACCCAGACTTGACACAGCGCATCGTTCCACCCGTAAAGCGTATACAGTAAAAACGGAGGAAGGAAAGCCGTAAAATCTGCTGCCACGTCGAGATTTCGCGAGCTTCCGTACTGCAAATTCAACTCTGACTGTAGAAACCACCCGATGACCCACGTAAAGTTCGCCAACAGAGTGAATAGAGCCAAAGAACGCACGCCCACGTCCTCCACTACAGATGAGTCAACCCCTCCTTGCTGTTGTGAGCAGCTCTGCACTATCGTGTTCAGCTTTACCCGCTTGCGGACTTGCGCGTCGAGAGCTCTGCCAACCAAGTACGCGGCAGCCATTTGTGCCAACCAGTAAAATGAACTCGCCAGACCACTCTTGCGCACATTGAACACACTCACGTTGAAAAAGGAGTGATACGTTTGCTGTATGCAAACAGCGGCAGTAGACACAGCATGGCACGTAGTTGCTTGGTCGTTGTCGTTTCAAACTGCTGTCTTAACTGCGCCCACCACGTCTCCCTGGATTTACCCACTTCGAAGCTATCGGCGGGGGTGGTACCATCCTCTCGAACGACTTGCCTAGAGTCAACAATCCCAAAAAATACGAGTAGAACGTCTGCGCTATCATCCCGACGAATACAGCATACATCAGCCCTGACGCATGCTCCGCCGGCATCCCACGCGTATCCGAGAAATGCAGACCTAAGCTGATGAATCCTCCCGAGGCGGCGCCTAGATTAAAGATGATCCAGAATGTGCTCAAGTACGAGCCTTGGTTCTCCGACGTAGCGTAACTCATGACCATGCGTCCTTGGGCCATCCACAGAAATCCAGTCGAGATCCCCAACGCAGCACAGGCCCTATAGTAAATCTCCAAAGACGAGTTGAGTACACGCGCCTCCCGATTGTAAAGCGCGGCCGCGTAGCAAACGTATCCCGCTGAGCCCAACATCAACGCAATCCGGACGTTCGTAATACGAGCTGCGACCAGTAAACTGCAAGTCGCAAAGCTCAAGTACACGATCACATTGCCCCGATACGCTACTGCAGGGTCTGACAGCCCGCTGGCGAACGACATTAGAGCGCTAAACAGACCGGGGCAGCAAAAGCACACGAAAGAGAGAACGAGAAGCTGCACAAACGCATCAGTCCGTCGCTTCATTTTTCACGAAGATTTTGTCCGACTGTTTGTCAGGCAACAGCATTCCAATTCAATCAATTACGGCCTGATGCAGTTGGAGCACTGCGAGCCCAGGCAGAACTCCGAGATCGGAACCGCGTGGTCCGAGCTCGAGTATCCGTCGAACAGATCAACCAGCACCGACGCGTTCTGAAGACACGTCTCCTTGTCGTCACGGGTGAAAATGTAGTCGAACTTGTACGGCTCCCACGTTTGGTTGCCGAAGCCATTACCGATCCACGTCGCGATACCAGCACCCGCAGCCGTCAGCGAGTCGTACATCGGAATCGGAGTGTTGGCGCCGTCCAGAGAGACCTCGCCTTCCAGGTACTTCACAGCAGCAGTGGTCGGAATAGCATTCAGATCCCCCGTCATAAACACCGCGTCTCCGTCCTGGCAGAACTCGCTCATACGCTGAGCCACCAACACCGACGACTGGTTCTGCCCACGAGTGATGTCGTAGTGAGTGTTGAGGATACACACGACTTGGCTCGTGGCACGGTCCCGAAGACGAGCGATCACCGCTGCACGCAGATACTCGAGGTTCCACGTGTTCGAGCCAAGCACCTCAGGCGTGTCACTCTAAAATACAAGACGGGTTAGTCACTGCGTTCACGCATACTATGGCGAAGCCATTTGAAGTGGCTTACCAGCGCGAACGTCGAGTTGCCCAGCACCTCCCAGCGCTCCGGCTTGTAGAAAATGCTGTCTCGCTCGTTCCACTTGCACTCACCCGCGCACTCGCCCAGACTCGCGTACGACAGGTTCGACGTGAAGAACTTGATCTGGTCGGGCGCGCCCTCCTGCGTGCCGATGAGGTCGGGCTCGTACTTGTCCACGAGCTGCTTCGCACGCCACCGGCGCTGCTCCCAGCACCCGCTCGGGCACTTGTCGTTGGCGAGGGACGTACGCACGTTGAAGGTCATGATCTTGAGCTGCGTGGAGGCAGCTGTCGGGGCGTATTGCTGCTGCTGCTGTTGGGCGGACAGCCCTACTTCGGCGGAGATGTCGACGGCACTGGAGACGCCGGCGAGGGCGGCAGCACCTAGAAGAATGGATGTCAGGGAAACCATGGTAGAATGGGTCGCTTGAATTGATCCGAGCTCGACTTGTAGAATTGGAAAGTGAGGCCAAGTGTGGAGACTGTATGTCGTTGCGTTGGCCCCTGGGTGGTTGGCTGGCCCCTGGAGCTGTTCATAGGCAATGTCTCCGTAGTCACTGTTGACAAAAGAGCCTAGCTTTGCTGAATGGACGACAGGATCGGGCAACAGGATCGGGTCTTATGGTAGAATATCATCAAATCTCCGGCCGCACTTAAGATGATAGGTATACAAATCCCCAGTCAAACGCCGGAGCATAACAGTATTGCCCTACCCCTTCCCAAAGTGTTATGCATACACAGTCCAAGATAGATTAGTCGTCCCGTTTGCTCATTGGTCGGAGCCTTGGGATGGATGGCACGGAGCGAGCGTAGCGAGCCCCCGCCTGCGGTGTGACAGTCCGTGTGCGTAGCACGCGGCTGCAAACCCAGGACCCAGCAATGCTCTACCTAGCAAACGGAGGCGACGCGTGCGAGCCGCAGCGGGCTTAGGGTTCTGGCCCAGCGAGCGCAGCGAGCCTTTAGGGGTTTTAGGTTCGCGCGTAGCGCGTAGCTGGGTGATAGTTAAAGGTGACCCCCCTCCTATCCGCATGTTTTGTGTACGAGTCGGAGAAGTCGGAGGGTCGGAGGTTTTTGGGTATGGAATGCATGCAATCATTACTCACCGACAGCAGGCTTACCTTCGCGTGGAAAAGATTCGTGTTGAGATGTGTTTGACTCGGTTAATCTGTTGAGTAGAATAGGCAATGCGTGAGTCGTGGCTGCGTGGGTGCCTGGGACGATTTAACCCTTTAATCAAGCAGCCCCCTCTCTCTAAGGCAGGAACTTACAATTCGTAGCAGAACACAGCGATTTACATGTTGTAGCAGGAGGATATCCAAGACATCTGGCTCGCTTGTTTGCGTTGAAGAGTTGAATGACGGATCACCTCAATCCAGAATGATCAACTAAAACAGCGCAAAGCCGCAACATTCGCTTCGTCGCAGAGTTGTCGATGGCCAGGACAACCGGCACTGAATGAAGCCTCTATCTAAGAAGACCAAAATATATGTACACTCCACTGCTGTACGTGTAAGGATGTGGGCGAACATGAGGCTCCCTCGATCCTCGATCGGACTCTACTCAGGCGGGGGACTGGTCGAGAGTGCGCTGTACTTTGGTCATTCTCGCGGACACCATAAGCTCTAGGAAGCCAGGGCGTAAATCTTCAATGCTCCAGGTGGTTGCAGCGAGCCGCACTTGCAGCCTATCTGAAGTATAATGTATTCAATGATTGCGAACGTTGGCAAATTATGGAGTGTGTGTGTACGACCCGTACAGACGACTGACCTAGGCGATGCAGTTCGAACACTCAGTCCCAAGGCAGAATTTAGACATCGGTACAGCGTGGTCGGAGCTGGAATAGCCGCCAAACGTGTCGACCAGAATGGTGCCGTTGCGCAGGCAGGTGTGGTCATCCCGGCGGGAGAAAATGTAGTCGTACTTGCAGTCCACGGGGTGATCCCCGAAGGAGGACCCGATCCAAGTAGGTCCGCCTGCACCTGCTGCAGTTAGCGTTTCGTACAGCGGGATCGGCGTGTTGGCTCCGTTGATTGGGCCTTGGTTAGCGAGGTACAAGACCGCCGCGCTCTGAGGGACAGCGTTCAGGTCGCCAGTCAAGAGTACGGTGTCTGTCGCCTGGCAATGCTGCTTCAGCCGGTCTGCAACCAGAACCGCCGACTGCGGCTGACCCAGGGTGATGTCGAAGTGCGTGTTCAACATGCACACAACACGACCACTGGTCTTGTCGCGGAAGCGGGCGACAACTGCAGCGCGCAGGTACTGGAGCCCCCACGTGTTTGATGGCAGCACGTTGGGGGTATCACTCTGTTATCGTTACAGCATGGCCCAAAATGTTAGTGGTATGTCAGTAAAATGCTAAGAAGAAGTCATGCTGTGCACAACGTACCAAAGCGAACGTCGACGTCTCCAGTAGATCCCAGCGATCGGCCTTGTAGAAAATGCTGTCGCGCTCGTTCCATTGGCAGTCGCCCGCGCACTCCCCCGTGCTGGCGAACGAAAGCTGGCTCTGGAAGAACTCGATTTGGTCGGGGGCTCCCTCTTGAGTTCCGATGAGGTCGGGCGCGTATTTCTCCACGAGCTGCTTGACGCGCCACTTGCGTTGGTCCCAGCAGCCACTCGGACACGGGTCCTTGGCGATAGACGTTCGCAAGTTGAAGCTCATGACCTTCAGTGAAGGAGCAGCGCTACAGCTCAGCCCGTACGCGCCACCGAAAGCTGCAAGTGCGAGAAGAGTAGGGATGAGTTGCATAGCAGACTGAAAGCCTTGATGTGGTTGGTGCGCCTTGGTCCTTGCCAGCAAATTCAAATGTGAGCTCTGATGTAAGGAGTACGAATGATCGTGGAACGGGTTCTTGATTCCTCTCTCTCTCCAGCGTTTCCATAGAATACCGTTGTGCGCGTTCGCTGATCATTTGTAGGCAAACGTGCGAGCTTGTTGGCCACGCACTCCAAATTCTTGAAGTCGAACGTTTCTGAGAACAAAGTGACTGGCGTCTAGTTTGGGATCGAGCAGACAACACAGAAATAGTGCTTTTGAAGTTGCAAACAAATTCACCCGATGCCCTTCATTCGCTTCTGGTGAATACGAAGCTGAAGTGGTGGCTGACGTCCGCATACGTGTGAGGGGAAAAGGTCAGGCAGCAAAAATGAATATGGCGCGAAAGCTCACAACCGTGCTACGGATTCCTTCCGAGCGTGCAAGACGTCAGACTGCTATCCATGTTACTGACCAAGCGGACCGCCTTCGAGCGCACGCGACCGCGCTCGTCATGGACATCTCTCAAGCGCGCACGGCCAAGAGACTAACGCTCCACATGAGCCAAACATGATTCGAGTCGGGTGGTGTGTGGTGCTCTTCTTTCATGTTTTCAACGCTGTTTACGCGAGCTCCCTCGCGTACATTTACCACTACATGGCATCGCCTATCATGGACTATTACGTTCAGCTGCTGCAAATGATGCCGCAGAAAAACTACAGCGGAGTCATTACCCTCTACGCGTGCATCGGAGCCATGAACTTCTACAGCGCAGTGAAGATGTCTTGTTACTCGCTGTATTACAAGAGATTGGTATTCGGCAAGATGAAAGACCTGCAGAAGTTTCCGGGTGATGATGATAGAAAGATTCCCGAACGGCTGACAAGGTTTCAGGCATTCAAGCGTTTTGCTGCTGGATTTGCACGAGCTATCAGTGCGAGGGGCGAGTGGTTCGACGTCGTCTTACTTATGCGGGAGGTCTCGGAGATCGCTTCGCAGACCGTCCAAGCGCACTCCTCGAGCTTCCTCATCAGCAGCGTTTGGATGAATCAGGTGTTTGCAGGCTTGATCTTCTTGAATACTTTCGCGAACACGCTGGTGCACTACAACCTAGAAGAGAAGGTGGGTCTGAGACGTTTGTACAGCACTGCGATCGACCTGGCGCTCGATTTTGCGTGGGGATTCCTTATCCCCTGCAAAATCATATTCGTCTACATATCGTTGTTTATGGAGAACGACGGATCGTTTCCAGATGATTTCAACAACTCGGACACGCTGATGATCATGGCGATCCTAGAGTGCAACCAATTTTTTTATGGTCAGTTGGCTCGATGCCGTCACGACGACTTTACCCTACTTGAACATGCTGTCGGGTTTACGAAGCATAAAGTTTCTAGTTCAGCATGACATGGAGGTGATTCGAGCTGTGATGTCGGCAAAAGTCTGCCCCACAGAGGCAGCGCTGAATCTTGCTAAGCTGGAGAATGTAGTACTTCCTGGCCACCAGGAAGTCCGAGTATCAGGTAAAGCACCAGCTTTTGAGGAAAATCAGGTTGAAACCAAACGCAGTATCTGGGGAAGACGAGTTGCAGCAGGCATTGTGGCGATCATGCCTATTTGTGGTGTATTTGTGCTGCTCACCTCCATCGCGTCGTCAGGAATATTTTTTGGGAGTGATGATACGTGTGCAGCGGGCTGCAAACTGCGAATGCACCCGTAGTTCACACGTCAGTGCGCTTGCTCGGTAATGGAAATCAACTGCTTCGAACGAGGTATCACTGGTCGTGAGAGCGAGATGCGAGATATTTTCCAGTCCCTGGACGCTAGAGTTCTCAACTCTCTCATCATCTCTCACTGTCCCGAGCTTGTTGTCACCGAGGATATCCGCCGCTTCGGCAGTCTGAAGGCGCTTGAGTTGTACAACTCAACAATTATCGAGTGGCCCGCGAATGCGTCCCTTTCACTTCCCCACCTGCCTTACCTGGTCACTCTGTACATCGTACGCTCTCGACTTTCCGGTCTGCCCGACGGCTTGACAAGTGACTTTTCATCAAACATCGTGGACGTTGAATTCGTGGCGACCGACTTGGGTGGACCGTTGCCTGACGACCTTGACACGAAGTGGCCATCGGTTGTGATGCTGTACTTGGAGCATTGCGGGCGTCAAGAGTTCCCGACAGCTCTGTCCAATATGGTGCTGATAGATCTATCGCTGGTGGATAACAACATTTCCGTAGTCCCCGACAGCTTGAGCGACAGCTCCATGTACGTCATGCTGGACCGCAACCCGCTGGATCGCATCCCGGACAGCTTTGGGTCGCTGGAACAGCTGAACTACCTCACAGTTCAATACACCAACATATCGACGTTGCCTCCGTGGCTGCAGGCCGAAGACGCCTCCATCAACTTGCGAGCGACGGGCACGCCCTACTGCCGCGACCTGCCGCCGGATAGCCCCGAGGCAGAATTCGCGTGGTGTGCGACGGAAGACTACAGCAACGGCATCTTCCCTCTCGCCAAGCGTGATAGAGATCGAGCCATCCACGCAGGATAGCGGTCGCATGGTCAACCGAACCAACCGCTGGGCGTTGATGATCCGTCACGGATCGCATTAACCACCTTTTGAGCTGTACCACCACAGGTTATGGTGTGCATTATTATAGTAGCATGCTGCACAGAAATAGACAGGGTGTGTAGTAATTCAGTACTACAGTAGTAGATACAGCAGCAGTCTAATGAGCTCCCAAAGATTTACTAGGATAATCTATAGTATCCACATAAGTGCGATTCACAGCTAGTAACTACGAATTGAGAACTGACCGGATACGATTGATCTCGGAATCAATTCGGCGGAGTTGGAAGTAGATAGGTGCTGCTTTGTAGTTTGCTGTTATACTGCTGCGTAGTCTACTGTAGAGTCGTGTGCATTTCGTAGAGAACTTAAATAATAATGAATGAAACAATTGGATGGAGCGCGTTTCGGTGGTTCGATATCTCAGTTATCCATGCCACGGGAGCCCAGATCGACAGCAGGAGTCCTATTCAAGCCCATTGCATGCTAAAGTGTTGGGATTCAATGCCATTTGCGGCCACTCTACGTACTGGTAGACATGGCCCCGTCTGTATTACGACCGTAATAATACAAACTACAACTATAGTAATGCAGCTAATACATAAGCCAGATAGTGGTGCACCCAGTAGCAATACAGTAGGCATGGGGTGCTGTATTAATACCGTATTGAGTATTACCACTTAATGGATCCGTGCCAATGCTTGTCGCCACGCGCCTGGGCATCTGATTGGCCCATTCAAGTGTACTAATCGCGACGCAATCACATTCACTCTCTTGGGGCTACCTTCGTGCAACACGGATCCTGATAGCGGCCGAGGTGGTCTCACTTCCGCTTTGATCTCGGCGTCAGCAAGCATGTCGCTGCTCCACGGGCGCAGCATCTTCCTGCGCGGCGTGCGGCGCCTCGAGGCCGTCCAGCACGCGCGCTGCACGCCCGCCTCGTCGTCCTTGTGCCTGGGCAGACGCCGGCCCGCGCACTTCGCCCTCCCGGCGCTGGGCAACGGCGTGCTGAGCTTCTCCACGTCGGCGCAGGACGAGCGCGACCAGCACAAGAAGACTCTGACCAAGCACAAGCCGCTGAACGCGCTGAGCGGCATGGGCCTGGACCGCCCGCCCGACACGGCCAAGGAGATCCTGAGCTTCCTCATGGGCCACCTGTGGCCCAACGACGACTCGAAGGAGGCCAAGGAGATCAAGCAGAAGGTGCTCGTCTCAGCAGGCCTCGTGGTGGCGGCCAAGGCGCTGACGATCCAAGTGCCCTTCATCTTCAAGGAGCTAGTGAACAGCATGGGCGACGCCTCCAGCGCACTGGCTGGCTCGCCCGAGATCGCGGTGCCGCTGGCCATGGTGCTTGGATACGGCCTGGCTCGGTTGAGCGCCAGCGCGTCCTCGGAGCTGGCCAACGGTGTGTTTGCGACGGTGGCCCAGAAGACCATCCGCAAGGTGGCCGTGCGCGTGTTCAACCACTTGCACTCGATGGATCTGAAGTTCCACTTGGACCGGCAGACGGGAGCGCTCTCGCGCATCATTGACCGTGGCTCGAGGTCGATCGACTTCGTGCTGCGCGCCATGGCGTTCCGCGTGGTGCCGACTGTGTTGGAGATTGGACTGGTGAGCACCATCATGGCTACGAGCTTCGGACTGCCGTACGCCGGTGTGACGCTCGGAACGCTTACTGCCTACACGACGTTTACGGTTCTCGTTACGCAGTGGCGAGACGAGATTCGTCGCGAAATGAACCGCCGCGAGAATGAGGCTGGTGCCAAGGTCATTGACTCGCTCATGAACTACGAGACGGTCAAGTACTTTAACAACGAAGAGCACGAGACTGCGCGCTACGACGAGTCGCTCAAGGGCTACCAGGAAGCGGCACTCAAGACGCAGACGTCGCTGGCGATGCTGAATGCTGGACAGAACGGCATCTTCAGTGTTGGTCTCACTGCCATCATGTACATGGCGTGCGAGGGTATCGCTGCCGGCACGCTTACCGTCGGTGACTTGGTGCTTGTGAATGGTTTGCTGTTCCAGCTGTCCATCCCGCTGAACTTCATCGGCAGCATCTACCGTGAAGTACGCCAGTCGGTGACGGACATGGAGTCCATGTTCAAGCTGGGTGCTGTGGCACCGGTTATCACTAACCCGGACGAGACGTTGAGTCTCAAGGGCAGGGAGCCCAAGTCGATCGAATTCCGGGACGTGGATTTCGGTTACCGGTCTGAGCTTCCGATTTTGCGCAAAACGTCGTTCAAGGTGGAGGCGGGCAAGCGCGTTGCCATCGTGGGCACGAGTGGCTCCGGCAAATCCACGGTTCTCCGCCTGCTCTACCGATTCTACGACCCGCAGAACGGCTCAATTCTTATCGACGGCAAGGATATCCGCCAGCTGAGTCTGGACGAGCTGCGTCAGGCGATCGCTATCGTCCCGCAGGACACCGTGCTGTTCAACGACACCATCTTCTACAACATCAACTACGGTCGTCTGGACGCGACGCCGGAGGAGGTGATGAATGCCGCTCGCGTCTCGCAGATCCACCGCTCGATCGAGTCGTTCCCCGACGGATACAACACGCGCGTGGGAGAGCGCGGTCTGAAGCTTTCCGGTGGCGAGAAGCAGCGCGTGTCGATCGCTCGCGCGATGCTCAAGGACTCGCCGATCCTGCTGTTCGACGAGGCCACCAGCGCGCTCGACTCGGAGACCGAGTCGGAGATCGTGCGCGAGTTCGCGTCCATCGGCGAGAACCGCACGTCGCTGATCATTGCGCACCGCCTGTCGACCATCCAGGACGCGGACGAGATCATCGTGTTCGACAAGGGCCACGTGATCCAGCAGGGCTCGCACGAGGAGCTGCTGCGCGATGTTGAGGGCAAGTACGCCGAGATGTGGGCGCGCCAGAACCACCACGTGCTCGGGCTGCTCGGCAGCGGCGACAACGAGGACGAAAAGGTGTAGAGGAGACGGAGGAGAGTGTGTATAGATCCCGTCGTGTCCCGTGGAGCTACTGTTGCTGTAGATTTCAGCAAAAAAGGCAACAAGAGGCTTGATCCCGTCAGTTTCTACTGTCAAACTTCATATTTCAGTCCTAGCTTCAATTTTACGTTACAACCTAAAATTGCGTCTGCTAGAAATAGCGGCAGCGCATCGCTCCGTCGTTGGCCGGCATGGACGCGCTGCTGCTGAGCGCACAGCGCCTGAGCGCCAGCTCCAGTAGCAGCCCCAGCTCGAGCTCCAGTTCCTACAGCTCCAGCGACGACGAGCCGCTCAGCGTATCCCTGGCCAAGCTCCACAGTCCGGCGTCGAAGCCTCCGCCTCCGACGACGGTCGGTTCCAACGGCATGACGAGCCCCCCGCCCCCGCCGCCGCCCGACTCTCCGCCGCCTCTGCCACCGCCGCCTCCAGGACCGCCCCCAGCGCTGAAAGGCGCCAAGCGCAAGCCAACGCGGCGCTCGAAGACCAGCAGCAATAGCAGCGGTACAGTCGCCAAGAAGAAGCCGGCCGCAGCTCGTAGTATACGCAGCACCGCAGCGACGCGCAAGGCGCCAGTGAAGAAGAAGCAGGAGGTTGAGACGAAGCTGCTGGTGGAGGAGGAGGAGGAGGCACCCACGGCGGAGAGTGTACAGGACGAAGAGGAGGAAGAGGAACAGGAGGTGGAGGAAGAGGACCTGGACGCGTACTCGGACGAATCGGACGTGTTTGAAGAGGATGTTGAGGCCATTTTGTTTGCGGAAGAGGAAGAGGACCGGCGCAAGGGCTACACGGACTGCCTCACGGAGACGCACCTGGACAGCGTAGAGTACCCCTATCCAGCGTACCTCGCCAAGCTGTCGACGCTGTTCACGAAGCAAAGCGCCTTTGGGAAGAACCCTGAGGACTTTATTTATTGCAATAATCTGCTGGTACGCTTCGTGTGGTGAAGGTGCTTGAAGATGTCTTAATGGAGGTTAATGGTGGTGTTGTGTGCTGCGGATGCAGGTTAGTCCGGGTCAGTTGAAGCTCCTGGACACTCGAAGTGCTGCGATGGAACGGGAGAAGTTGCAGCAAGTGCAGGCGGCGGCTGCACTCAAGGCGAAAGAGGAGAAGAAGAGGCGGCGCCAAGAAAGGTAAGCGATGTGTAGCTGAGTTGCACAGTGCAGTCTCTCCAGCTGTCCACGGTATTAATCCTTGAATGCTTTTCGTCACATTTTGCAGGTTAGCGGAAATGCTGGAGCCGCCTGCCAAGAAGCTCAAGATATCGGAAGCTACTCTGAAGGCTCTGGAGTCAAAGCAGTCTGTATCCATTAGGAGCTCTAGGCCTGCAGCTAATCCAAGCAGGAAGCGAAGCCGAAAGAAGCCGGCGACAGCAACTGCGGCTGCAGCGGTCCCTGCATCAACTGCAGCTTCTTCAAATCCTCCCAGCGATGTTTCGGTCGCTAGCAGCAAGCAAACTGTGACGAAGCCAAAACCAACCTCGACTAGCAAGGCAAATGGGAAAACGAATGGAAAAGCGGCGGCAAACACGCCAGCCAAGAAAAAGCCGACTGCGTCCACCAGCCGTACCAAGAAGGCTACAACTCCTGCGGCCAAGACATCTAGCAAGCCGGTTGCTGCCTCTGCAAGCACATCCAAGACAAGCAGGAATGCGAAGGCTGCACCTGCTCAGCGAAAGCGTGCGGCTGCGACTAGCGCTTCCAAGGAGAGCAAAGTGCAGGCGGAGGTCGAGAAGAACCGTCTTGAGGCAGAAGAGGACCCGGGCAACGTGAGTTCGTCCTCGTCTTCCTCTTCGTCCTCCTCGTCATCTTCCTCGTCATCTTCGTCCTCGTCTTCGTCCTCTTCTTCTTCGGTCTCTTCAAGCAGTAGTTCCTCCGACGACGACACAGGAGATGAATAGGAATGCCCAATCAATTAGGCAGCAACAACAAAATCGAGTCCGGATCCAAGTTAACGCTTAAATTTAAATGCCAACGTGCTCGGTTTCTCATAGTGCGGTCTGCTGCTGTTTCTTCTCGGTATCCTTCAGCACAACCGACGCCTGCTTGTCCGCCCAAATGGTCGACGCCTTCTTGCCCAACTCAAAGAGCTGATCCAGCACTTCGACCTCCGGTGGGAACAGCGCGAAGCGAGCCAACTGCATGATGTTAAACGGGAACTCTGGGTCAATAGACGGACTGATCTCGTAGTCGTTGCGGCGCAAGATTTCAGCGTGGAAGGCGCACACTTTCGTGTACCCCGGCACTTCCGGCACCAGCGTGAAGAGGCCTCCGTCGACGTGATACTCTCCCCGAAACACCGACGTGCCTCTGTTGGCCAAGTACCAAGGCACGTAGCACGACGCGATGACCGCGTCGCACAGATCTTCCGGCGAGTGGAAGTCGTCGGTGAGTACCATCGCTCGCTGGGGCCACATCTTCTCTGTGGCGATCGTGAGCCTCTTGGCCAGCGTCTCCACGGGGACGTCCCCGAACTTGACGCGGAAGATGGTGCGCAGTCGCTCCTCGAGCTTCCAGACGGTGCCTTCGCTGTGACACAGTCTGGCCATGGCTTTGGTCTCTTCGTGGATGTCTTCCATGCTGACGTTCGCAGCCAGACTCAGCGCGGCGATGGAGCCGCCGGACGCACCGGCGAACTTGGACTCGGGTCGGATGTAGCCGGCGTCTTGCAGCCCCTGCACCACGCCCAAGTGGTACGGGATCAGGAACCCGCAGCCGCTGAAGCTGAAGTTGTGTGCCGTTGGCGTCGCCGCAGCGGCGGAGGCGGAGAAGAGCCGCAGCGCAGCGCGGCCGAGGTGCAGGCGGCGCATTGTCGTCGGGTTTGTGTGCGGCTGCAGCTGACGTGATCACTTTTGCCGGGGGAGCATAAAAATAGCGATAAGTACATGTACCTAATTGTCGACACTATTGGTCACTTTTCGACTTGTGGGGTGCTGCAGCAGATGACGGTCAACTTCGCGGTGCTCGGAGACGCGTTCGTCGACGTGGTGGCGGGCACGCTGGCGCCTGACCAGCTGCCGCAGTGGGGCGGCGACGTGGAGTGCAGTCGCCCCATCCAGCTGCAGCCGGGCGGCTCGGCGCTCAACACGGCCACACACTTGGCCAACCTCAGCAGCCGCAACCCGCAGCACGAGCTGCACGTGGCGCTGCACACGGCCGTGGGTGCGTCACTCGGCGGTTGTCGTGGTTGCGTTAGTAGGATGGACGGCTGATTGTTTGTTTGCTGTGGACAGGCAACGACTCGTTCGCGAACGTGCTCAAGGCTCACTTGGCCGAGCGCCAGGTGGTGCTGAGCTCGCCGACACTGGGGAACGTCCCCACGGGCGTCTGCATTGTGCTGAGCGGAGCGGTGAGTAGCTGCAATGCATAGATGTTTCGTTGTAGGAATGTTGTGCTAATGCTGATGTCCTGTTCGTGCTTTCATTTGCAGAACGACCGTAGTTTCATCACGCACTACGGAGCCACTCGCAAGTTCAGTGTCGAGGTAAGGAAGACGAACAGCAATAAATTTATTCTTGTGGTTGTCAGGACTAACGTAGCGGTGGATGCATGCAGCATATTGACGAGAAGATGGTGCTGTCGGCAGACCACCTGCACATCGGAGGTATGCAAGTGGTCTATCGTGAACGACGTCATGGAGGCTATAGTCAACTGAAAAAAATGGTTATTGCGAATGTGTGCAGGTTTCTACAGCTGCGCTTGTCTTCGCACCAAGCTGAAGCCTTTGCTACAGAAAGCGCGAGAAAACGGAATCACCACGTCGCTGGACACCAACTACGATTCGTCAGAGAAATGGGACGACCTCGACGAGCTGTTCCCGCTCATTGACGTCTTCTTGCCTAATGAAGTGGAGGCCATGAAGATTTCTCGCACCGAGTCAGTGGACGCTGCGATGGCGTATTTTGCTCAGCGCATTGATGGGGTTACTGTCATCAAGATCGGAGCTGGTGGTGCCATGGCGCACTGCTCCAAAACGCAGCAGCAGTGGAAGCAAGCGAGCTTCCCGACGTCTGTAGTGGACGTCACAGGAGCAGGTGACTCGTTCAACTCCGGGTTCCTCTCTGCGTGGAAGACGAATGATGGTGACGTGGGAGATGCGCTTCGGTGGGGATGTGGAACAGCCTCCAGGACTGTAGCCGCGCTTGGTGCGTGCTCATTTCCCCTGTCGCACGACGACGTGCAGAATGTGGTTGCAGCCGACTAGGAACGAGTGATAAGTAGGACAAGGAATCAAGTCCGATCAGCAGAAAGAGAGCAGCTTGCAAGTTAATTCGGCATTCGCATCAATTCATTTTTTTTCTTCTTTTCAGCGATCTATGCTTCATTATTGAGTTTGAAGTGATTCGTCTCGTCACATTTTTGATTGTGGAAGTGCATTTGAGTTGATGGTTAAGCTTAAGCTTTCAACTACCCTGGCTACGTGAATCAATTTAATCCGATTAGAACAGAGCGTATTCCACGTGTGCAGCCTGCTGGCATGACCATTCTGGGCAATTGTTGAGATCTTCAGTCTTAGACGCCAGCGTAGCCGAAAAGCGTGAGACTCGACACCATGATGAACATGCCCGCGAACATACCGAACGCCACGATATGATTCTTCCCCCTGGCGAACTTGTACGCCGTCGGGATCAACTCCTTGACGCAAATGCAAACCATAATGCCACACACGATTCCGAAGAGGATGCCCTCCGAGACCGGATCCATACCATCGCCGATCGCCAACCACGCGATGAGTCCGCCGACCGGCTCGGCACAGGCAGAAATGGCGCACCACATGATTCCACGCCAACGAGATCCCGTCGCGAAGTAGATAGGGGCAGCTACAGCGATGCCCTCGGGGATGTTGTGGAGACCGATGCCAACGGCGAGCGAGAAACCCACAGAGGAGTTCTGGATAGCACCGACATAGGTGGCAATAGGTTGTGAATACCGATGGCCAAGGCGCTTAGCACGCCCATACGCTGCAGCGCAAGTTTTGCTTGCGCGTCCATCTTGACGTAATATCCAGCAGTATCGGGGGTCTGGGATTCCAGCTCGAGTGCTGGGCTTGCGACGTTAGCGTTGCTACTCCGATGGTACTGGGCCATTGACTCGCGAACACCTTCGAGGTTGTCGATCTCCGTCATTTCGTGCTCGGGCGAAATCTTGTGCACTACCACGTCGATGAGGTAGATCAGCACAATTCCAGCGGCAAAGCACGCGGTCGCGCCAAGCCAACCGTGACCCGTGGCGGTCTCCTCCGACATGTCTTCGGTTTTCAGGCCTTCCGTCAGCAGGTGCACGGATTCTCCAAAAATCTCCACCAGCGAGATGAACATCATGACACCAGCCGAAATGCTCAGTGCGACTGCCAAACTGACGGGGTTCGCGAGATGCACCAGGTGCTTGTTGAAGACGACCATGCCACCGAGGACTGTAGCGAATCCAGCAGCAATGTTAAGCGCGAAAGCGACACCCACTGCGTGGCCGGTTTGTACCATGGTTCGTGTGGTGGAGGTGGTTGACCGGAAGGCGTCCGTTGAATCGCACCGCAGGGCGCAAATTTGAGAATGAACGATGTGGAGGCCACCAAAGGCGCAAACGGATGGCAAGGGGTCAGACGAAGTTGTTGGAAACTTCGTCGACGTAAAAGGCACAAGTATTGGCGTTCGTGGCAGTTGCTGGCGAGCGGGGCCCGTTGTAGAGCTCGAGAGAGCGACAACCGTGCAAAGCTAGTGTCAGGCATCGATGATTTATAGTTGGCTCGCGAAGTTAATCAAGGCAACTACCGAACCGAAGTAGGACGATTGGCCCCAGCTACGGGCTTTTAACTGCCCAGGTCCCAGTTGAAGGGCCCGATTGGCTTGCGCCACGAGCTTTTGATCCGAACGAGAAGTTACTTCAGATGGCCGCAGATTAAATCGATTAAAAACGGCTGACACGTGCCACGAGAGTGATTTTTGTCGATAGTCAAGCACTATTTACTCGAGATGTATCCGATGTTGGCAATATCGCTGGCAATATCTCGCTGCATCCCCAAAGCAATGGCTCCAAACGAGAGGAAAAACAGGAACGAAGTATGTATTTGCTCTTTACAGAGTTTGGTCAAGGCTACCTGGTAAGGTAGCGCCGTGTTGATTTCCTAGGCTTATGCGCCAGCGTAGCCGAAGAGAGTGAGACTGGTGATCATCACAAACATCCCGAAAAAGATGCCCATTGCGACGAGATGCGTCTTGTCGCCGGCGAAGCGGAAGGCGGTCGGCAGCAGTTCCTTGACGCAGATGCAAACCATGATACCGCAAACGAGGCCGTACAGAATGCCCTCCGAGATGTGGTCCATGCCGTCGCCAATAGCCAGCCATGCGATCACCCCGCCCAGCGGCTCCGCAATAGCGGAGACAACGCACCACATAATGCCCCGCCAGCGACTGCCCGTGGCGAAGTAGATCGGTGCTGCCACTGCGATTCCCTCGGGGATATTGTGGAGACCAATGCCGAAGGCGAGGGAGAACCCAACCGAAGAGTTCTGGATCGATCCAGCGTACGTAGCGATACCCTCGGGGACGTTGTGAATGCCAATGGCCAGCGCACTGAGCAGACCCATTCGCTGCAGGTTCTTCTTGGCCGTGTCGTCCATCTTGAAGTATACGCCGGTGTTGGAGCTTGGGATGGCTTGGCTCTCAAGCTGGACAACCGGGGAGTTCAGCTGCTGGCTCTCCTTGGAGTCGTGGAAGGCCATATTGTCTTGCAGGTTTTCCAGGTTGTCGATTTCCGTATGGTCGTGCTCGGGCGAGATCATGCGCACGATCACATCGATCGCGTAAATGAGCACGATGCCGACGACCATACAGCAGGCGGCCGCAAGCCAACCATGGCCCTTGGCGGTGTCCTCCGACATATCGTCGGTCTTGATGCCCAGGGTCAGCGAGTCCACAGCTTCGCCGAAAATCTCGGCTAGCGAAATGAACAGCATGACGCCTGCGGAGACGCTCAGAGCCACAGCCAGACTCAGCGGGTTGGCCAAGTACACGAGACGCTTGTTGAAGACGACCATACCGCCTAGAATCGTTGCTGCACCGGCGGCGATATTGAGCGCGAAGGCGACGGCGACTGCGTGGCCCGTTTGAACCATTTTGCAGTGAGGAGAGGCGGACGAATGCAGTAGACGAAGAGTTTAATAATGACGAGGTCTAACGGCGCTGTAGCTGACGTCGACAATCTGGGAAGGGCGGCGCGTTGAGGAGAGTCAAAGACATGTAAAGCACCTGAAGATGCATGCATGCATGGAGCTTGGAGCTCTGAGTGGTGCACCGCCATCGCCTTTTGCGCGTCGATGCTACGTTGCTGAATCGCTCGTGAAACCAATTGAAACCATTGTCGATTGAAACCCACATCGCTGCAAGACCGGCGCACAGGGAGGCCAGCGAGCAGCAAAGACTCGAAGCAGACAATCACCCCCAAGCGATCTTATTGGCGCGAAGCACCATGCCTCCGGCGTACCAGCGGACCCGATTGCGGTTCTGGTGCTGCCATTGGTGATGAATGATAATGCCCCCACTGCAGTGCAGTGACTGCACTTGCTGTCGGACTGGTTTGACCCATGGAATTTTGTATCGGCCCGACGTATCCTGATAGCGGCAAACCGCACACGGTGGACGGCGCTAGCTCTGCTACTGGTATGGCAGTTCTACGGACGGACTGCAGCACCGGCATATGCCTACGTACGGAAGTTCGTTGGGCGGTCAAAAGTTACGTCTGGTCGGAAACATGTTCGTGTTTGTGCAACGTGGTGGTCAGCCCTGAGCAATCGCTGGCTTGCCGACCCAGTCGCGTCTGACAAGTTGCGGATGTTGGCGATTGGCGATACTGAACATGCAAGATTAACGACAAATTAACTTTTAGCAAAAGACTAAGAGCGCATCACCCTCGGACACCGGGCTACTTCAGCGTCCGTCAAGCTCCCCCCCCCCCGAAGAAAGTCTCTATCAAACCTGAAACTCTTTGATCGCGACCGATGCCCCCGCACTAAGGTTGCGCGGACATTGCGCGACGTTTTGCTGTGTCTGTCCGTGAGCGTCCCAGGGGAGTCCGGTAGGCTGCAATGACCATACCGCGGTTCCTTGTAAGCATCGTTGATTCCATAGGCTCGTCAGATGCTCAGGCTGCTCGATCCCGCACTTGCGTCCAGTGGGCTGGCGATCCACGTGAAACCAACGGATTACCGTAAACTTGTCCATAACTCGGAAGCGAAGCTGGCCCAGCGCACTGAGTTCTCCAAGCAAGAGGTGCCATTAATAAGCTGAACAGGTTGCCTGAGATGTTTCAATATGGTTGTGGTCTCCAAAACGTGCAGTGGTGGGTTTTCATCGTCCAAAATGGATGGGGCTGCTTGTAGCGGGAGGGGGGGGGGTATTTATTTGAATACAAAAATGTTTAAAATATTTACATTTTTGAGAAGTGCCCTTTCACAAGATATTCTCTTCACATTCGGGATCTTGAAGCGACACCAGATGATTTGCTTCAACAGCATGGGAGGTCGAGCTTTGCTCGTAGGCGGCATCGCGGCATGGCTTACGACCATGTCCACCGGCAAAGACTGGCTGGTCAAGGACTATCTATTCGTGGTGGCCATGGTGGTCGTCGTACTCATCGGAGGGCTGCGGAAGGCCAAGTACGAGCGCATGATGCAACACGAGAGACTCCAAAAAGGTTACGCTATTTACACCACTCTATCAATCTGAAATTCTAGGAACTAAAGCGCTGTGCGTGCCTTGGCCAGCTCACGACCTCGAAAGGGTCGACTTCATTCACGGCAAACCGGTCCAACTCAAGCTGAACAAGGTCACGTGTATCCTGTTTTTCGTACGTGAGCTCGTCACCTTGTCGCGAGAAGTCATCAGCAAGATCTCCTTACCGACTCATGTCGACGTGAAATTGACAGGGAACGTGGTGCAAGAAGTCTCGAGAAGCTCTGCAAGTTTTCGCGTGTCTGCACGAAGCAGTTTCGAACGCAGGTACAATACGATGGCTGCCGACTCACACTGTTTTCCAGTGGTCTGTCTAACCATTGTTGTTCCTCTTCGGTTTGGGCTTCTATGCAGCTGTGCAATTTGTTGGGCTGACGCAGGAATCCCGTGAAGAGCTCGCGATGTACGAGGTCAAAGGTCGCGATGCCAGCAACTTCCGTGAGCTCAAGCAATTCGCGTTTCCGATTGGCATCGAAACCGGGTTTATGAGCAAGGAGTACGTATTGCATGCACGCACTATCCGTTTCTCTTCAGTACTGATCCTATCGCGAATATATTGCAGATATCTTGTGCGGTGTGACCTTTTCACTGTGCCAAAAGTGTTCATCGTTGGCAAAAACAAGAACATCACCTGGTACGGTGATCCGTGCGCTGCGGTTGTCGAGGTAACAATTGCTTTGTGCAACATCCGGCGCTATGGTTGAATCTTAATGCAATCTCCTTTCGCATGCGACTGTTAGGCTAAAACCCGAGCAGCTTTGGAGCAAGACGATGTAAGCGCGACTGATGGCGTGGAAAACACTAAAATGCTGCCTGAGGCTGCTGAATTGGAAGGAAGACTGCAGAGTAACGCAGCCTGATGTGAGGATTTCACAACATTACTTTCAATCTGGATCTTGAATAGCTTCGGCCACAGCATGTAAAAGTATTTTTTGCATCCCTGTACTGGGCTGTGATTGCCGAGGTAACAATCGATGGTTTGATCTCAATGTGATCTCCTTCTGCGCCAAAATTCGAGTATAAAAACTTCGCATGAACAAGAAGACTTGAGGACTCGAAAAAGCATGTTGAATGCACGATGCCGATATCCTCTTCTTTCTACACCAAGAGACTAATTTCTCGGCAATTTACTTATTGATAACGGCACCGATCTGGGTACGATGCGTACAGTTAGATTTTGTATGTCATATCATCCATCCTCCATTACTTCCAAGTGTACACAGGACGCTTGCTTCTACATGAGCTTCTGCTGACACTTTTTCTCAACTCCTGCCCTCGTGACGATAGCGATCAATTAGTGCATCCCCCCATTGAAGCAGAGGACCGCCTCGACCGCAGGATATGTTCTAGAGCAACAGCCATATTCGCCTCGCTCACTTCTTGGCCTTCTTCAGCTTGCTCTTCTCACCCTCCAGCTACAATACGAAAGTATGACACTGTCAGCCTCGCTGCTCAATTTTCCCGCAAACATTCGAGCATATTGTCAGCTTACCACTTTCTTGACCCGCGACAGCACTTGCGTGTTGGCGCTCACGCAGTTCTGCGGCTGGTACGGCGGCTTGATCACCACTTCTCCCATCACTCGGATGTTGGCGCCTTCCCACTCGCACGGCATCCTGCAGACAGCAACATATAATCTCATTAGAGTCTTGCCACACCTTCAACCGTCCAGCCAACACGACGACGTACGTTTTGTTAAGCGCATCGAAGATCGCTTGGGCTTCAGCGGACACGCCCTGGCCAATGGAAGCCATCGCTCTCTCGGCCAGCCCCTTGTTGCGCTGCTCCAGGCGCTGCAGCTCCTCCTCGCTGATGGCCGGCAGCGTCAGCTGCAGTCCGGCGGGGGCCGGCTCCAGCACCTCCACCTTCTGCAGCGCCTCGAGCTGGAAGATGCGCGTCTTGTTCTTGGCTCCGTCCTGCTCTTCTATTGCATGGAACAGTACCAACGTTTGGCATTAGTTGTATTGCATCCAGCATTGGCTGAGCGGCTTCAAGTAGCAGGAGCTCTCTGCAAGCGTAGGCTTTGCTCTTGAGTTGTACGTACCGAGCACGAGGAAGTTGGCCACGGGGTCCAGAGTGAAGATGATGCCCTCGAAGCTCTCCTGGCCGCTGGTGACCACGCGCACCTTGGCGCCCACGGCCTTGTGGTCCTGCTGCAGCTCACTGGGCAGCACGGGGGCCGGCGCGGCGCTGTTCATAGCCATCCTGTCACTGCTTCGTCACTTGTCCTCACACGACCCCCGGTCTTCGAGCGCATCTGGATTGGCTTAAAATGCGACCTAATTTCAACGAATCCTATCGCACCCCTCTAATAATTGATATCGAGGATGGAAGGGGGTTATTGAGGGGCGGAGCGTGAGGCTAAGCTTTGGAGCGTTTCCGGAGGTGCGAACGAGCGAGAAATCCATCATGGGCGGCGGTCACTACGAAGGTAAATTGCGGCGATACAGCGCTATACCCAGCGGCACAATGTAGCGCAGTCCACGCGTGTGTGGCTCGCGTCGTCTTATGCCGAAGTTTGCGCTCCTCCGCGTGCTTTTACGGCCCGGAACGAGATGTTTCTGACGAGTTTGTCGCTGTTAATTGCGCGCAGCTCCCCGCGTGCCTACGCGCCAGGAAATGGTGGACGCTAAGCTGCCGCTGCACTACCGCGACACGTGCGCGGGCCTGCTGATCCCGCTGAACGAGTGCCGACGGGCCACGCTCTTCCTCCCGTGGAAGTGCCAGGACCTGCGCCACGCTTACGAGAAGTGCCAGTACGAGGAGTGGAAGACGCGTGTGGAGCTGCTCAAGAACGAGAAGTAGGCTGCCACATCAGAGGAAAAGGGCTACACATTTGTGAGACGGCAGGTGCAGGTGGTGCGAAGGGTGAGCGGCGCTAGCATTTCCAAGACGCTCTGCGAGCGCCGCAGGAACCAAGAAGACCACGAGTGAATAATGAATACAGGTGCCGCTGCTAAACTCGTGTTGTCTATGTGTAGTTGCTGCTGTGAAGACAGGGTGGAGTTGCAGACTCGGCCTCGATCGATGTCCGACTGACATACTGCTGACTTTGCGCTCAAATTATTAGACTTCTATCTTATGCATCGAGCTGGACAATGCTGCTGGTCACGTTCAGAGAGCTGCGGAGGCGAGGCGGCGAGTCTTGCGAAACAAAGCAGATTATGATGACGAAGGAGTGCTGTTTTCCTCGTTCGCGTCATCTGCGTCGTCGGGTGTTGACCGCGGCGCGTGCTCTTCGTCGCTGCTGCTGTCAGTCTCGTCGTCGTACATTTGCTCGCCACGCTCGTACCGCTCCTGCTGTAAGCGCCGCACCTCCATCAGACTGAGCTGGTCGCCGCCAAACGGGTCGCCGAGCTGCCGCGCGAACCTGCCGCCCATCAAAATAATCGTTGTGAGGACGAAGACGCCTGCAATGAACAGACCCGACGGATTCTCGGCTTCCTCCTCCAGCATGCGCTTCAGCTGCTCATGCCAAGGCTCGGTAGGCTCAGCCTCGCCCAGCTGTTCGGGCACGGATCCATCGAAGCAGTCGATGCCTTCAGCATCCGTATCACTGCCGACGTGGAAGCCCATGTGAACGCAGAAGTCTGCGCCGGAGTTGGTGATGGCCGAGAGCGGCGAGCACACCAGCGCATTGCCGTAGCATGGCGCTAACGTTCCTGACCCGCCGTAAGCGTAGTACTCGTCCTTGCAGGCGTCGTACCAGTCGTTGCACAGACTCGGACACACGTTCTTCATTTGCCACGTGCCCATGAGCGGGTGGCACGACGAGCAGGCCATCTCCTCCGCCAGACGCTGGCACTTGCGGCTGAACTTGGCCACAACAGGCTCGCGAATCTTACTGCAGAGATCCACAACGCACACAAAAGCACAGGTGTCAGCACTACAATAGAGCCCCCATGGCAGTGTCTGCGCCAGCTTCACGTACAGACGCAGAGCGTGCGAGTGCGAGGCATTGCAGCACGTGCTCTTGCGGTACTTGCTGCACACTTCCATGCCCTTCGACTGCATCAACAAGACATTCATATCCACCACCGTATCCCTGTAATATTAGTACAAGCAGCAGCAGGAGCAGCAGCTCGGCCACGTACGCGCTGCATGGGGTGCGTCTCCTGGTCGAACTTGAGCACGCCGGCCGAGCGGCACGTGTTGTCGGGTTTGGCCTTGGGCTCCGCCAGCGCGGCGTCCCCCATAAGCAGCGCGGCCAGCAGCAGCGCCGCGCACACGTGGGCAGCTCTCATCATCTCGACGCCTTGGCCCGATCGGCGAATGACGCCCGATGCAGGGATATGATCGACAAAAGGTTTATGCTACGCGATGGGACCTGTCTCCCTTCGATAGTATCAAATGTCGAGCGACATGGCTCACTTTTGAAAATAGCTGAGCCAAAAGATGGCGCAGAGCTTCCGCGATGAGCTGGCCGCGCTGCGCGGCATGTTCCCGTCCTGGGACGTCGATGTGCTGGAGGAGCTGCTAGAGGCGCACCAAGGAGACGTGGAGAGCACGGTGGATTCGCTGCTGGCCATGGACGCGACGCCTGGCGCCGCAGAGGAGCTCGCGTCGCAGCCGCCGCCTGCACCACAAGCTCAAGCCCAAGCAACTCCGAGGTCTCCTGCGCGTCGGCAGCGCAGTCCGATGGCGTCTCCGTCGGCCTCTCCAACTAGACAGACGCGCGGACGTGTCAAGCTTCCCGACGACTTTTTGCGCCTGCCCGTGGACGAGTTCGGCAGCTTGTCCGAGCAGGAGGAGCGCGACGCGATCCTGGCGCGCATGCTGCAGGACCAGTTCTTCCGGGACGAAGTGCTGTCCAGTGAAGAGTTTTCGTCGCACTTCCATGAGAACAGGTCCTCCCGGCAGAGTCAGAGTTATCCGCCCGAAAAGACGGCAGCTGAGATCGCGAGCGAGACGTACACGGCAATGAGCGAGAAGTTCACCTCCATGAGCGAAGGTGAGTGGGGTCAAGGTAGCCTCTTGTTGCTACTATACTGCGCTGAGCTGACACACTGCTGAATGCTTCGCTGGATGTAGTCATGAAGAACAAGATGCACGAGATGTACATGCGCTTCCAGATGCGCAACGACGCGCCTGCCGCCAGAGACCCCAAGAGGTGAGCTAGTTGAAGCTATTGTAGCTGACTTGTTGCGAAGCACTGACCTTTATTGTTGCAGCCAACGCCCGCTCATGGAGGATGACAGCGACTCCAGCGAGGATGAGGACTTGAACGACAACCCGGACGTACGGCGCCGCAACATGGACCAACGTCGCAGTCAAGGATCGCCGAGGCGATGGAGCCCTCGTAACTTGTCGCGGAGGTCCAACACTGGCGCCAGCGCGTACTCCAAGAAGGACGACTAATAGCTGCCGCCATGGCCCAATGCAATATCTCCCAGTCGCACGCACGCCTCATGAGGCGACGTTCGCAGGAACGAGAATCTCGTTACGAGATGGACGCGTGTGTTAGCGGAGTGCATTTCCACTGTATCAGCTTTAATATGAGGAAAAATCGATCGTATCGGATCGCTTCCATGGGCTCTCGCCCGCCTTCTCCTTGTCTTTAGCAGCCGGAGCCTCCTCTTCGTCGTCGCTGTCTTCAAAGTCATTGAGCATCTCTTGCTCGGCAGAGACCTTTTCGGTCTCCTGCTTCTGCTTCTTGTTCGACTCTTGCTCTGCCTTGTCATCCTCACCACTGTCGTTTCGAACTTGCCGCATTTCTACTGCCGACTCCCCTTTGAAGTAGCCCTGCACACAACCAGCACCCCCACACTCAGCCCATCAACTCCATCTCACACCAATCTCACCCCAAACTTCGCTCACCTGCTGCTGCCAAGCAACGAAACTTGAGGTAGGGAACGGTCCGTGGATCTGACCGTCCGTAGCCTTGTACTCCCACATGACCTCCTGCTTGGGCGGGTGTTCCTCGCTCTTGCCCTCGCTATCTTCAGCGAACTGCACGCTCCTCTCTCTCCGCTGCGCCAGCAGCTCCTCTTCGGGGACGAACTCCTCCTTGATCTGACTGTACACGTCCACCTCGCCCGACCTCATGAGGAAGTCCGCCGCCTCCGTGACCTGCTCGAACTGCTTCTTCTCCTCCTCCGTCTGCGCCGGCTGCGTCTCCTTCATCTGCGCCTGCTTGCGCTTGCTGCCGGGCCGAACGCGCTCCCGCTTCTTGGAGCCGAGCCGCTTGAGCGCCTGCAGCACCGTCTCGCGGGGCTTCAGCAGCGCGGCCAGCGTGCGGTTGGCCGCGTCCGTCGTGAGCGTCTCCTCCGCCTGCTCGTCGCGGAACTCGCGGCGGCTCTTGGCGCTCTTGGCTGCGCCCATCTGCTGCTCCGAGACGCCGTCCAGCCACGCCTCCTCCTGCACCTTCTTGGCCTCGTCGTCCCACACGAAGTTGCCGTCCGCGTCGAAGTGGCCCTCGTCCTTCTCCTCCTCCATGTTGAACGCGGTCATGCCGCGCCGATCCTCGCCCGCCATTGTTGCCGCTTACTGTGAAATGATGCACTGCTCAGATGGGTACACTGTACCTGGCTGATTCTTTAGGACATCTGCTTCACAGTGGTGGTGTGGTGTATTATGGTGTGGTCCACTCGGCGTCGGTCAAAGGCTGCAGTACGAACCACTGGCAGTGCTGGAACAAGGTCGCAGGACGCAGCAGACTCCGAGACGATGGTGCGGGCGTCGTGAGTGCCTTGGGGCTGCCTATTGCATCTGTGTACTGATGGTGCTCTTGCTCTGTGCTCTGCTGCTGCTGCAGGGAAAAGCCAAGAAGACGCGCAAGTTCGCCGCTGTGAAGCGCATGATCAGTCCTCGCGACACGCGCATGTACGTCTCTGCCCTCTGGCGCAGTCGGCTACGCAGCGTTGGCTGGTGGATGTGCACTATGCCGTTTTGTACTCACTTTTACCTGCTATTTTATTTATTTATTGCAGCAATTCGGTGCGTAAGGCGGTAGCGCAGGCCGACGAGAAGAAGCGCAAGGCTGCGGAGCCCAAGCAAATGTAAGCAACCATGCGTCAGTCCTGGTGGAGGGATGGAGACTCATTTTCTGTTTTGCCGCTGGTGTCATCTGTGCTGTGCAGTGACCAGATCCCGTCCAACATGTTCTTCAAGTATAACTCGGCGCTGGGCCCGCCGTACAACGTCATCGTGGATACGAATTTCATCAACTTCTCCATCAAGAACAAGCTCGAGGTGGTCTCGGCCATGATGGACTGCCTCCTCGCCAAGTGTGAGTTTGTACAAAGTGCTGTGTTTGTCAGAACGTATGGAGTGAGAAACTGAGATGGCAATTGTGCTCTTGTTTGGAACGGCGCAGGCACTCCTTGCATCACGGACTGCGTGATGGCAGAACTGGAGAAGCTCGGCCACAAGTACCGCGTGGCGCTTCGACTAGCGAAGGACCCGCGCTTCGAGCGGCTGCCGTGCACGCACAAGGGCACGTACGCAGATGACTGCTTGCTGCAGCGCGTGCAGCAGCACCGCTGCTACGTGGTCGCAACGTGTGATCGCGAGCTCAAGCGCCGCATCCGTAAGGTCCCTGGTGTCCCCATCATGTACATTTCCAACCGCAAGTACGTGATTGAGCGGCTTCCGGAGGCCAATGCCGCCAAGATCAAATAGGCGGCCGTGCTTGTTGGACATGGTGAACAGTTCTAAATATTCGATTGATAGGCCAACACCGCAGGCTTGGCAACGTCAACTGCCTCTACCAGCCCGATACATAGACGTATTTTTTTTTAAGATTGCCTTGTTTGTAGCGCCCGATCAACTTGAACGGTTCAAGTCAAGCGTCGTCTTGGTCGAAATGGTATCCCGTCCTCAGGCAGGCGTAGTGCCGCCCCAGGCAACTGGCAGCAAAGCTATCGACACCGCAGCAGCGGGAAAATCCATCTTGCAGGCGCAAGCTGAAGAGCGCAAGCGTCTTCTTGACCAGTACTTCGAACGCACGAAGCTGCTCAAGGTGATTGAGGGTTTCATGGCGAAGCTGGCTACAGCGTACAAGACGCAGCTTCGATTGCCAGCAAACCCGTACCCGGAGCTGCTCAAAGTCATGCGCATGCACGAGCTTCGGCAGACTTTTGCTCTTCAATGCAGTGGCAGCAGCTCTTCTCTGGAGTTAGCAGCACTAAACGGTCAAGCCCAAGTACCCGCACGGTTCCAAATATGCAGCGTGGAGCACGAGCAGTTCGCACTGCCGATATGGGGAACGAAGTCAACGCTAGAGCAGCTCACTGGAGCGAATCTCTATCCTCTGCTGGACCAGATAAACGTCTCTTTTCAAGGACTGGTGTCTCGTAAAGAGTTTACTGACGATGAGTGCCGAGTGAATGCGTATGGTGTACTAGTGGGCGATGGCTTTCTTGGCACTCGGTCGGGACATCTACCTTCAACTTTTCTCGATCTGGAGACTCACGTGTTTGTTTCGGGGGTTCACTTGGAGAAAGCGATGGGAGTTTTCGCTCGGTTCTTGCTCATACAATTGCACGAAGTGGGCAATGCTGCAGCATCTTTTGCATCTCTATCACAGGAAGAAGCTGTAGTCTACCGCGGTTGTGTTGCATACGGTGGAATCACTATTGCTCCCCAAGCTACATCGACTACTGAAATGTCCGATCAACACGCAGCAACAACCGTGTGGGATATCGAACGTGTTACGGAAAGCCGAAGCGCTTTTATCGGTGCTGTTAAGACTGCTCTCGTGTCCAATTCGCTTATCACTCTCACTCGATACGAACCGGTACAGCTGCCAACCGGCGGCAAAAGCCTTGTGTACCAAGTAGAACAAGCATTTTTCTTCCATTTTGCTGCGGAAGACAAAGGCAAACTTACTGATAAGGGTGTTAACACTCCCACCTCACGGCAATCTTTCATGGCGGAGAGTCGAGCACTGACGTCAGGACTTTTCTTCGACCCTAATGGTGCTGTCGAGGTCGCATCTAGGTTCAAAGATGCTGCACTGAAAGACGAAGAGGGAGCGAAGCTGCCACAGAAGAAGAAACAAACTGCGATCCCTGACTCTCCGAGTGTCGTGGTTATCCCCAAAGCAAAGCCAAGATCCGGTTTTATTGGTGTTTTGCAGAAGACAGTCAACGAACTTCGTCGGATGGGGCTCGCCTACGATGCATTCCGAGAGTACACAAATGATCTGGTTGGGTGTTTTGCTTACGACCTGGGAAATCTTGTCCAGGCTCACCAAGCTTGGATGAGTGTCCTCTGTCGCTCGACCTGTTCTATTGCAACGGTAGCAATAATTCAGACAAGCTACATGTCGCTCGAAACCTGGATGAAGAGGTTCCTGGTGGAATCGGAAGCATTTGCTCCAACCTCAGTGCTGTATCCAGTTTGCTCTCTCTTGCGGCAATATAATAACGAGGTCCAAGCAGCGTCCGAATTGAAAGATGATCGACAGATTGATGAGTTCGTCGAGGCACTTCGGCGTCTTGATGAGCTATTGCTGATTATGGTTCGCACCACGTTCAGCGACTTTCTTGGCTTAGTAAACCCCGCATTTAAAGAAGCAGACCAAGCAGCAGCTAACGCGTCAGTGGCCAAGCAACAGGATAATAGCTCCACCCTTTTGGACGAAATTGATGTGCTTCGAGCTCTTGAAATGGCGGTCGAGGAACGACGATATCCAGCTACAATTGTATCTGAGCTTGTTTTTGCTCAAGCAATCGTTGACTCTGGTCTCGATATGGCCCTTGAAAGTGCCGTAATGAACACAGTCGCAGTTCGTCTACCGCCGAATCCATTTATCGATGTTTCGATCAATCTACAGGTTTTCGCTTTACGCCAGCTGGTCTGGAGACGTGAGATGCAACCACCTGAACTGCAGAGTATCATTCGAGTTTCATCAAGGCCTGATCTCTTTTCTATCGAAGGATCAAGCGTATGCGCTGTCAACTCGAGGCTACTTCAACTTGTAAAAGTTGACCAATTATCCCAAACTCAAGAATGGCTCGTACAGCACGGTATTTTTCACGAAAGTACCTACAAACCATCCAGAAGCTCGTACTCACTCGCGGTTTTCCAGACAATGTTGTTTTTCCACCCACTCCTCTTTGCTCAACGGACTTTAAACGATATCGAAAGCTCATCAATACTGAAAGAGTTGGATGTTATTGAACACTACGTCCTGGAGGGGAAAGAGAACAGTCAGGCTCGAGAGTTTTTCCTGGAAGCAGTGCTCACAGACATACGACGACTTGCAACAGCACCAAGAAGTCCTACTGGGAAGAACTGTTGGCAAATACAATTGGAACTTCAAGCATTAGACTCTTCCGCGCAGCTAATGGCAGCCATGGATCTCTTTCAATCGCCTACGGACGAGTCCATACATACCTTAGCTGAAGAGGCAACGCGACCACAATGTATGCTCCAAGTTCTCATTCAACTCGCGGAAGTGAATACTCATGGAGATAGCAGCAGTCTCACGATATTGCAAGTGACAAAGGTGTACGCTTTCCACCACCACTCCACGAATGACCACATCACCGATGACCCCTCTGCAATTTTGCCACCATTGCTGTTGTTTCGAATATCGGAGTACGGCGTTTTCTTTTCACGACAAAACGCATTGCTGTATTTCAAAGGCATTGAGTCCGACTGCGAAAGATCGAAAATACCAACGAATGTATGGACCCCATATGCATCAAGGGCACTTGAGCTTGGTGATACCTTTTCGATATACGAGCTTGACGTCATGCACGAAAGTGGAACACCTCTCGGTCTGCAACAACGTGATTATGAGCTCATTCACCGACTTCTCTTACATTCCGACATTTGCCAGCTCTACTCACTCGTAAGTGCAGTCAGTCATCCCATCGGTCGAGTTATTTAACTAACATGCATTCTGTTTTTCGGCAGGAACAAACAATAAAATGGCTCCTTGACGCCCTCCAGAACAAGCTGGACCAGATTATGGCCTCAAAGTCTCGTAAGGGAGCCAAGTCGACTGCGTTAGCCGATACCTCGTCGTTTAGCGTTCATCACCGGTTGGCCTTATACATCATCGCTCGAACCGAAAAGTTGGTCAATCCTCTGAACGATCAACTTCCGTTTCTGCACAAGATATCGGATCTCATCTCGAGGCTGCAAAAGAGTGTCGCTCGATGGCAGTCCATTCAACCTCCAACTGAAGCAATACTTGAACGTGAGCACAAGCAGCAAGAGAAAACACCAGCTAGTATCCCTCTGACTCCCCGTGAAGACCCCGTCGCCATCACCAATGAGCTGATAGATGCACTTCAAGCGACGTGGATATTCGTGATGCTCTTTCGCTTGTCATATCAGCGTGCTTTCTTCGCGAATGCTAATGCGAAGCGAGAATAAACAGAAAACTCGTAGTTGAACAGACAGCAAATGAGAAAATGTTTGCACAATTGTTAGTGAGTCAACGAGCAGTTCCTAGTCGTCTAGGTGTGATTCATCACTAGTGTCCGTCTTTAGATGAAGGCCCGACCCTCTCTCACTACCAGTAGCACTGCTTGGCTCGATCGGTTTGGGATCCTTGAACTGGCAAAGAATCTTCACATCATGCATTCCAAAAACTAGTTAGCGACTTCCTTGCACACATCCCCTCAAAGAATGAAGCTTACCGGATAAATGGCTTCACAGGCAGCATACAGCTCGCGTGGCTCCTTGGAGTCCGTGAAGACGACCTTCCCGCTCACAAAGACGAGAACCTTCACCTGCGGCTTGTCCAACCGATAGATGAGCGCCGGATAGAGCTCTGGCTCGTACTGCATCACCATTAACCGCATTATCAAATGAATCAGCACTCTCCAACCACAACAAGTATGCATCGTCATCGTCTCCAGCTCCTCACCGTGCAGCAGTCGCTGTGAGCGAAGGCGATCGCCTCCACGAGCACGCGGAAGCCCAAGTCGCACGTGCCCACGACGTTCTGGATCTTGAAGTCAATGAGGTTCACTCCAGGGAAGTCCATCTTCTGGATCACCTGCGTGAACCTGCGCGCCACGTTCTTGATGGCTTCCTCCGTCTCCGCCCCCGTGCAGACCAGCTTGCCGTTGGCGAAGAGCATGGCCGTTGCCTTGGGGTTGTGCAGCTTCATGAGAATGCAGTTCTTCTTGGGCACGAGCTCAGCTCGGCGGTGGGACTTCACCAGGAGGTTCGTCAGGTCGAATCGCATCCCCAAGTTGGCGGAGCACACGAAGTTCCTGGGCGTAACGAGGCAGCGAAGCCGTTAGCTCTCCTAGGAACTCTGTAGAATCGCTATTTTCTCAGCTTGTAGGAAGAATTAGGAGTATAATTTAACATTTTCTGAGAGAATAGAGGTTGTAGATGAGTGGTACGAGGCCTTACTTGATATGGAGCTCTGGAACTGCCGTAGTGGTGGCGAGTTCTTCGTGCTTGGGCGTCATGGCCGCCATGGTCGACGTTAAAGTTGGTGATGTTACACAAGTAATACACAAATGGCGTGCAAAGTACGAATGTATACCTGTGATTTTCACCCTAAGTTTCCAAACTTCACAATACGAAACATACAAAACTCAAGTGCAGTGGAATTCATCGTAAATGCAATTGCTGTACGGCACGGACGAGGTCGTCGTCGAAATTTTTTTCGCTGCGACGCTGTGGCGAGTTTTGGTTACTTGCAGCTGCTCTACGGTGAGAGCTTGCTGCGAGTTGTTGGCGCTGCATCTCGAGAACCGCAAGTCGCTCCTTCAACTTGGTCCGCTCAATCTCAGTTATCCGCTTCGCTTCTTGAAGTGACATAGAATTTTCCGGCCTTGTATCCTGGCTGCTGTGGTTATTGTCGAAATGCTGTAGAAGCCGCGCTCGCATGGCTAGAGCTCGCTGGCGATTGCGCTCGATGACCTTATCGCGGACTCGCGCTTTCTTCGCCGCGATACGAGCCTCCTCCTCCAGATGCAGCTTTTCAATGACTTCCTGCTTCTTGTATAGCAGTGCACGAAACTGGCGCTGGATTTTAGACGCGGCGCGAGCACGATGCAAGTGAGCAAGTAGGATGTCGCGACTCTCCAGAAACTTCGCTGTCTTGGCTGTAGTTTGCTTCAACTGGGCTATGAGCTTCTTGTCCGCTTCAGCTTTCAATCGAGCTGAGGGCGAGAGGAAAAGAGAGCAGCATTAGTCCCGGTCGAAAGTATACCAACCATTATTACCAGCGATCGTACCCTTTTCAGCCAGGTCCTTTTGCAGAGCCTCGTTGGAGCTCCAATTGATGTTAAAGCCTGTGGGGGCATCCGCTTCACTATCTACAGCCGGGTCCTTCGCTGTTGTCTGTCCTCCAACCCTGCTCGGCTCATTCGAGGTGACGTCCCGGAGCTTCACCTCTAGAGTACCAAGATCGTCTTGCAGTGTTGTCAGGAACACCACTTCTCGAGAGGAGGCCAACGCTTCAACGTCCTTCTCGCTCAATTGCCACCCGCTCGTCCCCAAATACACCGTCTGCGGTCGCGAGCGTGCCGACGTCCCGCCACGAGAGCGGGGTCTTAGAAGGAAGAGCTGGAAATCAAGTCGAGGCAGAGCTGGTAACTGGTCGGTGCTGCTCTTGGGGCGTACTGGCCCATCGCCTGCAGCCACTGCGGCCTCAGACAAAGAAAACCTTAAGCAATTGTTGCCAGGAGCCGTCGCTTGTTCCTCCCAGCCGATCGTCACACTGCGAAAGCATTTTTGCTGTCCTTGCTCCCGAATAACAATGGCAGGCGAGCACTGATCTCCGCGCTTTCCCTCCACAGAGCGCAAGGTTGCGTACGCGACGTGCTCCGTATTGCCGACTCGGGTGAGGGACAAGAAGCCATCCTGGCGGAGGAACAGCGAGCTGGACAACCACACGCGCGCCCGCACCACTCGCACCTCGATCTCCATGCTGGACTGCTTGGTAATAAACAGCTAGGTCAAATAGACTACGAGCAAAGAGACAGACAAAGCAAACTGTTGATTTATATATACAACTCCAATAATACTTCTCAAGCACTTCCAAGCACCAACTTCACCACGGAACTCATTCCTACCGTGCCATCAGCTGGTCCTTCCTCGGTATCCACGCACGCGTTCCTACAGGGAACACCCTCCACTGAATAAATCATCCATAGCCTCCACGGGGGAGATTAGTTTCACAGCTTCACGGGCAGCTCAGCTCCTGGCAGACCCTGCCCAGCACACTCAGCAAATAGCTCCGCTATGCTAAGAGGTGCCTGCTCAGGAGGTCATCGCGCGCTCGCGGCCGTGCTTGATGCAGTACCCGTTCTTTTGCACCCACTTCTCGCAGCCCTCCGCCTTGCACTTAATGCCGCCACCGTGGCCGCGGCACAAGCCCTTAGACTGGCTGCTCTTGGGGCAATCCGGGTGCTTGCACCGTGCGCCACCACCGTGGGCCTTGCACAGGCCGCGCGACTGCGCAGTCTTCTCGCAATCTTCGAACGAGCAGGGAGTGCCTCCACCGTGCGCAATGCACTTGCGGTTCGCCTGCGCGCTCTTGTTGCAGTTAGGGTGCGAGCAACGCTTGCCACCTCCGTGCGTGCGGCACAGGCCGCGGGAGCGAGCAATGTTACTGCAATTCGCATATCTGCACACACGTCCACTGCGCGCGTTACTGTTGTTCAGCGCGGCCTGAGCCGCGGCGTTCGCCGCCGCCGTCATGGCGTCACTGCTGCCTTCACTGCGCCCCACGCTTGAGCTGAGCAGACGCATTCCGCTGTCCTCGTCCTCGGATGAAATCGACATACGGTCGGCACCGTCGAACGACATGCGCGAGCGTCTCCTCTCCTGCAGGAACGACACGCCCGGCAGCGACTGCGAGTACAACATCGGTGACGTGGAGGCCGCCGACGACAGCGAAGAGTTCGACAGAGAACGCAACGGGGCCTTCGGGTGGTGCTGGTGCAGGAGCTGAGGCTGGTGGAGCGGCGAGGGCGATGGGGACGGCGACTGGGACGACGACGACAGCGTTGACACATCCGAGAACGAGCGCAGCGATAGTGGCGGCGGACGCGCGGCAATACCCAGCGACTTCAAGTGGGTCCCGGGCGAGTTGCGGATCGCATTAAGCGACGGCAAGCGCGGGCTATTCTCCACCTTGGCAGACAGAAACGGGTTGTGCGCTTTGCCCATGGGAGCGGCGGGGGCCGACAGCGCCATGCTCGCGAACGGCGACACGGGCGGGGCCAGCGGGGGCGTCGAGTGCAGGTTGGACGACGAGCTGGAGCCGCCGTATGTGAAGGCGTGCGACGTGGTGGGCACGCGCAGACGGCCGGCGTCGGGGCGCGGCAGCGGCGAGATGAAGCACATCTCCTCCTTCTGCACCTGCAGCTGCTGCTCGAGCTGGCGCTGCTCCTCGAGCTCGGCGGCCGAGAATCCGTCGTCGCTCATCGGGGCCTGGTAGAAGGCCGTGGACGCGCCCAACTGGCGCTTGAGCGGGTCCGTGAGCTCGCGCACGCGGTTGCTGGAGTCCACGAGCTTGAAGGCGGGCACGGAGGCGGGCGCCGAGCCGTGCAGAAGCTGGTCACGCGACTGCATCCACTCCATGCTCAGGGGGGGGATCGACACTCGGCGGCGGTTTACTGTGGGAAAAAGGCCGGAGCGGAGACCTCAGGGGTGCGGCGCAGAAAGCAGAGTGAATGAACGGGACGGGCGCCGCAACAGCGGGAGACTCGGGTGTGGCGCACACCACCAAATGCCAGCACCGGCAGCGCGGGCTAGGGCGACGGCGTGAGGAGATCGCCAATACAAACCCCGAGTCAAAACAAAAAGAAGCGGCGATGGGCCCCCGTGATGGGCAACATGTGACAGCCAGGCCCACTTCAGCATCTCCTTACAGTTAGCGAGCACGAAGAGACCTTCCCAGAGCGCGGCAATGCTTGAGCGCTTTCTTTCCGATGAAGTTTTGGTGCGCAGCTTCAAGATAAAATTGCGGGTATCACCATGCGTACGAGTGCTATGATAATGGACTTGCTGTCCGTGGCGTTTGCATTCGCAGCTGTTTCGTCGCTCTCGGGTGCGTCTAGCTTGCGACACTGCCGCACATGTACTAGTAGGTTGAGCTTGGAGCGCTAACTACAGTAAGAGTAAATGAGTTAATAGTACGGAGGAAGTATACACGGAGCTCTGTCTTAAAAAGGCATCGAGACGAGCTACTCTTGCCTTGGTAGACCTTAAAACGAGTACTCTTCCGACTTGGCATTCTTGAAAGTTCTCTTCAAATGCAAATATGCTGTTAAAACGTTTTAGGCCACGACCGATAGACTAACTTAATAAAGTAATCGACGTGATACCCCCCTCCCCACCCCTGTGCTCGCTGGATTTTTGCTCTTTGACCCTCATCTACAATTTACGCTGAGAGCAGTATGCTGTGCCCCCCCCATACTGCCACAGGCTTTGCACTTGTGAATGACTTAGAGAGATATCATGCCCTGATCTAGAAAACATGGATCTGAGCTCAAAACGAATGCTTCTTTGAACGGCGAAAGTGTAAATGTACCGATTGCTAAATTAGCCAAAAGACAAGGAAATCACTACATTGTTGATCTCATTGCATTGATACTGTGTGACTTCTTCTTTTGAATGAAAGGCGTCTAAAAGATAGAGTTGCGAACCACGCTGGCGTTACGGTTGGTGCAAAACACTGATTTAAATTAGTGGGGTGTTAAAAGATACTTTTGCAGAAACGGTGCTTGCGTGCCTCGTCGCTGCTTCCACCGCCTCGTCTCTGTTTCTCGAGAATCGCCCATTGCGTTCTTCTCGTGAGACCTGATGGTCTGAAGACAGCCCACGGCCGTAGATAAACTTGACGAGACCCGGTGTCGGCGCCACAACTGCAGCCCGCAATACTAAACGGTAGACTGCTGGGCAGGCAGTACTCGCCACGGTTCCGGTACGAGAGGCACCCCAGTCGCTGCGACCGTCGCAGTTGTGCCTCAAATCCTCGACGTTCAGCGCACTGAGAAAGGGTGGAAGGGGATGCGCACTGCCACGTCCCACTATGCTTGGCTGGTGTGACCGACTGATGGCTCCGTGATACACAACCAATTTGTATCGAGGAGAAACAGGTGATCGACTTCTGCGCACGCCTGGTCGGTCGCGCGAGAAAAATAGTTGAGCAACAAATTCGGGAGCCCCAACAATCAAGTTCCGGGCTCCAGATGGCTGGTCTCGAGTCGCTACAGCCTATGCCGGCGTTGTGGCTCCAGAAGCTCCTCGAACTTCGCTCGAGCCTCGAGCCGCGCGCAGCAAGCTCGTCGCCGCCGCGACTGGGGCTGGCATTTCGCTGCAAGCAAATGCGGCCAAAGGAGGTCGCAGTCCGCAAGCCGGGCAGGGGAAAGAGCTGGAGCGCATTGGCGGGCGCAGGCATCCCTGTGTGGACCTGCTGGGGAACCAGAGCATCACGCTGGACTTGCAAAGACGTGCTAGGATGCCAAGCCGTGGGCGGCGAAACCTCACTTGCGCGCGCTCGCTTTCGAATCGGAACGAGTGGCGACGGCAACGGCGATCACCTTGGTTGTTAGTCAATCTCCGCGCGGCGGCGTCGTGCCGGTGCTTTTGGGCATCTGATCGGGAGGGAACGGGGAAAGCCCAGCTGAAGCTTGTCAGCTGCAGAAGCCGCGGCGGAGATGGGGCGGCTTCCGATCATGCCGCCTCACAATATGGCGGCAAGACGGCAGTCGCGACAGCGCCAACCTCGCGGCTACAGCTCGCTGTATGCTACATACTGTAGAGCACTGAGCTTCATATCACCTGAAGCGCAGTCTCCATACCAACCTAATGCAGTCGAAGGCACGAGCAAGCAGGGAAACAGCAAGCGAGGGTTCCGAAAACGCTGAAAATCCACCCCATTCGTCGACACTTGTGAGCAAGCAGGCCACTTCAAGAAAGTCGCTTCAACAAAGCCGATTCCTCGCGATACGTATGATTATGCAGTGTTCACAGCATTGATTTTTAGTAGAAAGGGAGAATGCACCCAAATTTGTATCTGCAGTAGACTATTTGTTACAGGACGTGCAGAGCCGGGTATTACCTACTTCACTTCGGCTGCGCTTCAACATTGTCATCGACCACCATGGCGATCCGCTCCAGGCCCGCGTCCACCGTCTCCTCCTCCAGCGCGCTGTCGCGGCGCTCGACGGTCACAGAGGATGACCCGCAGTACGACAGCAGCTTGGTCAAGCGCTCGCGCTCGCGACGCCGCTGCTCGCCACCCACGAGCGCCGCCAGATCCTGTAGCGCGCGCTGCCGCTCGTCGTCGCCGGTGGCCGCCGCGAGCTTGTCAAGGATCGCCTGCTGCTCGGTCTGCGTGGCCGCCAGTGCCTGATCCTGTGCTAACAGCGACTCTTGCGGTTCTGCAACTCGCTCGGACAGCTGCGCCGTTGCTCGCTGGCTGCGAGTGCGCTCCGTCGCCAGCTCGGCGCGGAGTCGCTGACTGGTCAGCTGCCGCAGCTGCTGCGTCTTGCGGAGCTCGCCGCGAAGCTCCTCCAGTTGTCGCTCGTAGCTGTCCTTCATGGCCGCCATCTCTCTGGCCAGGGCGAGAGCGAAAGTCTCGTGCTCCTCGGCTGTAAAGAAGACGGTCAGTGTTGTGCAACAAAAGATCAGGACGCGAATGACACACCTTTCACTTGGCGTACGCGCGCCTCGAAGCTGTCACCGGGGCAGGACAATCGACGCAAGAGGCGGCTTGCCTTCAGTTGCTCGGCGATAGGTACAGTATCTCGCCCGGCGGCCACGGCGTCGGAGAATGGGTTGGGGCCGTGGAATCCGGCGAGCAGTTGGGGACGCGAAGACTGCTCTCCATCAAGAGGGGCCAGCGCGTATCCAAGGTACTCGAGATGCAGTGCTTCCAGTTGAGTCCGCATATCGGCCAGCTTCCAGTCAGCACTTTCAAGCTCTTCGCGCAGTGCTTCCCACTTTTGCTGCACTTCACGCCATTTGCTGGTGTCGTCGGGGGCGCTGATGACTGGCAAGGCTGGTATAGTGGCCGTCTCACTGATTGAAGAGCTTGGATCTAGGCCGCTGGTAGGGAAAAGAACGGTGTCAAATAGCGCCATCATAACCTGCAGTCGCTGGGCTAGTAGAATGATAATCCGCTGGAGGAGCTCGTGATCCGCCTTCTGTTTTGATTCGGCTGCTGCTCGCTGTTGGTCTAGCTCAGCTCGCTCCTTTTCAACCTGTAGACGCTCTGTCGTCGCGTTTGCTCGTTGTTTCTTCAGGCCTCTAAAGGATGCACACACGCACGGAGATGTGAAGATTAATAGGCAATAGCTGTATGGATCCTCATGCCCAACAAACCTTTGCTCTTCGGCAATGCGTCGCTCCCTGGCACTAACTTGAGTGAGTTTACTCTCAAAGTCGCTCGTGCGGACGCTACCGTGGTGAGAAAGCTGCTCTTCGAGCGCAACAATCTTTTGCTTTGCCTTCTGTAGCTCCGCTCGCAGCTCTGACAAGCTGGTTTGGTGACTAATAGATTTGCCTCTAGGTGAAGCTAAAGCGTGAGCGAGTGCTCGATCCAAGTTCTCGCGAATCTCCGTCAGATTTCTCAACTCTTCTTTCACCGATGAGAGTTCCTCCTGTAGCGCTTCCTCGGACATAGCAGCTTCCTCGGTGCCTTGTTCATTCAGTTGCCGAAGCTGTTCATTCTGGCGTCGTAGTGCATCAAGCTCGCGCTCTAAACCATCTCTGTCTGATGACAGCGATGCTACTCGCTCTGTATACTCCTTCACTTTCTCTTCGAATGCCTTTTGTTCCTGCTCACGCTGACGTTTGCGCTCCAGCAAGCAAAGGTTCGCTGTTGCAAGCTCTGCAGCTACCGCTTGAGCTTGCTCAACAGCGTGGACTGCCTTCTCTTGCTCCATGGCAAGGGCTTTGCGTTGCTGCTCCCGGAATAATGCAGTGTTTTGGCGCTCAGCTACCAGAGCATGCTCCAGAGCCGAGACCCGCTGATGCCACGCGCTTTCTTCGCGCTGTTGGCGGCTCTGTAGCTCTTCGTCGTCAACGGGAACCGATCGGCTTAGCTTCGCTTCCAGTAACTGTACATGCTGCGCTTGCTCTTCCAGCAGTATCTGTTGACGCTCCAGCTCCTTTGATGTCGCTTCGATTATTGCTTCGCTCTGTTGTAGCAAAGCCGCTTTGCTCTCTGCTGTAGTCGTCACTGCTGCTAGCTTCGCAGTCAGCCTTTCAATGTCTTCGTTTCGGATTTTCAAGTCGTGATGAAGACTGCGCACAGTGCCTTGGGCTTGTTTGGTGTCTGTCTGGGAGGCCTTCAGTTCAAGGCGCAACTCGTCCAACGCTTGCTGTGCTTGATTGAGCTGCTTAGTCACGAAATGTAGTTGTGAAGTGGCTGCTTGTGCTTGTGCTTCAGCTTTCGCAGTAGCTTGAGTCTGCCTCTGTCCAATCTCATCTTCTTTCAGACGCATCAGGCGCTCCAATTCCAACTTGTCACGCCTAAGCTGGGCCTTCTCCGTGTTTGCAGAGTTCTCCAAAGAGCGATATTGTTCAACCATCGACGCGAGAGAGTTTTGTAGATCTACTGAGCGCTTCTCCATTACAGTCATCTGTACAGTAGCGAGAGTACTTTCAGTAAGCATAAGTAAAACACCGAAGCATTTGTTTCGCACAGACCTGTTCCTGGAACGAATTGCTGGCAACAATCATGGATTCTCGGTGTAGCCGCTCCGTGGTTTCAAGTCGCTCACCAGCAGAGTGCAACTCTGAGTTCGCTCTTTCAAGCTGCCAAAGACAGCAATCAGATACAATGAACACTGAATAGCGTGAAGTTATGTAGATCCTACCTGTTGCTGCAACTCGATCCTCTGTCGCTCCAAATTCTGTATCGAAAAGATAGACTCCACTCGGTCTTTTTCCAGAGCTGCTAGTCGTGCTAGTTGCTCTGCCGCCACAGTTGACACTGGTTGATCATTTTCTTGAGGGCTTTCATTCTCAGCTGATTCAGGGGTATCACCTTGATCACCTTCATGGTACGGGATTTGAACTCGTTTTACTCGCTCGAAGCGAGGTCGTCTGCGTGCCAGAACGTCTTTAAAGAACCCTATCTGCTCTTTTAACTGTCTGAGCTCGGAGTCCCTATCAGCGATCACTTTCACGAGAATTTTTCGTTCACCCGTAGCTGCTAGCTTGCTGCGTTTCAAAACCTGACTCACGCACACGTCAGCGATAAATTTCATAACGGTAAGTACGTAGATATCTTACCTGAGTCTGCTGTAGCACCCTGAGAATGCCACCAGCATAAATCGAGGCGGAGCTTGTACCGCACCCATTTGCAAACAGTAATGAAGGCGTATCCCTTGTATTCTGGCCAACTGGAGGTCGTAGTAACTTCATTTTGAATAATTTGGCTCCAGTATCTGCTGCTCGTTCCGAATCAATACCACCTTCGCTTTCAGAGTCATGGTGGTCGAGGCAAAACTCCATCAACGAGACAAGCGTGTCACCTAAGAGCCCTTCAAGGCCGACCTTTGCTGCAGCTAACTAAATCATTAAAAAAAATTGTCAGTCTTGACGCCGAACACTGAAAACAGTAGTGAGAGTTTACCTGTGCTGGATCGGAGGAGTAGTTGTACCTCAGCAGTTGGGTCTGGATACTGGCAGTGGAGGAAGATGACGTTGGGTTTGACTTCGAATTCCATCCGAGATATGTTTTGGTGTCACGGTTGAGGAGCAGGTTCTTAACGTGGTTTGGTGCCGATCCCGTTGTGATTTTTCTGCTACTTTTATCACTTTCGAGGACTTCGTTCTCAAGTTGTCGGTGAATATGGTGCAAGTGTAAAATATCTGCCTTCAGTTGCTGCACGTACTGCTCGTCGAGTGAAGTTGATACATCGGTGTCTTCCTCTCCATTATTTCGGCTGTCAACTTCAGGTTCTTCGGATACTTCAGTGCCTGTTGACACACCGTCGTCGCAACAACAGCTCGTTAGTTGAATTCGACATCGACAGCCAGTAGTAACAGAGAACCTTGTGTGAAGTAGGAGGTTCTCTTCACAAATGCCTGAGTTGTCGGAACTCCTCGGCCGCTTTCTCGAGCGGTACGCGGTCGTTGGTTCGCTTCCTGAGGCACTGAAAACGCTGCCTCGGGGCGACGTACGCCGCTGCTACTCTGTGGCCTGCAAGAACGAGGTCAATATAAAACGTTGTAGAGCATGACATCGGCAGCAAAAGCGTTACCGATTAAGAAAGCGGCTACTAGCTGGTCGCTGGTGCAGGAGCGGATGCTGATGCTGACTTGGATGCTGTTGATTTGAACCGAATCGATCCGGTAAGAAGATGTTCGACTCATCATCCTCGCTGCGGCCACGGCTCGGACCGGGAGGTTTGAATCCGGACGAGAACGATTGCGATCTGCTTAGCATGAATTGCTCAGACATGACAGCCACGAAAGCAGCACCGCTGCAGAGAGCTGCATGCCAGGAACGTACTTGGGCCGCTCGTTTAAGAAAGCCACAGCTGGCGTTGAAGGTTTCCGAAGAGCAGGTCGGCCGTAGAGTTCCATGGCATGAACACTTCTAGCAGACGAATGCCAAATATTAGTATGTGATGGAGCGCGGATCGAATACAGTTGATAATCCTTGTCCGAGTCCGCTTTTAGGAATCCACGCCGCTTTCTCCATTTTTAGCGTCGATTCAACATGGACGAGCAGTACTTCCACGTGCGTCAATGAATATGTTGCCTCCAGGTTTTGCTTGATGTTGAACCGCTTTACTAGGACGTCTTCACCTCGACACGTAAGATCAAGTCAAAAACTCGTGCAATGTCGGCTTGGCTCAAGCTTTTGTTGCTACCGGTAGTTGCAGAAGTATCATGAGCTCTTGGGTAGAGGAAAAAAAACTGAAGTATGAGGTAACATGGATAATGGTCCGTAGATGCTCATCAAGGCAACAACCCGATGACTGGGCCCTGCATTGGTCTCTTTGACAAGGGCATCCTGCATTGGTGGACCAATGTTGCCTTCAAACCACAAATTGTTCACTTTTGCGGTTTCCCTATGAATTTTATTTCAAAAGTATTTTGGCACTCTGTAGTTATTTCCGTTTTGTTCAACAAAACAAATGGACACCTCGGCATCGATGGACTCGGCGGACGCGACGTCGCCGCGCCAAGTGGAGCTGCAGCTGCCGAGCGATGAGGACTCCGTGACCAAGTACGCGTGCAAGAAGTGCCGCTGCGTGCTGTTCACGAGCGAGCAGCTGACACCGCACGAGCCGGAGCGCCACCAGATCTCGGCACGCCGGCGGCTCAAGGACCTCAAGCACCAGGTGGGCGGCCACGTCGACTGCTCCTCGTTCTTCCTGGAGGAGACGCTGCCCTGGATGGACGAGGCGCTGCTGGCCGAGGGCAAGATCCACTGCCCCACGGCCAAGTGCCAGTCGCGCCTTGGGGCGCTGCAGTGGTCGGGCTCGCAGTGCTCGTGCGGCACGTGGGTCACGCCCAGCATCAAGATCACCCAGAGTAGGGTAGACGCGGTCATTAAGCAGAGCAATCTGAACATCGTCACGGGCGTCGTGCTGCCGAACGCCTCGCAGACCTACGCGGCGCAGACGGCGCCCTCCAGCTCGGAGAATTGATGATAAAGGACTTGGACACTGCAGTTGTGGTAACATGGGCTAATTGCTATTTGTATACTTGCCACAGAACACTACTACTCCGGCATCTATCGTATCGATGAGCTCAGCGACGTGCCGGTAGCACTATTATGGCGCCGATGCAGGCCTCAGCGAGCACACGACGACACTTACGCGGACAGGTCCCAGTAGTTAACGCAAGCGTCGTTACCAACCGAGACGAGCTCCGTCTCCGAGACGAAGCTCACGCCAGTGACGCCGTCCTTGTGGGAGAAGTCGAACGAGCGCTTCTTCATGGGGCTGTTGACGTCCCAGATGTAGATGCGCTCGTCGAGCGAGCCACTGGCCACGAAGTTACCGCTGGGGGCCCAGGCCACGCTCGTCACGCGCGTCGAGTGGAAGACCCACATACCCTGCACCTTGGCCGAGCGCGATGCAACGTCCCACACACGCACCTCGCGGTAGGTGTCACCGGCGGCGAGCAGGGTGCCATCGGGCGAGAAGGACACGCAGGTCAGGGCGCCCAGGTGGCCGCTGATCTCACCGCTCTCGACAAGGGAAGAGCCGTTCACCACGTCGAACAGGTGAATCTTCATGTCCTCCTGCGAGCCGACCGCCACGAGGTCCTCCGACGGCGAAATGGCCACGCACGTAGGCGTCCACGAGAATTCGGGCGTCTCGAACACCAGCTTCTGGTCGCGCAGCAGCTTCACACCCTTGTTGGTGCTCACCACTGCGAGACCCGACTCGGTAAGAGCCACACCGTTGGGCTGCGCGTTCAGTGCAGTAGCAGCAGTGTATTCGTCATCGTTGGCGAAGCGCAGCTGATCATCCCAACCGCTGCTCGCGATCTGGTTCGACGTGGCAGCAATACCGGTGATCTTGGCAGTGTGGTGAGTGCCCGCCAGAGCCTTGGCGAGCTTCGACGTCCACGAGCACACGACGCCATCGTAGCTGCCGGTCAGGATGCGGTTCTGCGACGCCTCCGTAGCGAGCGACAGGATGCTAACTTGGTGGCCCTGCACGATCTGCTTGGGCTGCGAGGGGTTCTCCAGGTCGAGGAAGTTGAGGTCGCCCGACAGACTCAGCGAGATGAGGTGGTTCTGGCACCAGGCCACTGCCACCTGCATGTCCTTGACCTGGGGCTTGGCGCCACCGAAGGTGAACTTGGTGACCACGCTGCGCGAAGCCACATCCCAGAGCAGCACCGTCTTGTCGGCCGACGAGGTCAGCAGCTGCGTGCCATCCGGGCTCCAGCAGACAGAGTAGATGGACGCCTGGTGGGCGGCCGGGAACTTGTCAACCAGCTCGCCAGACTTGCCGTCGTACAGGCACATGAGCTTGTCCGAACCGACACTGACCGCGAGCTCGCCGTTGGGCGAGAAGCGCACGCAGTTGACGAAGTTGGAGTGCAGGTTGTTGTTGTTCTGCTTGAACTTGAAGGGCGGGCCCTCGAACACGCACACGTTGAAGTCCTCGCTGGCCGTCATGATGCGGAACGGGCGCGTCTGGCGGTAGTCCACGCTGAGGATGCGCTTCTGGTGGCCCACGATCTCGCCGATGCTGTTGCCCGTGTCCCACATGAAGACGCGCGCCATGAGGCCGCGGCCGTCGCCCACAGCCACGATGCGCTTGCTGTCCGGGTCCCACGACAGGTCCTTGATCTCGCCGGCGAACACGGGGATCTCGAGCTTGAGCGTGTGTTCCGGGTTGTCGTACGACCACACGCGCACCTTTCCCGACACGTCGCCCGACGCGACCCAGTAGCCGTTGGGCGAGAACTTGGCTACGGTCGTGGGCTCATTGTGGCCCTTGTACACGAACGTGTCCGTCGGGTCGTCCAGGTTGCGCACCACCACGAGCTTGCCGCTGCAGTAGATGAGCTTGGGCTCCTTGGGGTGGATGCCGAGCACGCTGGGGGCGCCGCGGTTCGTGGTCGGGTTCGGGCCCACCGTCGCCTAAGGGTAAGCAAAGCAAATGAAAGAGCACTTAGCCTTCCTTCGTTCAACGCTGCAATGGCTACAGACAGCGACGAGCTCATACCTTGAGGGCCGGGGGCGGCACCTTCTCCGTGGGGTTCGAGGGTGTGGCCATGATGAGCGCGGAGGCTGCTGTCGTTGCTTGGGGCAGGGGAGAATATCTGGGAGTGAACCGACAATGCGTCAACGGACGGATCCTGCCTGCTGCACTCGTGGCAAATTCCTGATTCCTGTGTGCGCCACACCAGAAATCAACAACATGGGCACGAAAAATCTAGGGAATCAAATGTATTGGAACGCACAAAGTAACTTCAGTATCGAAGCCTCCACTAGCTAACTAAGCGCAATTACGCCATGGTGCCACGCAGGACCACCTGCTCGGCGCCAGGCGCGCGCGCGATAGTCGTACCGAGACGGTAAACCTTCTCGCCGGTCGCCTCGACCTGGCGCGTCACCTCGGCCACGTTGGCCTCGGGCAGCAGCAGCACCATGCCGATACCGCAGTTGAAGGTGCGGGCGAGCTCGGTGTTGGAGAGGTTGCCCATCTGCTGCAGCCACTTGAACACGGGCGGCAGCGGCCAGCTCGAGCAGTCAATGTCGACAGCCAGGTCCTTGGTCAGCACGCGGGGCACGTTCTCCAGGAGACCGCCGCCCGTAATGTGAGCCAAAGCATTGATGAGGCCCGCCTTCACGGTGGGCATCAGCTGCTTCACGTAGATCTTGGTAGGGGTAAGCAGGCTCTCGCCCAGGGTCTTGCCAGCCTCGAACGGGCACGGGTCGCTGTAGGCGAGGCCCGACACTTCCACGAGCTTGCGCACGAGCGAGAAACCGTTCGAGTGCACACCCGACGACGTCAGACCGAGCACAGTGAAGCCAGCCTGCACCGGCAGCGGCAGGATGGCGTTCTTGCGGACAGCACCCACGCAGAAGCCAGCCATGTCGTAGTCGCCGTCGTGGTACATGGAAGGCATCTCAGCAGTCTCACCACCGATAAGACCGCAGTCCGACTGACGGCAGCCCTCGGCAATGCCCTTCACCACATCAGCGGCCTCGTTCACCTCGAGCTTGCCGCAAGCATAGTAGTCCAGGAAGAACAGCGGCTCTGCGCCCTGCACAATCAGGTCATTCACGCACATGGCGACAAGGTCGATGCCCACGGTGTCGTGCTTCTTGGCGAGCTGCGCAACACGCAGCTTGGTACCCACACCATCCGTGCACGCCACAAGCGCCGTGTCCTTGTCGTAGCCCGCAGCCTGCAGGTCGAAGATGCCGCCGAAGCCACCAAGGTCTGCGTCACATCCAACGCGCACGGTCGACTTGCAAAGCGGCTTGATCCGGTTCACCAGCTCGTTACCGGCGTCAATGCTGACACCAGCGTCCGCGTACGTGATCTCCTTCTTTCCGGCCTTGTTCTTGAACAGCAGACCAGTCTGGGCCAGCTTGATGGCGTGCAAGAAGGCAGCGCCTTCGAGAGGCTGAACGCGCGCCTTCAGCGTCTCCGGCGTGTCAGCCTCGAGCACGGGGCACTTCATCTGCACAGCGATCGGACCGGCGTCCACCTGCTCCGTCACGAAGTGCACAGTGCAGCCGCTCTCGGTCTTCTTCGCGTCCAGGACGGCGCGGTGAACGGCAAGGTCCATGCCACCAGCGAAGTCCGGCAGCAACGACGGGTGGACGTTCAGCACCTTGTTTTCCCACTCCTTGCAGAACTCGCCCGAGAGAATGCGCATGTATCCGATGAGCAGCACGAGGTCCACGCTCTTCTTCTTCAGCACCTCAGACACCTGGGCATCGAACTCGGCACGTGACAGACCCTTGGCCGAGAGAGCCACGGACTCAATGTTGTGGGTCTTGGCACGCTCCAGAATGCCAGCAGCAGCCTTGTCGCTCACCACGATGTCGATGCTGGCATTCAGCTCGCCAGCCTCAATGGCGTCAATGATAGGCTGCATGCTGCTGCCACGGGTGGAGCCAAGCACCGCAAGCTTGAGCTTCTTAGCGCCGTGCAGCAGGCCCTTAAGGCCAATGTCCGAACGGTACTGAGCTCCCTCGAAGTGAATCTTGGAAACGCCCTTGTACGCGCGGTCAAGAGCACCCTGCAGCGAGGGGCCAACGGCAGTGACAGCAAGCACGCGGCCACCCGACGTAGCGATGCTGCCATCCGCAGCGTTCGCCGTGCCAGCGTGGAAAACGTCGACGTCCTTCATCGACTGGGCGTCACCCAGACCCGTGATAACCTTGCCCTTGGGGTAGCTGTTCGGGTATCCCTGCGACGCCATCACAATAGTAGCCGCAGCACCGCTCTTCCAGGACACCAGAGAGCGCTCCAGGCGGTGCTCAACACAAGCACGCATGATCTCGAACAGGTCGCTGTGCAGCAGCGGGAGCACCACCTGCGTCTCCGGGTCACCGAAGCGGCAGTTGAACTCGACGATCTTAGGGCCCGTGGGGGTGAGCATGAAACCAGGGTACAGAACACCCACGTACGGCATGCCCTCCTTCTTCATGGCGGCAATCACGCGCTCAACGATGTCGACGCACTCACGCTCCAGCTCGCTGGTAAGGCACGGGGCGGGTCCGTAAGCGCCCATGCCGCCCGTGTTCGGTCCCTGGTCGCCGTCGGAGATACGCTTGTGGTCCTGCACGCCGGGCATGCACACCACGCGCTCACCGTCGCAGAAGGCCAAAAGCGACACCTCCTCGCCCGTCATGAACTCCTCGAGCACGACCTCGTCACCAGCTGAGCCAAAAGCCTTCTCCAGCATAACCTCACGCAGAGCCTCGTGGGCCTCAGCCTTGTTGGTAGGGATAAGCACACCCTTGCCGGCAGCGATGCCCGAAGCCTTGACGACAATGTTGTGGTTGATCGAGTCCAGGTACTCCTTGGCCTTTTCGTACTCCGTGAAGTTCTGGTACGCCGCCGTCGGGATGTTGTTGCGACGCATGAAGTCCTTGGAGAACGCCTTGGACGCCTCCAGCTGCGCCGCCAGCTTGCTCGGACCGAACGTCGGGATGCCCGCGGAGTTCATCTTGTCAGCAAGGCCGTCAATGAGCGGAGCCTCGGGGCCCACCACACAAAACGACACGCCCTTGCCCTTGGCAAAGGCAATGAGCTCGTCGTGCTGGCTGACGCCAATGTTGACGTTGGAGATGCCAGCAGAAGCGTCCTCCGTGCCGGCGTTGCCAGGCGCGACGTAGATGTGGCCAGTGGAGGCCGACTGGGCCAGCTTCCAAGCAATGGCGTGCTCGCGGCCGCCGTTGCCGACCAGCAGCACGTCGTGCACGACCTCGTCCTCGCCGCTCAGGCTGGCGGCGATGGCCTTGTCCAGCTCAGCAAACTGCGCAAAGGCCTTCTCGGCCATGGCGCGGCGCTCACGCAGAGAGAACGCGAGCAAGCCGTCGCGCGCGAGCTTGCTCTGCACGGTGACCAGGTCCTTCTCGTCCACGACGACGCTGATCTGCTTGTGGTTCCAGGCGGCGGTGCGCACGAACGAGTAGGCGCCCGAGACCCACTGGGCCACGCGCGCGTGCGCCGCGGCGCCCACGTCCGTGGCGCTGGGCGGCAGCGCCAGCACGGCCTCCACGCGGTCCGAGAGCATGAGCTGCACGTCGGCAGGCGTGGCCACAGCCACGTGCGGCACCTTGGCGGCCACGAGCGCAGCCTCCACGGCCGGCGAGCAGAGCGAGGCCACGCGCAGGCCGCCGGCCTGCAGAGCCGCCGCGGTCTGCACCAGCGCGTCGGGCGCGCGGTCGCCGCAGAGCACCACGAGCGGCGTCGATGGAGCCATTGGAAGGGAGGAAGCTTGGTCGCTTGGGGGCGGGTGCGATTCGGGTATGAACTACTGGAGCAGCGCTTCAGCCGGTGGGCCAACACGGCAAAAGAGTGGATCAGTGGCAATAGCTCAGGCGATTGGCCGAAAACGGGTCCAGGAAAATCGGCGATTGGCTGAAGCGAGAGCAGCTGTTGCGAAACCTGTGTCAGATCTGTGTGGAGCGGGGCTACCGGATGTGAAGCACCGAGAAGACCCCGCCCGACGGTGCGTCAAGCGGCTTGGAGTCCCAAGTCGCACCGGGGTAGTACGCATCAAGACGTTTGGGTACTGTATGTTGTGCAGGGGAGGTGCTGCACATACTGCAGTTGCCGCCAATGCATTGCTGATACCCAGCGACGGTGGTTCAAGCGCAGGACGACAACACGCTGAATCTGTGGCCCAGCAGTTTCCGGTGTTCTGAACACCATTTAGTGTGCAGCACACGTGCTGCAAAGGCTTGATCTACAGCAGAGCTCACAACGGGTACCCGAAAACCGGGTACCCGTACCCGTAACGGACGGGTATGGACGGACGGGTACCCGATTTAGTTTTGAAGCAGCCTCGGGTATCCGAAGTTCGGGCTGAACCATGCAATAATTCCCATCCAGATTATTCAGGTATTGACCAGAGCCAAAGAGCGAAGCACGGCAGATCGAAGTGAAGACAATCGCAAGCTTATAGCTATCTTACCTTTGTAGTCTACTGAACAGCGCTCTGGCCACTATTACCTGTGAAGTTGGGCTGTTTTCATACATGCACGCAGTGCCGTACTGTTAGACATATGACCGTACCGTTAGATCATCCATAACTGTGCGGTCACCTAAAGGAGGAAGGCTAGATCAAGGTAGATCTTAGCTTAGAAGCTTAACGTGAACGTATTTTACTGCAAAATGGCATTTCGCATCATATCCTTGATGGACATGCCTACCCGCAACTTCGGACGGACCGATATTTCGGGTATCCGAACGGTTCGGATCTTCGGACGGGTCCGGGTACCCGAACTTCAGACAAGGCCCACATGGGCGGATTCGGGTGCCATCTGCCGAGCGGTCCGGGTAAGCTGGTGCATACTGTTTGCGACCTCTGATCTGCAGTGCGTGTATAATTCCTACGTGCTGAAGTACCCAAGCATCTCAACACTGTGGTTATGAAGGCATGTGCATGTGTTTGGCAACGCCCGAGCTGCTGCCGCTTAGAGGCCTACACCACCGCTAGCGCTCACTCCGACGAGAAGCGTGATAAATCAGCCTGACACGCTCGCAAAACTTCGACAAGGAGAGAAATCTTGGAAAGTTTTGAAGTATTATTGCTGCTACAGTAGTGCGGATCGTCGATCTACTTAGGAAAAGGCCTCCTCGGTGCGCTGCAAAAGAGTATCCGTTGTGTGTGCGTACTTTCACGTTAGCCGTTCAAATACGGAGAAAACGCGCTACCGGTACTACATTTCTTTCATAGAGTCAGATCGCATTTGGCATACAGTGACTGTCCGTCTGGGCTTGCTGCTAGATAACCCTCACGATAACAGCACGTTCGGCACAGCTACCTCGTCGATATAACATTACTACTTGTTATCGACGTTACCATCCTCACTAGCGCAAAGGAACTCAAATTCGGCCATGATGGGCACGTGGTCGCTACCGAAGACGGAGTTGGGGATGCCGTTGTAGTTGCCATGGAGACCAGATGGCAGGCGACCGGAACGGTTCAAGCTGTCTGACATCGCTAAACGGTTGAACCAGTTTCCAGGTCCGTCTTCTGCGCGCAGTACACTCTCCGGTGGAATCTCCAGTACTCGCGAGGGCACCAAACTGCTCTTTGAGTACCAGATGTAGTCGATAGTCCAGCACCGCCGGAAGTTCACTGTCGTGTGGGGCGGCTCGGCCTTCTTCCCCTCTTCCACCTTGAGAGACTGCAACGTGTCCTCAGAGTGCTCCAACGCACTCGCCAGCGCGTTCGGCTTGTAGAAAGCGTACGCGCTGCGGAAAGCTTCGTTTACGCCCTCCAAATTGGGCTTTTGCATGAAGGAGTTCTCCATGTACTCGTAAATCGGCGATTCTGGCGAGTTGTTGAAGTCACCGCAAAGCACGATAGGTACACGATTCTGGCCAGTTGCGGTACCAGACAGCTCGCGCTCGTACTTGTCCCTCACATCACAGCTCATCCGGATCACTTCTTCCTCCAGCTCAAACAGCTCAGCCATCTGATGGTCCACCTTCCTGAAAATGGGTCAAACAATTTACAAAAAACGGTAATTAGCTCCAGCGTCATCCGGTAGAGAGAGTTCGCACAACGTACTTTGCGTTCCACCACAAGTGCGTGCATCCGACCAAAACAAACTGCGCAAAATGACGCATCTTCAGCAAAGCCAGCACAGCAACGCGGTCGTGCGGGTCATGGTAATTCACGGCCTCAAACTCTTTCAGCTCGAACTTGTCCTTCCTGGGCATCACCAAAGAGCTATCGTCAACCAGTAGCGCAAACGTATCAGTGCAATGCCTTCACTTACTTGTAGAAAATGCCGCAGCCGTCATGCTTCTTTTCGCCGGACCAGTTCGATACGTGGATCGACGGACGCTTGACGTACACGCTCTCATATCCTCGGTCCTGTAACTCCGGCTTGAAGAAACTGACCATCAAAAGCGCCACCATTATCCTCAATATTTCACACTACGCCTCAGCACAATAAGCTGCAATTACAAAACGGCACGTACGTCCAGTAGTCACTCAATTCCTCGAGACAAAGGACGTCGGCGTCTAGAGCCTCCAGCTGCCTCAGCAACGCCATCTTGCGGTTCTCCCAATTGAGACTCAACTCCAACACGTACGGAAAGTGGTTGCGTGTCGCCAAGTTGCTGGCCAGGATGTTCAACTGCCGCAAACACATAGGCACATCAAGTCAGCGACCGGTATGGTTCACTCTCATAGCGCGTCCTTCAGTGGCTGTACCTGCACCACCGTGATCTTCTGCTTGCTAAGCTTGTTGGGGTCCGCCTGCTCGAGCTCCGTAGCACAGGGCAGCAGCCGCGCCGTCGAGAGCGGTCTGGAGCCGGAGCTGCCCAGCCTTCGGCAGCGGAAGGCGCGCCAGAGCTTCGCGTTGTGTCTGGACAGCGACACGGACGCCAGCATTGCCACGCCCATGCCCAGGCACACCGCCGCGGGGCGTCCGGCGAGCGACACGCTCATGGCGGACGGTCCAGAAGAGAAGGAATGCGCGTGCCTCGGTCGCTTGGACCGGCCGCGATGACCTCAACGTTCCCCTTGCGATTCCCTGATCGTCATGCATATGTAGGGGTCAGGTTGATGTGCGAGACATAAGTTTTTTTAAGTAGCGTTAATGTGGACCACCTTTAACCTCTTATTTGGGGTAGTGTACACTATACTACTTTTCGGTTACTTCAGAGTGCTCGGTCTCCGCGAATGGCTGCCATCCATTTGCCACGCACCGCCAACAGCAAAGCGCGGGTCATTTTGGATTCAGGTTACTGTCAGTCCAAAGCTACTGGTACGTCCCGAGCCGTCTGCTGTTGCACTGGGCTGCCTCCTCCGGGTGCTGACGCGTTCTCTCTCTCATTTCTTTATTGCAGCCCTCTATCCAACATGTCCCTTGTCAACAAGCCGAAGACCGTCGAGGCGGAGGAGACCCGCATCCACCGCATTCGCATTACGCTCTCGAGCCGTAACGTGAAGAACCTGGAGAAGGTGTGCGCTGACCTCAAGCGTGGCGCCGTAGACAAGAACCTGAAGGTGTCGGGCCCCGTGCGTCTCCCCACCAAGATCCTGCGTCTTACCACGCGCAAGTCGCCCTGTGGTGAGGGTACCAACACGTGGGACCGCTTCGAGATGCGCATCCACAAGCGTATCATCGACCTGCACGCCCCCTCGGACATCGTGAAGCAGATCACGTCGATCTCGATCGAGCCCGGTGTCGAGGTCGAGGTGACCATCGCCGACTCCGCCTAAGCGCGTTGTCTGTGAGTGGTCTCCTGGCCTGTTCTTGCGCTGGCTAGCGCACTCCACCCAGCAGTTCGGGGCGTTGCTTGCTCCGCCTCGCGACTCGCGAGCGTAATGGGGGAAGGATTGTACTTAACACCTTGGAGGCGTCAATATAATTCCAACCCCACGACTTTGTGGGACATCAAACTGTGGCGCTTGTGTGTTTGATTTGTTGGGTTTGTGATGTGGACATGTCATGGAAACGCTGTTTGGGTTTGCTAAGAAGACAGAAACAGCAAAGTTTTCAAACGCTTCGCTCTTGTAGAATTTGGAGGGCGTCAGAAGACCCAGGATGTATGCACTGGTAATTGCAGCAGCACGATCGAAGGCGAGCCGCTATAGTGCGTTCAGGCAGCTGTACGCGAAGAGCAGTCTGGTACTCCCCACGTTGGATAAACCTGGAGCAAGTACAGCAGCCTGGCAAGTTTGAGGAATTCCAATCGGTAAATCCGCGAGTCCATGACTATTCGCCTGCATGCCAAAGCACGAGTGCCACCAAGGTTGCCACAGCGGGATCACGATCCCGAAACGAGGGAAGCAGGCATCTTCCCTCGTTTAGCTCACCACGAAAGATGTATCCTGTAGCCACCGTCCACTGGAAGTGGACGCTCGCGCACTTCAACTTTCGCTAGCAAACGGCAGAAGACATTTTCAGCCAATCGTATTGCGAGATATTTTGCGGTTTGCGTCCGTACCGCGTCATTCGCTCACCCGGCATCACGTCAATGGGGACGACCTCCATGCGGCTCCACCGCTGCCTGCAGGCACCCGTGCGGACTTGCAACCGGCGCAATACATCCCCTTGCACCCTCCAGGGAGTTGCAACGCCGCACTCCATCCTTCAACCGCGTCCACCGTTGGTACGTCGAATACGCGTGCCATGGAGTGAAATGACCAGAATAGTCGAGAATTCTGACGTTGGTGCTGTAGCGAGAAGCATCGACGTGGGCGCTGGCCGCCGATGGTCTGCAGCAGAAGTGGAAGGGACTGAAGCAGCGCACGGCATGGCGCTACAAGACGCTCAAGGATAAAGACACGGCCATTGTCTTCAGCGATGAGAAGCAAAAGGAAGTGCACTTGAAGCCGCGCAACCGTCGTCTGGACGACCCCCTCGCCTGCCACAATGTGCTGGCAGCTGCGTCCACCTCGAGTTTGAACGGCATTTTGGGAGCCACGTCGCCCGAAGACTCGAGTCAGTTCTGCAGGACGATGGTGGGCTTCATGCTGCATTCATGTACCCCGTCTGAGCGAGCGAAAGTGCTCGACGTGCTTACCAAACAGCGGCTGGAGGAGATCACGATTGCTAACCGCGCGCTGGTGGTCAAAGCTATCCAGCGCTGCTTGATGTCACCGCTGATCCGTGACAAGGCAGTGCTGCACAGTGCGGCGAAGGATGTGGTTTGCGGCACGTATGGATTGGAGCTGTCGGTTCTGAAGGAGCAGATTCATTCGGATGAAGAGGCATTTATTGACACCGCGGGCCACATTCAGTTCGAAGATGGTGTGGCTCTCGGAAAAATCTCGTTTCGGCAAAGTGCCCATGCACCAGAAGAACCTCCTCACTCCGGAGACCTCACTCAGCTCATTTTCGGAAACAAGAACATCACCGAAGTCGTCACAATGATGCAGCATATCGCGGTTGAGAGCCTCAAAGTGAAAGAGCAACAGCCGGACCTGGTCAAGGTTGTGAGTGATATCGATGACACTCTTTTCCCGGGTTGGATCGATAAGCGTTATCCGCTTCACATCCCGTACCCTGGCGTCTCGGATCTGTTCGCTAGACTCTCGCGCGGACTGGCACAGGACGCAAATGGCGACACTGTGCGTCCGTCCATCACGTTTCTCACTGCAAGACCCCGCGGTTGGCTGAGCGTAGGACGCTATTTGACGCTTCAGCACCTGAAAAGTCTTGGCGTTCCCAACGTAACCGTGCTTAATGGCTCGGTGAAAGGCCTCGTGAGCAACGAGAAGATCGCCAATCTCAAGCTGGACAACTTCTCTCGCTTTGCAGCGCTGTTCCCTGAGTTCAAGTTCGTCTTCTTCGGCGACTCGGGTCAAGGCGATGCCCTGCTGGCATCGCGCTTGCTTACAAGCTGTCCTGAGCAGGTGCTGGGCACTTTTGTTCACGACGTGAATCCTATCTTCGCACTAACAGGAGACGGCGGCAGGAAGCGGGCTTATGCTGCGTAAGTGTCGCGATTTTGTTTGCGTTGTGATCGAAGGAAGCAGTTTAACTGACACTCGTGTGTTTTGATATTCACACAGAGAGGGGGTCGAGTTTTTCGGGACGTACGCGGGGGCTGCGCTGGCTGCATACAAAAAGGGTTTGATCTCAGCGGCGGATGTTCTGGAGGTCGCAAATGCTTCTGAGAAAGAGCTAGAAAACATTCTCTTTGTAGGTCCCGAAGCGGACACTCTGAAGACTGAGAGGCGCCGCGAGTTGCAGCAAGATGTCGGTCGTATTGACACGTGCTTGCATGCCAAGGAGGCATGAGCGACACCTTAGAGAGTTTAAGACGCTTGTATCCAATCAAATTTGTCGTTGTCTATAATCCTCTTGCACCAGCCACCGATTCCGATGGATCGCGAGGAAGCGCGAGCGCGAATGCTGCGCCTGTGGGTAGCGCTTGGGGCAAAGAGTGCTGCTCGTACCTCGATCCTTACCACGCAGAGGTGAGTCGAGCCTTCATCCGTCGCCTCTTCCTGTCAACCGGGGCTAAATGCTAAGCTCATTTGTCGTACAGCACCATGGTGCACGCAGACGCGCTGATGGCCAATGCAGGACAAACGCTGTTCGCCTGCTCGAACCTCGATACGCCTCTGGGAACATACAAGCATGCCGTCATGCGGGATCAAGACATCGTTCAGCTGGAGCGGCCGCTGACTACTGCAGAGCTGCGAGGCTTGGTGCTCAACAACACCACGTAAAGTGTGAGGCTTCGTGTCCAAACAAATCTACAAAAGCGTTATCATTCTCTATACACCTTCATCTTAAATAGTAGTGTACGCGTCTAGGCGCTGCAGTGCATGAGGCACTGACCTCGCCGAGACATTGGGGGGAAAGTCATTAGGGTCTGCTTCAAACTCGTTGCGGGCGCGCGTTGGGGATGAAACGACACGGCACAACGAGCGCAGTTAAGCAGAGCGGGTGGGCCCATGGAAAAAAAAGCACGGAGGAGCTTGGGCACCATAGTCGGAGGGAGAGTCATCATCACACTTGAGTCATCACGCTCGGGTCATCACAGACGGAGAATCATACTGGGTGCCGTCAGGGACATCGCTGCCGCTGGTGTCGGTGCCGGTACGGTACTGCTGGTGGTGGTGTTGCTACCAGACCCCACATTATTGGCAGCATTGCAGGCCTTGGTGTTCCATGTCGGCGTTGGTGCAGTGCCCACTGAAGATTCGCGAATTGCTGGAAAGACTGCAGTCGCTTGGGGATGAGGCGACAGGGACGAAGACGAACCCGACGACGACAGTGACCCACTGCTTGCGCTGATGATGGAAGGCGCGCTGCTCTTACCAGTGTTAGCAGCAGCAGCACCCGCAACCATTCCGTCCTTCCCATTGTCACCGGTGCTACTGGCATCGCGCAGTCGATACAGCACATTGTTCGACAGAGCTGGCCAGTCAATGATCAGGTGGCGAATCGACTGCTCCACGCGAGACTGGAACCTGCGCACGAGTGCCGTTGCGATTTCTTTCGGCAGCTCCGATCGGTGCTTAAGTGCAGTGCGCTTGAGCAGATCAACCAGTTCAGTGAATGTCATGAGCACGCCCATTTCCGCGCGCGCGTGAATCACTCGCACTACACCCGCTTCGTCTTCGAACGGGATGTAGTTCGGCTCGCACGGCATGTTCAGCTTGTGCTGCTGACGCTTCTTCAGACGACGATGGAGTGCCGCGAAATGAACTCCGTGGGCCTTGGCAGCATTGCGCAGGCTCATGCCGTGGATGGCGACGTCCTCCATAGCACGCTCCCACACCTTCGCCGGCACAAGGTTGCTCTGGCGATAGTTACGGTCACTGGCGTTGCTGTCGGAATGTCCGTTGCTGCTGCCGGAGCTTGCCCTGCGGCGGTACTTGTTGTCGTCTCGAGGTTGGCGTTGCGGCTGCTGATAGTAGCCTAGACGCTGCTGCGGCAACACGTTCTCCCCGCCGTCAGCCACTTCAACATCATCCCAGCCGTAGGCCGCGCGGCGTCCCTGTATAGGGCTGCGGTGCCGCGGTGACAACGGAGGTGGAGCTGCAGGCTGGCGGTAGGTGCGGTTCTGGATCCAGCGTAGTTGATCTCCGCGGCGTTGATGTTCGAACTCATACTGCTGCTGCTCTAGCTCATAGTTCCGGTTGTAGCGCTCCTGCTGCTGCTGTTGGGACACAGTGCCGTTCAGGCTGTTGCTACTGAAGGTTCTGCTTCTGCTGCGGACGATGTCGTCCACGTCCACGAAGTTGTTCTCGCTCTTGAACATGGCAAGCCAACCTGCGGTCGGGAAGTCTGCGGGGAGCGCGCGGCGTCCGTTGTGGCCTACAACCGCGCGCACCACATCGACGATGTCGGCGTCCGCGTAGCCCTCAAGTCGGTGGAGTCGGCCGTCGCTGGTTTCATAGTCGTCATACTGTTGCTGCTGCAGGAACTGTTCGCGGAGGATGGCCACGATTTCTTCGTTCACCTCGGGCGAGAGCTCACACCCGGGCGGCGGCGTCAAAACCGCCAGTGGTGCTACCGCCGGCAGGGGCAAGTTGTTGATGCCGGTGGGGCTGCCGCGGCCGAGCGCCAGCGGGTTCAGGCGCGGGAAGACGTAGCGGTCGCCTGGCAAGCTAGCGCCACTGCCAGCGGTGACTGTCGGGGCCGTGATTCGGATGGTGTCGCTGCTGCTCGGGCTGGTGGAGACCACTACGGCGGGGGCCGACCCGGGCAGCGACCGGGCCACCGGCGGCGGCGGCAGCGGCGGCTGGGGCAGGTGGCGCGCCTGCTGCAGCGTGCGCTGGCGCACGAGTCGGTGCAGCGCGGTCTGCTGCAGCCCGAAGGCCTGCGCGGCTTGGCGCAGGGAGAGTCGGCGCTCGACGACGGCGTGGATGGCCTGCGCCCAGACGCGGTCGCTGGCGGGGCTGTCGGGGCTCCAGTCGCGGCGCATGCCCGGGGTGCTCATGGCGGGGGCTCCTTCTTCTCGCTCGGAGGCCAGGTCGCAGCGGAGAGCAGCGGAGGGCGAAACACCTTCGGGGCTCAGCGGCAAATTGAAGACTGGATCGGGGTCGAGGACGCCGCGGCACTTGTCCTTTGTATGGAACAGGCCGCCGAATACAGCCGAACGATACGCTGTAACGAGAAGGAGCGACAGGGCGGAGAGTAACATGTACGGTAGGATGCAACAGCAGCGGCGCGGCTTATGACGGAGCAGAGGCTGGGGTCACACGCAAGCCAGCGTATGCCGTTCCGAAGGCTATGCCTGTTCGGTGGGGGATTTTAACTCAGTGGGCGCCCCTAGCCCTCGAGCACGAGCTCTTTGCTAGAAAGGGAGGCGACGTTTCAGCGGGGTTCTTGGCTTCCCGCACAGAGGACGCGCTTGAATCGATTTGGTACGTGTCCTTGCCAAGGCAATGGCGCAGCGGCCCCCGACCAACGTTGGGATCGAAGTCCAACGAGTCGCCGGCCAATATCGCGGGCCCCATCAAGGCCCTGAACGAGCCGCGCGAGTCGGTCGGTCTGAAAAAGGTTCTTCACTGCTTGCGTAGGATTCGGGACGCAGCAAGCCGGCGCGTCCATATCTTTACCATCTATTCTGCGTCACATGCGGCTCTAGCGCCACGAGGGCCTTCTACGCTTTTGCGTTATGAGCTGCGGTTGCTCGAGCAGTATGCGTAGGCCAGCCACCAGCCCGAGTCCAGGGGCAGGCCCAAATTGAGAGAAGCCGTGCTTCAAATTGAGAACCGCCAGAAGCAAATTGAGAAAACCTCCAATCCCGAATATGCATATCATCTAATCACCTTCAAGACCGAATATATCGTACAGAGCAACTGACTTGCCCACTCTAAGTTGATCAGAAAATTCCATCCGGAAAATTTTGGCCGGGACAGTGCCCTTTTTCTTGATCTCTCTTGTTTTGATTTTGGTCGTTTTTGTTTTGATTTTGACTTCTCTCAATTTGGCCTTGAAATGGTGTAACAATATTGTCAACAATTTGTGTGTGAAATAATATCTACCCGGCCGACCTGTCGTCCGACCGACGCGTCCAACATGTTTTTTTTACGATGTATAGTGTGCGGTAATGACTGCATCACTCACACTGGGGCGTGTCTAAGGGGAGGCAAACGCACCGAACAGTTTTGGTTTTTTGCTACTATAACGGTTAGGACACGCTGCGCCTCAGCGGATATCTGCTGCCTGCACTTGTTATTACCATTATCATCACTATTTTTGTGAGTATTATACATGTATTACTGCACAAGATATTTTAATTCTTATACTAGAGATGCTCTAAGAGCATCTCCAGCGGTTGGTCTCAAACACGGTTATAATTGATGTAGGCAACATCATCATGTTGCTATTGGTATTGATTGCAACGGCCACTGTCGCCGCCACTGCCATGCTATAGCTACTGCGGCTGCTACTGTCACTGCTACTGTCACTGCTACTGCCACTGCTTCAGCCCCTGACACTGTCACTATCGCTGCTACTGCTACTGCTGCTACCCCATCTCTAGTTTTATTGCTATACTACTGACATTCCACTATTGTTAAAGAAATTGCTTTTGATATTGCTACCTGTGGCGGGCGTTACTACTGGTCACTATTACTGCTTATCCCTACTGCAACTACAGCTAATAAAACTACTATTTCACTATTGTTAATGGTATCTTTGATGTTGCTACATGTAGTTCATATCTCCTGCTATCGCTACTGCGACTTTTATTATCTGCTGCCACTGCCGTTACCGCTGTTATTTACGCTATAACTACGAAATCAGCATTGATAATGGCTTTGTAATGATATTGCCCCTACTTTCTTCTTCACGCCGGAGAACGACTGCCAAAAGCTACTTCATGGTTTTATTATATATTGCTGCATAATATCACTGGGCATCTCATGGCTTGCGCAAGCCAAATTTACAAGTAGATGCCGTCTGAACATCGCCGTTCCCACAAACATACCGATGATCTTAACTTCTTATCGTCGTCTAGACTTTGTATATCACTCTCCTTAAGTAGTGGTTCTCACGGTTGACATAATTGCAGGTTGCAGGTTTGCACGACTAGCCAATCAGAGCAAACCTTCAGGGTTCTAACCGTGAGATCATGAAACCTGCAAGACCTAAGGTTCACATTATTTTTATCCAATAGGAGAGTAGTAATTGCTGGCTGGCTGTAGTTGTTGCTACTATTCTTTGCAAGCCGGATGGTCAAGGAAGGAACTCGTGCAGCTACTGACCTGCTTCTCGAAGCCCGAGTCCTCTATGCCGCTCTACAGGACTCGAGCGATGAGGACCACAGTGGTGACGAGTTGGATGACATCAATGTGGTTACACAGATTCTAGCTACACGCTACTTATTTCGTAGCAGCGTCCTCAAGTCGGCCGAGTGGTACCCTGCAAGGATTTTCCTCAAGAACCCCGTTCGAGCCCGCCGTGACCTTCGAATTAGCATCGACGGCTTTCGCTTTCTGCTCGCGTCTGTGATTCACAACCCTGTTTTTCAGCGAACTCCAGGAAAACAGGAGCAAGCACCAGCCCAGCTTCAGTTAGAAGTTTTTCTATACTCAATGCAATCCCTTTCATACTACCAGATATCTTAGCACTTTGGAATTGGAGAAGGTATGCTGTAGGTTTAGATATGCGAATCTACTTGTACTTACACTATGTTGCATGTACTGCTCGAACTATGCTAGGAACCGTAAAAAAATTTAATGACCGTGCAGTCGAGGCTGTTCTCGCGCTGGAGGGAACTTTCGTCCGATGGCCCACACATGATGAGCGTCAGACCATCTCTGAGCACGTGCAACGAGCTACGGGCTTCCCCAGATGCGTCGGTTTCCTTGACAGCACAACTTTCAAGCTCAAATAGTCACCCAAGGTCGATGCCGAGTGCTATTTTTCTCGGAAAGCGGATTACTGTTTAACGGACAAATTATTTGCGACCACAGGCGCCGGATTTTATACTATCAGGTGAGCCATGCATGTTAAATTCTTAACGGTTTGAAATAGCTCATCGTACTACTGCAATGCTTAGGTCGGTATGGCGGGATCGGTTCACGACAAGCGCGCCCTCTCGTTCACGGGCATGGCCACTGACCCCCGCGGGTTTTTCGGTATCAACGAATATTTGCTGGGCGATAGTGCGTACGGGGTCAGTTTCCCGTTCGTGGTCACTCCCTACAAGCGGCCTGCTGCTTTACTTCCTGACAACGCTGAGTTCAACTTCCGGCTTGCCACTCAGCGCATTGCGATTGAACACTGCATCGGAATTATAAAGGGCCGATTTCCCTTTTTAAGTGAGTGTGCTACCTACCTGTTGGATGAGGTCGACCTCATCCGAGTTTGCAAGCGCCAACGCGCGTGCTTTGTGCTTCATAATGTATGCATTGAGCTACGCGAGAAACAGTTCGACCCTGTTGCTGAACAAGACCAAGGTGAAGATTGGGTTTGTGAGATCGATAATCCGTACGATCCTGATCACTACCTTTCCTCCGATGATCTACGGATTTTAGTTCAAGCTGAGTCTCGTCATTTTGTTTAAGACAAACTGCTTTTGGAGGTCACTTGCCTAATTAATGCAACACTTAGAAAATGAACCTCATCCTTTGAAGAGTTTTATTTTAATGCTTCTCCTGTCATATTGCAGTTACATTAGACCTGACGAGCTTGCATCATGCGAGCGTGTTCTAACTCTAGTTGCTTACTCAGCAAATCAAACTGCTGGTCCATTTACTTTTCACGCAGACGCATTTCTTCGCGTTGCAGCTCTAGCTGCTCCTTTTGTAGTTCCAGTTGCTGCTCTTGCAGCTCCGAGTCGCGCTTGTGTCTCTTCTCGCGGCGCTGCGACTTCTCTTCATGAATTAGCAGCAAGGCGTCGTGCAAGTTGCTAGCACCAGCAACTGTAGTCGCGCCAGCGGGCGTAAGAGCCCGTTTGCCTAGCAAGCCCTTACCGCTTACCTGGCTGGGTACTGGTTTCGCAGCCGCGCTGCCGTCCTTCGCTAGGTCATGGCGTCCGTCTGCAGCCTCGTCCGTGCCAGCCGCATCATGGGATTGACTTGAACTACTGTAACTACTGTCGACCTGCCCTGCCAAAAGCACCCGCCCGGGTTCCATCAAGACGGGCGGGTTTGCATTGTGGCGCTCCCCAAAGATGTCGTCCATTTCATAACAAAATGGACATTTCTTCTGAAGCATCTCTACAAACACCACAATGCATCAATATTAGATTATGATGATGATGATGATGAGGTATATTGGATAACTGACCTTAGTCTGAATCCTAACAACCCTATAGCCGATGTTTTACCTTCGGCTGTCCCTCTCTCTAGTCGACAGCTTACTCTTCGGTGCTATAAACTTCCATAGCCCACTCCGCGTAGCCCCGTCGTGCCAGCTGCGCTATTCGATGAAAGTTTGCACTGAAAGCCTCACTGTGTAAGATGCTCGTTTGTTCTGTTTCGGTCGCCAACTGTGCTAAGCTGCGGGAGCTTTCGTTGGCGGTTCTGGGCAGCAGGGTCCATGACGGTACCCTGACTTTGTCTGCTAGCTGCCGACACTTGTTAAACCATATTCGTAGCCGTGTGGACTTCGGGGGCGTTCTGGCGGCCAGCGCCCTTATCAGCAGGGCATTGTCTCCAGCAATGTGAATCCGTTTCTGCTTCTGTCTGTTTGTCTCGCTGAGAACATGAAAAAGCGCCACGAAAGCCGCGGTGTTTAACGTGCATTTGGGAGATGGGATCGCAATGCTCGTGCCCCAGAATACTTCTCCGTGTTGATCTTGACCGCCTTGACGAATCAAGACACCGCCTGCTCCGTTTCGTCTTGGGATTCCGCCCGTGCAACCATGAATCATGCCGACTACCTGGCAAGATACTGCTGGTCCGCCCATTGTAGGCGTCGTTGCCTCTTTCAGCAGCCTGGCGTATATCAACTTTGTGATTAGCCATTCCACGTAGGATTCTTGCGTGAGGGGCGTATCTAACGCGACCTGCGTGTAGGTGCGCCGAAGCTTGGCCCTCGTTCTTGCAATCACCGCCTCGCCCTCGGCTGCTGTTTCACCGTTCGGGTATAATGCATCCAGTCGACAACGCCAGATAGCTCCAATTGTAGCCGTCACACCTGCTCTCCAGTATTTATTTGCAAATTCTGCCACCAGCCCTAGTGAACCTTGCGGCAGCTGACCTCCCTTCTTAGCATTGCGCTCAACATGGGCTCGCAGTCGTTCCGGGGGTAGTTTAAGCTCCAAAGTAAAGATTTCAGATAGCGGCCCAATGTCTGGGCCTCCATTTAGCTGCAGCCAGCCTTCTCGAAAACAAGCCCATGCTGTTCGAGCCACCGGACACGCCCAGAAAATGTGGGAAGCTGTGCTTGTGGCTCCACACTCCGGATGCGGGCAGCTTCTTGAGGTGGTATGCGGATTCCACCCACTACATCTCTGCAGTTTGAGCCGATGGAGGAGCTGATGGTCGTATGTTGTAGTCCCCACAATATGACGTATCGGCTCCCATTTCAACTCATTCAACGCCTTGCCCATTCGGCAATGTTCATCGATCCACTTATTTCTTGCTCTCTGGATAATACGTCGCCCTTTGTTGGCTCTTTGAGCTGTGATCTTGACTTTATACCACCTGGTTGGTCTTGTCCACCTCCTGTGACCAGTCCAAAGTGGTGAAATTCTGGATAGCCATTTGTGAGGTGTACATATTGTTCTGTTCGACGAACTTCCTATCGCTGCGGCCACAGCGTTCTCGACACTTAGTGATGTGAGATCGACTTCTTTGGGTTCCGCTTGCTCACTTTCTACATAAAGAGCCACTGCTGGCTTCAGAGCCAGATTGAATTCGTGCGCCCCTGCTGCGTCATGTTTAACAGCGATCGTCGAGAACGTCACAGGGGTTGCGTAGTTCTCAAATTGGGGTGCTTGGCTCGGTTTCATCGGAAACCCAAACGTTGGCGAGGTCCACAGTACAATACCCGGCCGGATCCACTCCGCCACTGCGATATCTCCTATTCTGGTCCGTTTGTTTGCAATGCGATTGAATGCAAGTCGAGGGTTCCGCTCTTTGTCGTTGCCGTGAAGGCAGCGTACGTCATAAAATTTAGTGTCCATTAGCCCTTCCGCAACAAATGCCCCACGCTCTTGCTCAATCAACCTTTCGAGGTGCCCCACTGGTCCATTGAGAAGTGCGGTCAGGTCACACTGCAGACCGCCATTTCGCGACTGAGTTCTCACACCATGGCGAACCTTACACTGAGTACGCACGTTTTCTCTGGTCACTCGTATTGCCTCGGAGGAAGACGCCGCATAGGTATATCGGAACCATTTATCTCCGGTGCTCCAAATTGAATCTCCCAGGCAGCTAGATGGCGTTCTTTCCGGTGTTGGAACGAGGTAGTCGAAATCTCCTGCTTGATTTTCAGCCCTCAGAATATCCCCAGCATGCTTGACCCTCTGATCCGTGGAGAACGCCCATCTCTCAACTGTTTTCACGCTGAGCGTGATAAGTTCTGTGGCCAGATTGGGCATGGAAAACCCAACTTCCTTTGACGAGGGTTCTGCTGCCTCGCTTCGCAACCAGCCTGTTGTATTGGACGTGGGCTTGGCAAAGGAACTTTTCCAGATGAAGTTCCGAATCCGCGAGCTGGCTTCCTTTAATAAATCTTTTGTAGGCCACGCGTGTTGAGCTATAAATTTAAGCTTCGGCAGGATTATGGCATTCGCAAGCTCTGCTCGCTGGAAGACCGAGTTGGTTTTTGATGTTGCCAGTACAAGTCGGGTTGTAAGCGACTTGAATGCTCTGGCCCATGCACCCTTCACGTCACCAACTGCATCCACCCAGTGATTCAAGTATCGACACTCCTTTTTAGTTGGAATCAGGAGGCTTCTTGGGTTTTCTGCGGGCTTTGCACCACCGAGTGGTAGAGCGACAGACTTGGCCAGGTTGACTCGAAGCCCTGAATATGTTGAGAACTTGTTCACTATCTCGAGCACCAACGGTTGCTTGGTCTCGTCCTCCACATACACGGCAGTGTCATCAGCATAGCCAGCTACTTTTAGCTATGTGGTTCCATCTACTCCCTTTAGCAATACACCCTCGAAGTGCGGGCACGCCTCAAGCATGTCGTAGAGAATGTCAATCGTGATGATGAATATAATTGGTGCTAGCGGACATCCTTGCCTGATTCTACTTGTGACAGGAATCGGCTTCGACGGGAAGCCGTTCGCCAAGAAAGTTGCTGTTGTACCCTGGTGCAGTTTCCTAATCATGTTCATCATTCGAGGAGAGCAGCCTTTGGCTTCCAGCACAGCAAACATGAAATTCCGGTCGATGGAATCGTAGGCTTTTTCGAAGTCTAACAGCAGTGCCTGCGCTTTGCTCTGCACTGTGTGCCACGCCTCGGAGGTTTTTGCCGCTTCCAAGAGTTCGATTGCTGTATGAAGTATCCGTCCTGGCACAAATCCGTACTGTGTGGCATGCACTAGGCAGGCGACGCACTTACGCATTCTCTGGGCGTAAACCTTCATAAGCATCTTCTAGTCGCTGTTGAGCAGCGAAATGGGTCTAAAGCCAAGTGGATTTGTGGCATTCGGTCGCTTCGGGATGCTGAAAATGAAAGCTTCAGTAAACGTAGTCGGGAAAAACCCACTATCCAGCCACATACCAACCAGACGGGCGAGAATCGGTACCAGCTCTTCTTCGAAGTCTCGATAAAAAGAGTTTCCTAGTCGATCGGGTCCCGCGGCCTTGCCGCGTTTGCATCGCTTGAGCGCCTCTCGTATCTCAAACTCAGAGACTTCTTCATCTAACCATGAGAGATCTACCTCGGCCCACCTCGTTTTCACTTCCTTGAGTAACGTGTTCGGGTCTGTGCCACGCACCGCCGTTGAAAATTGGTTTCCAGTTTGCTGCTAGTATTTCGGCCTGGTACACCTCGGTCCCGGTGGTGTTAGCTAGGCCCGGCTCCAGAATCGGGATGGTATTGTCTCCAAATTTCGTCGAAACTCTCGCAAAGAAGCCTTTTACGTTTCGAGCTGTGTGCTTTGTGTGCTCCATGTTAATGTTGATCTGGCGTAGCGCTTTTCGTCTAGCTGTAAGTGCCCGGATTTTCAGCTACAATCTCTGAGCGTTCCTCCGCGTTCGCGGTGCTGGGCTCCATTTCCTTCTTGTCAAGGCGGATGGATAGACGCTTGATCTGCTTTTTAAACCCTCGATTCATCCTCTTTCGGCAGCACCGCTTCAATCCACGGAGTTCTTGGGTTAGCGAGGTCTTTAACGAATCCCATACTGCTGCTGCCTGCTCCGCCGGCATTTCTGGATGCAGGTTAGCTTGAAATTCGCTTAACCTCGTACGGATAAGGCTCTGACCTGCGGCCAGCGCATAATTGGGGAGTGGGTAGACGGTGGCCTGCTTTCGTATTCTTTTGGTTGAAGCAGGATTTTGGAGATGAATTAACACTGCTTTATGATCCGAGTCCAGTGGTGGCCGCATCGTTTCCGCGTGACGTATCCAGTCCAGGTGAGTAGTTGAGATGTACCATCGATCTATTCTGCTGGAGCCAAGCTGATCCGGAGCTACTGTATACTTGTACGTGTGAAAGTTGGTAGCGAAGGCTTTGGCTTTCTCTTGATCGCTGTTCGGTGGTTTCCAGAGGTCCACTGCGTCGACTAATTTCCACTGCGTGATGAGAGCTGTCAGTTTGTCTGACGCTGCATCCTTTGAGGAGTTTCCTGAATTTCTGTCCAGCTTTCTATCAACCACACAGTTGAAGTCTCCTCCTGCAATAATTGGCACACCGGGTGGTAGCGGCACGCTTCGGAGGCTGTCGAAAAATCGTCGTCGATCTCTACCGTCACTCGGTGCGTAGATGTTACGTAGCGCAAACTGAACCCCCTTTATATGGCACGTCGCCATGACTAAGTGTGGAGTCCATAGTTCCTTCCGCCATTGTTCCAGGTTGCTTGCACTTCCGTAAGGGTTAAGAAGGATTGCTTGTCCACCTTTTCTTCCATCCGCTCTAGTCCAGAGCGACGCGGGCTCTGCTGCGGAGGATTTGAATCCCCAAGCGTGTTAGTACACGCTAGTCGCCTTTTCGATTTCGTTTTGATGCAAATGGGTTTCCTGTACGAATACCAGGTCTACCACTCCATTCTCATGCCGCTCTCGGAATCCTTGGAACCAGCTTAATGCATCAATATTAGTTCGGTTTGTACAAGCATTGTTTTACATCGTATTTGTTGTGGCTTACCTTTGATGGTCGGCGGGTCTGATGCTTGCAGCCCAAAGCCAGACTGGGCAAGCTTTAGCTTGTACTGCTTGTAGTCCGATTTCAACTCGCTGCACTTGGTCTTGCACTGCTTCTTGTTCTTACCATAATTGTGCTTGGCCAAGAAGTCACTCGCGCCTTCGTAAAAGCGCTCTTTGACACCCGTTGTGTAGAGATTGAGGTGGTTGCTCAGATAGTTGATCAGCAGATGAACCTCGTCTGCAGTCCATCGTTTGTTCGTCATCGGCTTGCTTCGTCTGGTTGGCGTGGGCCGGCGGAAGATGGTATGCAAGTTCAGGAGATAGAAGACGAGTGGCGCTCGGCACTGCCACTGTTGGTGGCGCACGCTGTCAGCAGAGCTGCCTGCTACATACTTTTAGCCAATAGATATTATCTGAAACCTGCAGATCAAACCTGCAGCCGTTGCCAGAGTACACCGTGCAGGTTTCAGCGCTCCCTTCTGATTGGCCCATTTTTCCTGCAACCTGCAAAACTACTAAGCGTGAGAACCACTAGTATATGTAACTTGTATTGCTGCGTAATTAATATCAATATGAAGTATTAATATTTCTTATTCAGTAAAATGCTATTGGAATTGTTCGCTTGCGTCAAGATCACTGCCCGCTACCACTGCAACTGCCCTACTGTCAATGCCACCGCTACTGCAACCGCTATTAAATAATGGCTTTGCTATTGATATTGCTATCGCTATTTCTGTTATTAACTTTTTTCTGCTCGCCCCACGACCAGGAAGAAAAACTGTCAAGGTCTACTCCGTGGTGCGTGAGTTGTTGCAACTCAGTATGATGCCATCCAACGAGACTTTTTCGCGAACCGCACCTGTTAAGATATCTCTATTTACGAACGAGCAGTTTACACGTCACCGCAGTCATGAAGTACGCGATGCAAATTGGCTTGAAGGCGCTAATCTCGCTTTGTTATGAGCTCATATGGCTCTAATTAGGTTCTTGCTGCAACAAACATCACGCCCATCTAATCGGGTACTTTTAGGGTTAAAGTGCACCACCATGGCACGAAGGTGGCTTGTCCGTCTATCAATCAATGTCTCTTCTGTACCTACTGCAGCTCAATATGATGCGACGTCCAGAAAGCCACTGATATGACCACCATGTCGTCGATCGTCACTACTACGCTGCACACACGTGCAGAGTCCAACTCAGAGGGGAAGGTGAGTACATGAGTACGAGCTAGAACCGTTGCATCGCCAAGGTAAACCTCGGGGGACCAGCTAGTGCCAGCCCAACAGAGACCGGCTTAGGGAGAGGACATTCTTAGGCAGCCGGCGACCCGGGCAGGTCTGTGGGCCTGTCCTCACGCCTTCTTTAAACCCGAATGTAAATACAGGGGTGAGCGTGGACCCTTCCTGCACGGACACACCCATCGGGTCCGCTCCAGGTCCACCACTCCACGGCCAAGAGGTCATCAATAGTCCCCTCGCGCCCTCGTGGTCGCTAACCACGCTCCCAGCCACTCTATGACACCGGAGATGAAGACGTGGACTTGGGTCGCCATGTCTACGGGATGCGTCGTGATGCACGACACAAGGTGTCGTGCGCGCTGGATGTACTCAAGCATGGACATGCGTCCTTGCTTCAACACCAGGAAGGCGGAGCGCTGAACGCTTTCATCTTGCGGCGGCTCGAACGCGAGCCGCAAGTTCGCCTTCATCGATGCCATGGTCGGGAAGCAGGAAGCGTCGGCCACGAGCTTGCCGAGCGCCCACTCCTTCGTCTTCCCCGCCAGCTTGGACAGGAGAAAGCGCGTGCGCGCGAGCTTGGTAGACAGCTGCCGAACTTCGATCGCGATGTCCACCTCGCAGAACCAGCGGTTCAGGTGAAGGCGGCCCTCGCCTTCACCGCTGTACGTGGAGACATCGAGCTTCACGATGTCGGACTTGTTCTTGGTCTGCGTGGGAGTCAACACTCGCTGACGGAGGTCAGCGAGTTCACGCGCCGTGAACTCCTGGGCGGCCAGGCGTTGTTGCTCCTCGGTTCCTGCCGTCAGCAGAGTCTTGATCACAGCGTCACCAGACACCGCTGCGAGGCGGTGTAGCGCCTCCCACTCGATCGCCGACAGGTGAGGAAAGCTGGCGTGCTCCAGTGAAGTGGTAGTCGTCCGGGGCGCGTCAGGCATCGACGTGTCGTTCATGTTCATCACGATCTTGGGCGTTGGACGGATTAGCGAAGTGCTACCAGGTGTAACGGGCTAACTGCAGCCCGTTACGTGCTTACACAAGCAGAGGAAATAGTAGGCAAATTGAACTCTAATTGATTGATTGACACGGCGTAACCGCCGTGTCCACTTAAACCTATGCTGAGTGTTGATTGGCCATCGTGTGAGCACGAAGGCGACTGTGTGACGAGAGCCCGTCACAGTGACGAGCACGGTGGACGCGGCGGAGGCGACCAAGGACGTGCCGACGTGGAAGCAGGGCGAGACGACAATGACGAAGACACGTGCATCGAGGCGACGAAGTACACGTACGACATCGGAGAAGCCTCCGAGTGCAGCGAAGACTGGCACGACGACGAACCGAGCGGCGAGTGCGAAGTCGCGACCAGCGACAGCAAGCGCAGTGACGACGACGAGCAAGCACAGTGACGACGACGAGCAAGCACTCGAAGTCGACACCTCGACGAGATGATGACGAGCGGCGAGACGATGACGATGGTGGACGACGAGTTGCTGAGAAGCAGCGTGGATCTGGACGTGATGACGAACTACGTGAGCACGAACCCGTGCGACGACGAGCAGGTGGACCGACGCTTCAACTTACCGATGTAGACATCATTGACGCGCAGCGGAAGAGCCGATTGGTGAAGCGCTTGCTGGAGTTGGGCGAACACCTAGGGCGGAAGGTGACAAAGACGTTTGGGTTGGTGACGGTCGAGACGCAGAAAGGGAAACGGGTTGTATTACCTCCGGCGTTATGGCCAACAGTGATGAAGGAGTGCCATGACTCCGTGTGGGCTGGACACCTACGGGCACCTCATACCTACGCACGCATTACACATACGTATTTGGTGGCCGAACTTTATGCGCGAAGTGAAGCGCTGGGTGGCAGGCAGTCAGGAATGCGGGTCTCGCAAGGCACGCCCGTGAGAGGTGATCCCTCCACTGAGAAGTATATGCGGTGGGGACGTTGGCGGCAGATGGGCTTTAGATGTGGCTGGTCCATTACCGACGTTTGATGGTGGTGAACGGTATGTGATAGCGGCAGTCGATTACGTGACTCGAAACGCTGTGGCAACGACGGTGAAGCAGCATACCGCGGAGAAAGTTGCAGCGTTCTTGATGAAGAATGTCGTACTGAAGTTTGGCGCCTTCCGAGAATTGTTGACGGATGAGGCGCCGGAGTTGACCGGCAAGGTCATCGAGCAGCTGGTGATTATGCTGCAGGCCCAGCCGATCAACCCCGTGCCTTATCGCCCGCAGATGATTGGGCTAGTAGAACGGATCCACCCCACGTGGAAGGACTGCATCGCTACCTACATCAACGACGACAAGCAGAGGGATTGGGATGTTTGGGTAGATTTTGCTGTGTATGCGTACAATAGCGACCAGCACTCGACGGCGATGTTGTCTCCGAACGAACTCGGAAGCTCCGTAACCGCAACGACCTACTACGAGTTGCGAACGTGACGGAGGCAGGAGCACTGGCGAACGATCACCGACGGCTGGTGGCGGCCATGGAGAGCAGCCATGTATGTGCTGAGAAGACAAGGAGGCGTGAGCAGGAGCGCCAGGCACGCTACTATGGTTGAAAGGTGCGGAGGAAGCGGATGCTTGAAGTTGGCGACCGCGTGTGGCTGTACAAGCGGCCATGAGGCCCCAAAGCGACGAAGCTGGTACATCCGTGGCTTGGGCCAGTGAGGATCGTGGAACCAGCCGGCTTTGACAATTACCTTGTGGAGCGAGAAGATGTGGAGCACGACCCTGAGCAATATTTAGCACATAGTTAGCTACCATCAGCCAGCTACACTAATCGAGGCAGCAGCTGACATTGAAGCGCAGCTTGAGCATGAAGGAGCGCTCGAGCTCGACGGTGATGACGGGACGGACGGAGCGTCTGGTGGAGCAGCGACGGCTCCGGTACGTACAACAGCAGCTGTTGGAACTACGAAACGGCGTCGATAAACAGTGGCAGGTACGAGCACGAAGCGACCGGACGAGGACGTGGTGGAACTACGACGACGACGGAGAAGGAATGCAGCAGGACAAAACCTCCTCGAGTACGAGGTACAACCAGTACAGCGAGACGGTGAACAACGGCGAGGGAAGAACGGAGGTCGGCGATGGATTACGGTCAAGGAATACGACCGCTTGCTACAGGCGGAAGGGTCATGGAAGACCCTACTCATGGAGAAGTCGTGTCACAGGTGGGCCAACCAGGTGGACCCATCTGCCGCAGCAGGCTGCGGAGGACGATCACGAGACGACGGGGGCGGTGACGCAGGGCGACAAGGAGCAGACGTCCTTGCTGGATGACAGTATGACAATGGGCGGCACGGGGGCGGTCCAAGTGGTGGTGACGGAAGCTGCGGACAGCTCCTGAGTGGCCACAACGACGAACAGTGGCACGGCGAAGGGCACGACCGAGCTGCAAGCAGCAGCCTGTGTCGAGTCGACTTTGAAGGACGGGGCTGGAGAGCCCGAGCAGCGAGCGGAGACCGCTCATTACGAGATCTGCGCCGAAAGACTCAAGCATTACGAAAGTAGACGGCTAGAGCGCAAGACGGCGAGCGAGTCGAACAACGCGAGCGGGCTCACGAGCGGACTCACGAGCGCGCAGCACACGGAGCGAGAGCTCTCATGAACGAGGGAGAGGCAGACGAACGAGGGACTTGACGGAAGCGCTTAGCGTGGAACCGGCCGAGCTGGTGGAACCTGCGTGAAACGAACGAGAGCGTGATCGTAGGTTAGTATTCACAAGAGAGGTAGGTATTAGCTTGCGTGGTAGAAGAGTTTTGATAACCCCCTCAATAAATTCGGTCGGACGCACTGTGGCGGGCGATCGGGCGCAGCGACGAAGTATTGCTGTCGGCCAGAAGGTGTTGAGGTTGCAGCGACGTGAAGTAGGACCGACGCAGCGCAGCTTTTTGACTTGCTCAACAAGCCGAGCAAGATAACTGGCCTGCTTCAGTAACATTTGGGGCAAACAATACAATGTGGATGCATTCTAATCGGAAACCAATTTACTGAGAATGGCGACTCAGAAGTATTTAACCATGGTAATACATGCATGTAGCACATTAAGCCGCCAGTCTAAAGCTGTAAGGGTGAGCGCCACGGCGTGCAGCCACTCTGGTTCCGTTGTGGTCTGACAATCGTCTCGAATAGGAAAAAAGAAAACACCATCAACTGCTGAAAGGTGGTATGAACTCATACAGCACTGCTTGACGGGTTGCTGGTACGCCGTGAGAAGCTGCGATGGAAGTTAAGGTCGATCTCATCGTTGGGCAGAGGCGCTGGTGGACTAGTGCCAGCTGGAGCTGGCCGTGCAGTTCTCCGAGAAGGCGCTGCTGCAGGAGCTGAGTAACGCGTCACTGCTGGACGGACTCGATCGGCGAGCCGAGTCACCACTAGTATGCTACTAGTAGTAGCAGTATAATACTTGATAGAGTGACCCCCCCCGTAAACGAATATCACATATATTTTTGTCCATCAGTGATCGACAAAGCGTTGAGCCCGTCATGATATATAATTACGCCAAATATTTACTCTAGGGTCCACTCACATGGGCGCATTAATTTGTCTTTAACATGCGAAATGAAAAATGCTACTCGAACTTCCACCATTTCACATTCTTACTTGCACATCCTTCAACCGTTACTCGAACGAAATCCGCTCCCCCTCGGTACTAACTTTTATGAGACCTTACGTAGGAGCAAAAGTCCTACGTAGGACCTCAAATCGGAGGGCGTTTTGGCAGAAAGGCACAATAGCACTTCTGCCCATACAAGTCACGGGTCAACTGCGGCAGTTGAGCTAATCTTCGACACCCTCAAGACCAGTTAGAAGCTAATATTGGCGTTGTTTTGAAGAGATGCCCCATCTTATGGTTATGTTGGACTTGCGACTTAAATCGTATGTCTTGTATAGTGTCCACCACTGTCCATGATAGCATAAATGAGGGTTTAACAGTGTCACTAATAACGTATAAGGTTTTTGTCCTGTATCGTAGGACAAAATTATCAGAATGGCTTGCATTCAGTATCAGGCTTACTCGAACAGTTCTTGTCTTTGTTATACATGACATATCGTATTTACCCGTACTCTATCTCTTTCGATACAAACCCCAAGCCACTTTTGGTCCTTTTTGCTGGTGATAGGACAAAAATCCGGAATGCACAGGGACTTAAGCGATTTTGTCCTGTATTCTAGAACTCGAACTGTTGGGGTTATTAGAGATAGGTTTTTGTGTTTGCCGACTTACTTGAGAAGAGCGGCAACCTGACACCAGCGTTGACTTTTTACGTACGCTTTTACTTAAATTAAGGGGAAACCCATGTAAAAATGTAAAAAAAAACTATTAAAATCGTGGAATTAGGCTGGATATATTAGGTACGGCGGTGCAGCATTTAGGCTCTACAAGTCAAACGACGGCGCACACAGGCGCTACATCTCCAACACTATGTACGGCGCGTTGCTGTCGAGTGGGTGCCCAGCATGTTCCTGCCGCTGCTGGGCGGGCAAGAGCGGCCACCGCAGCTTCCGCTTCTTCCTGGTGTGGATCTGCGTGGGGCGGGCCATCTTCGCGCTGGGTGTGCAGCTCAAGAAGAACTGGCTGGCGCTGTTCGGGCGCGTGTTCTTCGGTGTGGGCGAGAGCAGTGTGGTGGTGGGCGCTCGCGCGTTTGTCGCGTCGTGGCTCCGCAACAAGGAGCTGACGATCGCCATGGGCGTGAGCGTGGCCATCACGAAGGTGTCCAAGATGTTGGCCAAGGCGACTCTGGCCCCCATCGCGCTGTACTTCGGCGGGTACGTGCAGGCGCTGTGGTACGGCGTGCTGGTGTGCGTGCTGTCGGCGGTCGTGGGTATGCTGGTGTGCCATTACACACTGAACCTGAAGCGCATCGTCAAGGGCCACGTGGTCAGCGAGGAAGCGCTGGACCCGAGCCAGCGCTAGCTCAAGGACTACGCCGACAAGAAGCGCCAGAAGCACCGCTGGCACAAGCCTCACGCGCATGCCAGGCAGATTTCGTGCGAGAACGTGAAGATCATCTCCCGCATGTTCTGGGTAAGTCAGGCTGCTGCACGAACAAGTCATCAATGCCGTTCACCTGTTCCAGCTACCTGTTCCATCGGTAGGACTACTCGATCGGCAAGGCTGGCGTGGTGAGCAGCATCTCGCACCTGTTCGTGATGCTCGCGCCGTTCATCGGCCTTCGGCCTTGCCATCGACCGGTCCGTCGCACGCACCCTGCTGCTTATCCTGACTGCTATGGTGCCGGTGCTGGTATGATACTGCTGTACTTAGCCCATTGCAGGGCATCCGTTGACACGAAACCCAGGTGAGTGGAGTTGCTGGCCGTTTCCACGGTCTTCATCTGCTCGAGCAAGCAGCTACTGCGCGAGAGGCGGTCGACCAAGGTGTCCAAGATTGCGCTGGTTGAAACGAGATACAGGCACAGCAAGAGTAGGTGTACGGAAACGCGCGAATGGCGCCCGCCGACTCACTCTCCACCCGAAATGCATGGAAGGTAAGCCCTAGCGCGTCCAGCCATCTCTTCGTCTACCCGTAAATGAGCAAGAAGTAGAAGATGGAGCACACTGACAAGGCAGCAGCGAGGCCAAGCAAAACCTCACGAAGCTCTCAAACTAGTTCATGAATACGCACGACCTGGATCTTGCGTCGTATGCATGGCTCATTCATTTAACTGTCAACAAGTTTTGCATTGAGTACTTATGCTGTAGAGCAACTTGACATGCAGAATTGATTCATTGCTTCTACTAGTAAATCAAGTCTGCAAAGTAAGCTGCGAACTACAACTTACGATTGGAGCCGACCGCTGCGTGTCATTAGAGGCATGGGTCACCAGTAATGCCAGACTTGTCTTTTGTGCGCGGATTCCTGTGTAGTGTTTTCTTGTGGGAGGGGAGGGGGGCATTTTCAGGAGGGTAAGGCCGTCGGTCCGCCGCTGCAATAAGGTCCGTACTTGATCCAAGCCTTGTCGTTGTAAATTGCGTGCAATTTCCAGTGTTGCTGTTCGTACTGTCCGTGGGGCCACCTTCACCTGGGTTTCCGCCGTTTTGATCCACATCACAGTCGTTAGTGCCCGCATCGGCACTTGTACCGGCCTCATCACTTGTATTACCGCCCGCATTGCGCTTGTACCGGCTTGAGTACTTGCATCACCGCCTTCTGCAGTGCTGCTGGAAGTTGAGGCGCTTCTAGGAGTCTCGAAAAGGTTACTCCACAGCCCAACTGTCACTTCGTCTCCGTACTCGCCTATTTCCTCCCAGTCAAAGTGCTCCAAATACTCATCTAGCTGTCTGTCACTGAGAACAACCGTGTCGAGTTCAGCAGTAAGGCTATCAACAGCATTATCAGCGGAAGGTGTCAGGCGGGGATTTTCAGTAGTACGCGAACCAGTGGGCGGTGAATCAAATGGACGCGACGACGTGTCCAAATCCCTTGTATCGACACCACGCGCTGCACGAGCCGCAAGTTCTTGTTGATCGGAGAACTGGACCCGCGCCAATGGCGTCGGCGGTAGGTGACGTTGGCCATTCCGGTTCGGAGAAGAACAGTCATTGCGAGACTCGCAACCAGGGGTTCGAGCTTGTGACATTACTGGGTTTGCTGGACTAGCACGAGCAGGAGCAACGGAAGGTGGAGTAGCGCGAGCGGAAGCAGCGCGAGCTGGAGTAGCACGAGCTGGAGTAGTGTGAGCTGAATTTTGCTGCGTGGCAATTCTCGGTCGTTCTCGTGAGTCTATCATTCTCAGGAGCTTCTTCGAGCTCACCGACGGCACTTTTTCTCGGCGATTCTTTTCTCGAACGTATTGACGCATTATCTGATGTTTTATTGTCTTTTCGATTGTCATGCGGTTCCGCTTTGACGTCAGAATAAGAGCAAGCTCGCGAAATAGACGCTCACAGGTTGCAGTGTTCACCACAATGGACAGGACTGTTAGTGCAAGCGCCGGAAGCTTGCTGTTCGGCTTAGATTTTTCTCGTAATCCCAAAACGTCAACACCAATTCTTCGTCAAAGTCTTTCTCGCACGATGTCGTGTAAGCTCCTTCGATCCATTTGAACATGTCACCTCGTAGCCCACTATCGTCACTGCTCACAAACCGACGGTAGTAATACTGCGCAAATTGACACACATCGTCAAGATCGGTGATCACTGTTGAAGAAAACTTTCTTGCTTGCACCACGAACTTAGGATGAAGAAAAAAACCTAAGATGAATAGAGGTTGCTCGCATGCGCTCCAGCAAGCTTCACCAGCTCATTTGACTTCCGCTAAACTCAGTGGAAGTGAAGCAACGGTAAATCTCCATGAAAGACCCAACTACATCAGCACCCGTTTTTCATCCCTTTGAAGACGAAACGAGGTAGCGCATAACGGACGAGCGATTTCCTCCGCGCTCTGCAACTTTGCCCAAAATCCAGCGTCCCCAAGAACACGAAGTTTGTCCGTTAACTCGCTGCTGTTCCGATACGAGAAGACCATATCCTTCAAAGCTCCTCGAGCACGTAGGAGGGACGCAAAACATGCCTGCGTTGAGTTTCACCTAGTTTCACACAGCGTAAAAACGGCAAAAGGATCTCCATACCGCTAGTCCATCGCCTTAGCAGCTCGCACCAGCCATTTAGAAGTCGAAGTGTTAAAAAAACCTGCAGCACCTGCCGCATCATCCGAAACCTGTTTAAATACCGTTTTGAGAACGGCTTTGGCTAGGTTATTGATATCGTGAGCAAAACAATACACGAACGCAATGTTGGGGTACCGAAGAGCCAAAATGCGCCGCGCACGGCCACTTTGACCAGCATTGTCCGTCACAACTGCACCAACTCACCATTCCGACGCAAGTAACTCCTCGAGTACCCCCTCCATTTGCTGCGCAATTGCAATTCCGTCGTGACGGTCACCAGCAGGCCTCAAACCATAAGTCATTACTCGCCCAAATAGCGAGGCCATACAGCCCAGTACATGCATCTTAGCGATAGTCTCCCAGACGTCAGACAGAAAATTCACCTTACCTCCACTTCGATTCTGGACTGATCTCACGTTGTCACGCTGCTCGACGGAATGTAGATCTGCATATTCATCTAGGACGCGACCACCAATCAGATGGCGATGTCGCATGGCGCCTGGAACTCCACACCGAGCGTTCAAAAACACGAGTAACCGCCTAAATGACAGCAATGTCACAAAAAAAATCAGGAAGCAAGGCTTCAGCTTGAAACTCCAACAGCAGCCGCCAAAACAATAGTTTTTCAGCTAGCGTAAACTCAGGCGGCGAGGTGCTTTGCGATTTCGTAGTCCTTCCATGCTCGCCAGGTTCACCTTCACTCTCGACACTCTGGAAAACGTTGCCGATAGCGCCAACATAGTGCACACATCCAGCCAGGTGCTTCTCCCAGGCTTCCTTGCGGCCGTGAACATGGGTGGGAAAGGGGATCGTGGCTGTGTCGTTAACGTGTGCCGCGTAGCCATACTTGCACACCGTCCGCCACATCGTCTTGTTGCATTTTTTCATTCAGCCGGTAGAAGTTTGTACTGAGAGCACTCGGAGAACGCCCACGCTTCGAAGCGCCAGCCTGTTCATCACGGAGTTCGGGTAGGAGATCCATGAGAATACTGAGCCCGAAAGAGTAAGTACGGCGGTGCGAAGGCCAGAAACTCGACGACGACTGCGTAGGCTCGAATTGAGAGGCGTTCTTCTTAGGCAGGATGCTTCTCGTTGCGGAATGGATTGTGACCAGGATTGGTTAGTAGTATACAGAATAGTTGTGAAAGTAGTACTAATATTAGTACTACGAAACAGTTCTATTCCAGCGTATAGTACCCACATCTTCGGTATTGATTGGTTAGTTTGCGCTGGAGGGGGGGGTCGGGGGAATTTGCCGGTCAATTTCGGTATAGCACTGGGCGCTGGGCCACTTAGTAGTGAGAAAACTATAGTAGCGAGAAAAAAACCACTAATAGTGATAATAGTAGTACCAATATCGCTACTACCTTCCAGAACTTAAACCTCGTAAAGGCGCGAAAATTGGTGGTTCTCCGACCGTCCCCGCGCTTCGCACTCTCGCGCTCATTTCTCGATTCTCAGGTATGCCAGACTGATGAGGTGAAGGTCGCGTCGATTACGAACGCGTGCATGCGTGCCAGCGGCACAAGTGCAAACCTTCTCAGCGTAGACGAAGGACGCAACACCTAGCCAAACCCCATCGGAGGCTGACTTTATTGCGCCATGCACATGTTGCCACGTTAGATGCGGTGTTACTGGTACCTCATCCATGCACTGAACGGCACGAATGATGCAGATGCAGCTGGTCGTTGGTAGTTTCGACATGGGGAGTGAGGCGTGAGTGTCTGGCAGCACGTTGATGTTGGAGTTTGGGCTAAGATAGACTGTCATTGGGAGGATTCGCCGTGCAGTGTGTGCGGTCGGCCTGTGGATCATTAGTCCAACTATGATCTCTGCAACAGGCCCGACGTCGACCTCGCCCGAGGTGAAGTCGAAGAAAAAGCAGAGCCCGTTAATAGTATGAATCGACCACATCATCCACAAGTCGCCGGCAAACTCGATCGACCCGGCGTGAGAGCTGGTCCATCGCTTGGAGACACCTTCTACCTACAAGGACAAGGCGTACACGCATGTTTGTCTGCTCTGCGTGAAGACAAAGGCGTGGAAAGACTTGCTCCGCCGCGCAAGCAACGCGTCGAACGCCAAGATTCATTTAGTGGCCAGTCAAAAGGACCACGAGATGGCTATCCAAGAGCTGCGGCGCCAGCAAACCCGTGCAGACCGTACATGGTGCACATGGAGCCCAACATTGAAGCTTAGCGGGAAGCATCCCCAGACGCGAGTTCACAAGCAGATCGCACACAGCGCCAGAAACCGTTGTGATCAACTTCGGTGAACCAGGAGGAAATACCGGGCTATATAACACGGTGGCTGATCCGTGATGGTGCGTGCTTCATTTCTTGCGATTTTGAAAGCTGCTAAATTTAACTACTGTAATGATGTGTCTGTATCTAGGGTATGCCAACAGCATGATGACGACTGCTACTTTTCAGGATATGCTTTTTGGCATTACGAGCGACCCAAATCTCACTGCCATTTGGGAAGACATACAACAACATTCTGGATAATCTCTGCGGAACGTTTACAGATGACGCGGTTGAGATGCTCATCAAAAGTTTTAAAATGAGGACAAGTCCGACCTATAGACTAGCAATATAGTAAGAAAATCATTGTTTGATTTTCCGGTAGAAATATCAACCACCAATGGCGACCTGAACGCCTTGCTCCCTTGCCGAAGTAAGGAACGTTGGCCACGATTCCGAACAATTGGCCAACCTGATGAATAATCAACTGAAGGCACGCTACCGCCTGGATGGGAACAAAAAGACTCGCTTTACGACACTGCTCGAGGCGCGCAAGAAACCTCGAGGCAAGTTGACTGTACTCCGCAGACTGACTGTGCGATGCACACGCTCAACCTTTGCATTGATTATGGTACCGGGTTGAAGAAGTGCTCAAAGTCGAAGCCATTTGTCAAGCCGGGACAGTGTGACAAAAGATGGGGCATTTCCGAAGGGTGGGGCGGTGATTCGAAACCCAAGTACTCTGAATAACTTCTTTGCTTCGGGCAAGTCCCCGGAGGGTTACGCCCGGCTCAAATGAGTCATAGAGGCAGTCATGTAGCGCGTTGCTGAGCTAGCCCTAGTGGAGTCTCCGTTGGCGACCATGCTTTCGTCTACAATGCATGTACTGCTGCATGTGGCGAATGAACGCGTTCTCAGCCTACTGACTACATGGCGCTCGTAACCCGGAGACGAATAAGCAAACTTCCCGCGGGTCCAGGTTACGTTGACCGATCTATCGAATCGCTGAGCGTCTCCCTCAGCCGTGAGTGCCCATGAGTATGGCCTTGTTGCTGGACTCGCGTACGAAGTTGTCCGCCAAACGATTCATTTTCGGTCCTGGCACGACGAAGGCTGCCACAGACAAGATATTGGAGAAAACGAGGGCGTGCGCGTTTGCTTCAAAGGCATGTATGCGCGTGACAAGCAATATGACACCAACGCGGCCTGCGCGTCAAGGTATTTACCAAGGGAGTACTACAGCGATTCAGACACTGAGGCCGAGCTGCTTCTATGGTGAAGAGATATTATAATAGCTCGCGTAAATCTCGACCATGCTGACTTCGCTCCTCAGGACTAATCTGCTGGATGCCAACCAGCTGAACAGTTGAAGAGGCAACCTGACACCAGTTTCCTCTCTGGAGATCACTGCTGTCGTGCGGCGGCGGCGGGGGGGGGGGGGGTCTTCAGACCCGATTCCGTGTAAGAGTTGTTTTCTAAGCGGATAGCTTAGAGCCAGCATCATGTCTTGTCAGACCATCAGTTTAATACATTCGGTACTTTTTAATATGAACTAGAGTATCCAAAATCTCATGGTATTACAGGTATAAAGCAGCGAAGCGTCCGGATCGATGATTTTAACTGGGTTTTGGATTTAAAATAAAACTTAAGCAAAAAAATGCGCGGTTTAATTCACACGCCACCATTACGATGCATACTGTGCGAACTTCGGCGCTATGCGACGTTGGCTAAACGGAGTGCGCACGGCGCGCCAGAAGTGTATGTAGTGTTCTGGACGTCGCACCACAGTAGTGTGGACATCACGAGCTCTTACATCGCCAAGAGCACGCGACGTCACTAGGCAACCGCGTGCCAGTGACCATTGACCTCACGGCCGATGGTGTGGCGCACAGCACCTTGGTCGGGAGCGGGTAGTGGCGAGTTCGTGGCGGGAGGAGCTGCTACCACCGGAGACGTTGAAGCTGGGAGCTTATGGTTGACGTCGACACAATCGAAGATCACGAGGAGAAAAGACGCGGCGGGCGAAGGACAGATAGGAGTATCGACGACAGGAGAGGCGACGCAGGCTGAAGGTAGGCGGTAAGTAGAGGTAGGGGGACTTCGTTAGGAGAGCTCTGTGGGGCGGCTGCCTCCGCATCTTTCAGTTGCAATTTGGGCAGGAATGGTTCAGATAAAGCAGCTAATACTACGCTTAGTGTTCTGCGGCACGGGGCCGGCACTACCCAACAACAGAAGAGGTTCTAAGCGTTTCGTACTGCGGTCAAGGGGATCGGCGAGGTGTGCGGGTCATTGTAAGGTAGTACTGAGTAGTTTAGAGGACGAGCCTTGACGAACTTAGTGTGTCATAAAGTGGATGGGACCGTGGTTAGCGACCACGAGGGCGCGAGGGGACTATTGATGACCTCTTGGCCGTGGAGTGGTGGATCTGGAGCGGACCCGATGGGTGTGTCCGTGCAGGAAGGGTCCACGCTCACCCCTGTATTTACATTCGGGTTTACAGAAGGCGTGAGGACAGGCCCACGGGTTGCCGGCTGCCTAAGAATGTCCTCTCCCTAAGCCGGTCTCTGTTGGGCTGGCACTAGCTAGTCCCCCGATGCAACGGTTCTAGCTCCTACTCATGTACTCACCTTCCCCTCTGAATTTGACTCTGCACGTGTGTGCAGCGTAGTAGCGACGATCGACGACAGTAGTATACGTAGTGTTTTCTGGACGTCGCATCATATTGAGCTGCAGTAGGTACAGAAGAGACATTGATTGATAGACGGACAAGCCACCTTCGTGCCATGGTGGTGCACTTTAACCCTAAAAGTGCCCGATTAGATGGGCGTGATGTTTGCTGCAGCAAGAACCTAATTAGAGCCATATGAGCTCATAACAAAGCGAGATTAGCGCCTTCAAGCCAATTTGCATCGCGTACTTCATGACTGCGGTGACGTGTAAACTGCTCGTTCGTAAATAGAGATATCTTAACAGGTGCGGTTCGCGAAAAAGTCTCGTTGGATCGCATCATACTGAGTTGCAACAACTCACGCACCACGGAGTAGACCTTGACAGTTTTTCTTCCTGGTCGTGGGGCGAGCAGAAAAAAGTTAATAACAGAAATAGCGATAGCAATATCAATAGCAAAGCCATTATTTAATAGCGGTTGCAGTAGCGGTGGCATTGACAGTAGGGCAGTTGCAGTGGCAGCGGGCAGTGATCTTGACGCAAGCGAACAATTCCAATAGCATTTTACTGAATAAGAAATATTAATACTTCATATTGATATTAATTACGCAGCAATACAAGTTACATATACTATTCAGAAAAGAGGAGAGTGATATACAAAGTCTAGACGACGATAAGAAGTTAAGATCACCGGTAATGCTTGTGGGGACGGCGATGTTCAGACGGCGTCTACTTGTAAATTTAGCTTGCGCCAGTCATGAGATGCCCAGTGATATTACGCAACAATATATAATAGAAATATGAAGTAGATTTTGGCTGTCGTTCTCCGGCGTAAAGAAGAAAGCAGGGGCAATATCATTGCGATGTCATTTTCAATGCTGATATCGTAGTTGTAGCGTACTTCCTCCGGGTTTAAAAGAGTGCAGAATTTACAGAGAAAGTTCAAAATTTGCAAGAAATAGGTCATATTCATACGCCGGCACAGCTTCGCCATTCTGGAGTCGATTTCTGCCAAACTGTCAATTCTCGAGCGTATGAATCGCCCCCGCCCTCAAAAGAAAGCCTTAGGTCT